TAATATTCCTCCTACTTATCGGGGCCCGGAATAGTTGCGTCCGGTTACGATCTATCCCTATAAGCCCGAAGAATACCTTCTCGTCGCCCGGCGCTAACGTGGCCGTTAAGTATACGATCTGTACCCCGAACTCTCATATTGCTACGTTAACCTTGCATAGCTTCGGCCGGAACGACCGGGTCCCCTCTAGTATAACGTGGCATTCGTTAACTACGACGCGGTCAAGCGCTTATCGTGACATAAGCCGTACTATAAAGTCCTGGAAGCCTTTATTAACGGCGGACTCGGGCATAACGAAGATAATAGATGCGGCCTGGTTGTTCTTATAGCTAAGCTATATATAGGAGGCGATCCCTAATTTAGTATACCGCGCCTCTAAGTCGGTCCGAAGCGCGGTAAGTGGTATAATAACTACCGTTACGCCGTCCGGTAAGCAGAACGCTGATAGCATAAACGATAAACTCTTACCGCTGCCCGTGCCCATTACCTGGATGATCGGGCTATGCCCGTTGACGATAGCCCCGACTACCTTCGCCTGGTTCCCGCGGAACGTCGCTGCGTCGTCCCCCGTCATCTGCCGTAGCCGGCCGGCCATGTCCGCCTGCTGTAGCCGTGCGAACCGCCGTAGCCGGGCCTCGAGACGGACGCCGTCGTAGAGCTCTACCTTTCGCTTCGAGCCGCTGCGGTAACCGTCGCTCGCCCGGTCCTCGTCCCCAAACCCCAAGAACCGATGCCACTGCGAGCTGACCTTACGAAACTGCTGCTGCTTAGCCGCTACCCCGCTACCGAACTGGACTAGTAGCCGCCCATAGATCATACCGGCGATCCGCGTCCCGTACCCGGCTTGTAGATCCCACGGGCTATCACCGAGCTCGTCTTCGTCCTCGTCGTCTCCCTTCTTCCCTAGATCCCACCGCCCGAACGCCTCGTATAAGAATCGGTTGGCGATAGCGATAGCAATATGCCGCCACATACTCACGTTCAGCTTGTTACCGAGTAGCCGGCTGCTGTGCCGTTGTATAATTCGCCTGGCCCGGTCCGTCGTCCACGTCCGATCCTCTGTCCAAGCCCACGCCGCCCTACCCTCGTCCCCGTCCTCGGCAATGTCGCCCGCGTTGTCGACATCTACGCTGGTTACCGTCGCCGCTCCTCCGCCGCTCCTCTTCTATATGACCTCGTCGGCCCATAAGAAAGCGCTATAGTAGTGGGCCTGCTTCGTGATGCCTTCTGCTTCCTGCCAGAACGGAAGTACGAGCTATAAGTACCACATAAGTAGCTCGCCGGCCTCTCTCGGTAAATACCGGTGGATAATCTTAGTCTGCCCGCTGCTCCGGTACCCTTTATGTACGCCGTTACGAAATATATTATACCGTTGTGTATAAAGATGTTCCGTACCCCGCTGTTTACCGTATTAGCTACCCGTAAGCTACCCATCTCCGTCGCCCGTCCCGGCTGGCCCCCTAGCATATGCATTAGCAACCATAGCCGCTCGCGGAACTGCTCGAACGTATGCCCGTACTCGCGCACTACCTCCTCCCTGAACGCCCTGCTGCCCGACGTCGGTCCCTCTATACCCCACTGACGCCGCCGCGGTTGGGACCCCACGATACGCCGGAACACCCACCCGTCCCCTTCCCTCAGCCACGCGTTGCGGTCGTCGTATAGAAACGAGTAACCCTCTCGGGTCTCGCTATGGTCGTCCTCGATCGACGGCCAGTGAATACGCGGCAGCGCTTCGTCTAGACAGCTCCTCGCCTGGCTGCTGTCCGACACTGCGTCGCCCTGCTCGTCCCCGCCTGTGACCATCGTGAGCTGCGCTAATAGCAGCCTGGCCTCGTCGACGACGCCGTGGAGCATGTCCGATAACTGGTCCATGGTAAACCGTACGCGCCGATACGATATGCGGTCGCCTACCCAGTCGATTACGCCGTCTGCCGGCGTGTTATACTGTATATGCATGCCATACGTCCGCGTCTCGAGAATCCAATCCATCGGTGTTGGCTCGGCTTGGGGGGCCCCGGGCGTACGCGTCATGAACCTCTGTACCATGCGACGGACGTAGACAAAGAGACTCTCTATGCCATCATCGGCCGCCCCCTCGTCCGTCGTAGCGGCCTGACGAGCGACATCGTATTGCCTCTGCGTATATGCCTTATAAACGACTAACATACGTGCTACTTTAATGATCGCCGAATACTTTGTTGTATAGTCGGTAATATCCATCTAGCTACCGTCGGCCCGGATGCCTATTATAGCGAGCGTGCTCACTATCGCGTTCTCGTACTGCCCTCTCTTAAGCTGGTGGTCTAGTATGCTAACGAGCATTTTAAGTGCTACCGGCCGGAGCGTATCCGACGTAGTGTCGGAGTCCCCTTCTACCACGGCCTTGGCTAATTGTTCGAACTCGTCCTACGCATCGTACTGCCTCTCGGTGAGCCGGTACGGCGGTCTCCTGTCGTCCGGTAGCTCCTACGTCCGGAACCATACATAGAGCAAGACCCTCTAGACATCTTTATACCGTACCTAAGTATCCTCCTTAATGCGGTTATTAAACGGCCTCGTGGGCTTAATATATGCTTCCTTCCGCTAGACCTCGAATAATACGGCGTACCCGACCTTATTAGGCGTAAATATGGCCCTGGCGTACTCCAAGACCTCGTTGACCGAAGTCCACATCATATGGAGCACGTCCTCCACGGCCTCCTGGATTAGGCCGGTGGTTTCGTAGAGCTGGCTGATGCGTAGTCCACTTAGATGCTCTGCCCATCCTACCCGCTGGAGCCACGGGTTCGGCTCGAGCTTGTCGTTGGTAGCACGGATAAGATCGTCATAGCTCGCCTTGACCTGCTCGGCTTAGTTCTGCCGTAGTTAACGGAGTAGCTTGGTGGCCTGCCGTGATGCTACCTCCTCGGCGACCGCCTCCGGCGCTTGGTCTAGCGGTTAGCCACGCCCTACCTCGAACTATTAGCTCCTAGCCCGTAATAAAAAGAACCGCTAGTATAGTATACCGGACGTTTACGGTATGTTACGTTCTTAATAAGATCTCGCCCTTACGTTACCGCCCTTCTTCTAATCGTTTACCTACCCGTGATGTTTTTGGTAGTGATCCTGGATCCTTTGAGTTTGGCGATAAATATAGGAGTATCGGTGATATTGGATACCGTCCGTGCGTGGGTCGGTAAGATGGTCGATGGGGGCTGTTGATGGGTCGGGATACTGCAGCTGCGTAAGACTGGCCTGGTTCGTACGTATGCCCATTATACCAGAGATGGCCTTGACGATGCTACTACGGGTCGACGGTGGGATATGGCGGTGGCGTGTCCGTAGGTAGGTGGCTAACTCGTCACTAACCATAGCAAACTGACATGTTTTACAAATAGCGAGTGCATACTCTTCATAAAAGATAAACGGCTCCATTACTAGCGTAATTACGATAGTCTTGGGCCGTGGTAGTTGTGGGCTACTACCGAGATAAGTGGTGTTAGTCTTACATATTGGTGGATTGATGTTGACTGTGGTTGAGTTAAGATGCTGTTGGACGGGCAACTATCTTAACCACAGCATTAAACTGGACATGGGCGCTATCTCCTCATTCGGTAGCTGCAGCGCATTCCTTATCTCGTTTAACTATACTAAACTGCTTACCACAAAGGAAACGCTAGGTAGAAATACTATGATTGGCTGCTGCCTCAGTGAGCATAGCAAGGTTATGTGATGATAGCTCTAGCGTTGATTGGTGCACTGATGCACGAGCCATCTTCACCCCATCAAATCGGCAAACACGAATCTATACAAATAGAGATAAATATTGGGTTATGAATAAAGATAAGATAAGTTCTGAACTCGCCTGATTGCCAGCTTTCGATGCATATCTATATCGTCTATTTTAGCTAAGGAAACCTCTACCAACTCTACCCCTATAATCTCTATCAACTCTACACCCTAGTATTCACGCCCCATAATTATTTTCTATGGCGTTTTCTATGAACTCTACTACAGTTCGTCGTGTCCTAGAGGTTAGGCTTACCGAGATGGATGAGGTCGGCATGCTTTATGATGTTATAGGCATGATGAACGTATGCTACAGAATGCAGATTCTATGGTTATGTATGGAGGGGTTATAGTATACTAGTTGCTGAATCAAACGGCCAAATACAAACTCGTTAAACATATGCGATTTGAGATCTTGACTGCTCTTAGCCTTTACTAGACGTCTAGCTTTGGTAGTGATGCTGTTCAAAGGTTCGACGCACGAGCCATCTGAGTAACGGCCACCCTACCGATCATTGGTGCAGCCATGCACGAGCCATCTTGACCCTATCAAACCGTCAATCACGAATCTATACATATAGAGGTGAATACTGGGTTTATAATAAAGGTAAGATCATTTCTGAGCTCGCCTAATTCTCAGCTTTCGATGCATGTCTATATCGTCTATTTTAGATAAGAAAAACTCAATGAAGCTGACCCCCTGTCGTTTCAATGAATCTGACCCCTTGTTTTTAGGGACCCATTTCTATTTCTATGGGCATTTCAATGAATCTGAGTCGGATTCATCGTTGTCTGTATGTTAGGGTGTACCGCAGCTAAGGCAGTTGTTGAAGCGAGAGAGGAAAAGACGATTGATATGGCTCATCCAGTCGTCTCTCAACACAAGTAGACTAGCTTCCCTCCTCCAAGGGCTTGGAGGCCCGTTCCGTTGGTGCTCTAGATCAATACCCGAAGGTTGTCCTCCAAACGGACTCAGATGCCACCTGAGACGGAAGGTGATTCATCTCTGTAAGCAACGTCTTTCGCGAATAAATTTCATTGTGTGATTTAAGTAGTAAGCCGATAATCAACAAAGAAACACTGAATGAATGTATGTGATCCTCGTCCTCTCTGCTTCCCCTACCCCTCTCCGAGTCCATAGTCAGTGACGTTCGATGACAAGGGGCACTTCCGTTAGACATTGTGGCTCTCCTCTGGCGTGTGCTGCCCGTTCCAAAGACCAACAACACTCATGTATTCCGACGCTGCTTGCACTTGTCATGGAGAAGATGGCCATTCCTTGCCGTCGTCCTCGTGAACTCCGCGCCGCAATTAGGGCATGTCGCTTTAGTTGCCGTCCCAGACTTTTCTCTTCGATGCCTCAGGAGGTTGCTAAAGGTTGAAAACTGTCTTCCGTTGCAGCCGTGTTCCCAGCATTCAGGTTTAGACCGGCTCTCCACCACCCTGACGTGACCCCTTTGGTCTGGGGCTCCGGGGCCCATCGATGGCGGCACGCCATACATCAGGCTCGGGTCTTGTCCAACAGGCATCGAGTGTCGGTTTCTGTGTCGGATTTTTATTAGTTTCAAGCGTCTTTCTTGGATAATGCCCGTTTCGGTAGGTTTCTTTCTCAACATACCCGTATTGTGCTGACGGTTGGAACTGGTTGGAGTAATCCATGCCACCCATGCTGTAGGCCTGGGCCATTGGTGGATATCCGCTCTAGTAGCCATGGTCTGATAGAGGTGGGCTGTAAGACGGGGGGTATGATGATGATCCCATTGAAGTGCTTGGCTCTGCGAGGAGGGAGACTGGCGCCGGTGCTGTCGTGTGCACGGTTACACCCATTGTTGAAGACACGTCGGGTAGACTGAGGGGAGGAGAATGGATGTGGGAGTTGCTACCAGCTCTGTGTATGCGTTGTGATGCCTTGGAGTCTCGGCGAGCCATGTCTCTTTGCTTCTTCAATTCCCTCTGTTCTGGTGTCAAAGTACCCCGTGGCGGACTTGCTGCTACTGATCTGGAACCACTTGGGGGTGTGAGGCTGGCGTCTTGGTGATGATCTCCGAGCAAAGAGAGGTTATGGCCGGGTAATGATCCGCTTGCTTCGGGGTTGTCGAGACCTTCAAGTTGAGAATGTTAGAGAGTCCAAGCAGGGTACAAGAAGTGAGTTGAAATCGAAGGTTAATTACCAGGCGAAGTACATGCTGGTTGGCTACCCATGGTGGAGGAAGGGCCAAATGGAATAGCAACAATGCCGAAGAAGGTGGAAGTGTCGGATGGTCTTTATAATCCAGTGGCTCATACAATGTTGGAAGTGCACCTTCATGCTTGCTCCAGTTCGCAAAGACGGGGAGGACTGGTTGGAAGGGTAGTCCGTGGGGGATGCACTCTGACTAGAGATGTTGAATTTGAAGTGGGATGTACCTGATGTTCGTTCCACTCTGCTGTCTCTAAGATCTCGGGAGGTTAGAGAGGAAAAGGCGAGGATCCTCGTGAGTTGGAGATTAAGAGAACGGCTGCTGAGTGGGACGGGTTGAGTCTGATATAACCGGAAAAATGGCGAGCTTCAGATATGACCGAGGGGTTGGACTCCCACGGTAGCGTTCTGAGATATGGACCACTTTGACGCTGGCGGATTGGCCAGGAGCAGCTTCCAGACGACTCGCTGCCCTGGATCTGGGTGTGAGTGCGAAAGAACCTTGACAAACTTTGCCTCCGCAAATTGCTCGCCCAAGATTGACGTCTTAATCTCTGGTTTCTTCCAGCAACTCAACACCTTAACGAATTCCACATGTACCAACACCACCGAAATCACAGTCAACGGCACAGATCCGCGCCGCCTCCCCGTCTTCAAAGGGACATTGACTGAGATGGCACAAGACGCATTTGACATCACCCTCCATCTGAAAGACCAGTGCGGAAACCCTGCCCGTGCGGATGTTCCGATATCAGTCGCGCTAGGTGATACCTAATGCATCGTCCTCCCAGGTACCACGGGTGACTTCGTCGCAAATTGCGCATTCCCGGGAAGCGGAAGCAATTCAATGGAGTGTGAGACGTCTGTTCAACAGACTCTGGATCATTTGACGCAGGGATCTCTGGTGGGAAGGTGCCCACCTCTCACGTCGGTGTGGAGTCTACTCTTCCAGCAACTCGGCAGTGTCATCAACGTCGACGAGCTTCTCCGGCCCTTCATCGATGCAGGACTGCAACTTGGCTCTGATGTCGGTAAGGAAATACTGGCTGTCATTGACAGCTTTATGAATCTTTACGACTTCTCGGCAACAACCTTCAAGAACTCGACTTCGGGCTCTGGATCGGGCCTAGGTGATATTGTTGAGGGATACGGTGTCACAACTATCAAAACGGAAGTCTGCTATTCTCTCATCTTGACTGAGACGTTGAACCTCACTTTCACGGCTGGAACCTCCACAACACCCATCTCACTCGCAAACATAACGGCCCTACCCTCAACAGGCTCAGAGTACGAGCGCAACGTCACAGACCCGACAGCACTTGCATGCTGCCCGAATGCAAACGCTTGCATTGTTCAAGATGGGGAACGGTTCTACCCACCCGAAGCCTCGATTCCTGACTCTGATTGTCTCTGCGGCAAGACTTTGGAGGGCGGGGGCATTGGGTTCCGGACGGGTAGATGCGTCGGGTATGATCAGTGTAACTCGACGTCTCCCTGTGCTGGAGGTGGTGTATGTCTGGTTGACAACTGTTGTGGCTTTAATGTCTGTGTGAAAGGGACGGAGTGCTCTGCTCCAAAGGCCGGTGGGATGCGGCTGAATCTCTTTGGGACGGAGACTTCTGGAGGGCTTTTCTGTGGGCAGTACACACTGCTCATCTGGACCAACGAGGCAAGCAATGAGGCAATACGACTGGTATTGACGGTTGGTTGGTGATGTTGTGGTGAAGGTGGCTGCGGTGGGCTGGATCAACCAGGGGGTGGATCAGGCAGCTGGTGCCTGGGGCACCTGTCACTGCCTCAGGTATCCACAGTCCCACATTTTCTGATTGTTTACTAGTCATATTCAACACTTCATGTCGTCTCATTGATTTCGCAAATGACAAGTACAGCTGCTAGAACGCTTCAGGCGAGGACAGGACACATTCATCTTGACCGAGTCCTATCTCACTTGTGGCAATTAGCTTATCGACTTCTCCTAAAGTCGTTGCACGCAAGAGCTTTTGTGGCTAATGTTGAGCCGCTGCACCCATAACGATGTACCTTCGGACAAATATCTGTATGCACGTCGATATAAGCTACCCTTTTGATACTCGACCGATGCCTATCCGAGCGATCGGGTTAGCCCGCAGCTACATGGTCTGCATGCGGTAAGACTCGTGTAGCCCATGCAGCTGACGAATCCACAACACCTTGGAATGGCACATTGGCGGGCTGCGTCGTTCTCCTCATGTTGTTTCTAGCCAATAGAATGACAGCATTGGGTGCTGATTTCCAAGCTGACAGAAAGGATGCAGAAACGCGCTTTTGTCCGTTTGCCCGGCACGCGAGATCTGTCGCTTCGCCAGGGGTAGCATCCTTTCGTTTGCAACCACCACGAGATAAGATTGATGAGCAATCATTGAGAAGTCCGGCGATTGAGCTGTCGCGAGAAGCGAAGAGGCGAAGTTGAGTTGAATATGCATATGGGTTATTTCGGGGATGAAAGTTGGCTCTCATACCTGATGGTTTGGAGATATAAGGAAGATGATGTCTCCTTGTTCTTCCATTTCTTTTGAAGTATTATCACAACTCTAACATCATCTAATATCAAATTATACATACTACCACGATTAGTTCATACCGATCACACATGCAAGTACTCTTATCAAGTCTCGACAAGCAGGACCCAAAAATCATCTCTCCAGCCATGTCTAGCCATTCTCAGTCAAGTCGGGCGATCCTCGTCACTGGCGCAACCGGTAAGCAAGGCGGCGCCGCGATTGATGCACTTCAAGAGTCAGAAATCGGCAGCGTTTATAAAATCATCGCCGTCACTCGCAATGTCGCTTCTTCCAAAGCCAAAACCTTAGCATCGCGTGGGGTCATTGTCATTCAGGGCGATCTCAATGATGTTCCCGCTATCTTCTCCGACGCCAAAGCAGCTTTGAGCTCTTCACAAGCCGAGATTTGGGGTGTCTTTAGTGTACAAGTACGTATAGGAATCCTGGTCTACTCGGTTCATGTTGCTAACGGACATCTAGACGGCCATTGGCAAAGGGGCATCGGCAGAGCTCGAAGAAGCCCAAGGCAAGGCGCTAGTCGATGCAGCTCTATCCAACAATGTCAAGTTCTTCACATACAGCTCCATCGACCGAGGCGGAGACGGCTCATACGACAATTACGTCCCTAGTGTATCTCACTTCGTCAGCAAATACCGCATCGAGCATCACCTGGTTGAGAAAGCGCGCGGCAAGATGGACTGGATCATTCTTCGACCTGTTGCATTTATGGAAAACATGGAGCCGGGAATGGGTATCAAGATCATGACTACATCGTGGCGCGTCGCGGTCAAGGATAAGCCTCTCCAGTTGGTTTCTGTCAAAGATGTAGGACGAGCCGCCGCGAAGGCATTCCTTCATCCACAAGAATTCGCCGGCAGGCAGATTCCTTTGGCTGGCGACGAGCTCACGCTAGAAGCTGCCAGTGCCATTTTTAAGTCTAAGAAGGGGACGGAGATCCCAGAGACGTTCCAGTTTCTGGTCAGATTCCTGCATTGGATGATCCCCGAGTTTGGCGCCATGTACAGATGGTTCTATACTGATGGCTTTGGGGTCGATATCGCGGCTGTGAAGCGAGAGAGCTCCGAGATGCTGGACTTTGGTTCTTGGGTGGAGAAAGAATACGATCAGGATGGAAAGCGAGTCTAATCTAGGGCTGGGGAAGGGTTTCCTCAAGTGAGATGGTCGAGGGGAGAAAGAAAAGGATATCTCTTACAGGGTAATAAGCATTGAGCTTGTTCTGGATGGACATTAATGAGATTGTATATCGGGATACGTATAGGTTGAATGATAGAGTGGAGGAAAAGTAATGTTGAAGTACCTTGACTTGGACCTTCTACCTTAGTGAAAGACCAAGGTTTCAAATGCTTTATTTGACAGGCAAGACTATCTATCATCCCAAACAAGCACCTTTGCATCTAGGTGCCGTCCTCAAAATCCGAAGCATCCAAAGTTCTCTGCTCCAATACTCGGCCCACATGAGTCTTGTCAATCGACTCACAGTTTCTCCGTATCTTCATCAGCACGACTTTGATGAACTGCACGAGGTACCCCCGATCGATTACTTGTGGTAGTTCAATATCATGATCGACCCTTGAGTCATCCGATTCCAACGTTAGAAAGCGCCGTAGGTCCCGGTACTGATCCATTGACTTGACATAAAGTTGACCCGAAAACAGGTTCAGCTCAGTGACAAGTCGAAGGGGGAGGTTCTGAGGAAGTCTTTGGTGCGGGATGGTGAAGAGATTCAGATCATCCAAAGAACGGAACCCGAGGTTAGGTCGTGGGGCGTAAAGATTGAGCGAAACAAAGCTGGAGTTCTGTATGTCTGGCAGAAGTTTTTGAGCCTCAAAGGGGCTGATGATGATCGCAGTGTCGATACCACGAGCCCTCGTGAGAACCCACTGCACAGATCTCTGAAACAGATCCGAGACATAACCTGAACTTTCCCCCATTGGAATGATTGTTCGAGCAAAGTCTGTTGTTACCAATAGTCCCTGCAGAAACTTATTCACATCGTAGTGTTGAGCGGCGCTGGTTTTTGACAGAGATTGAAAGGCAAAGATGAATGCCTCCGAGTGGCAATCGAGCGTACCATTAGTCACGAATGCGCGGAGGTCTGGGTGTACGTGATGTCTCGCAGGCGAAGCCGGAGGAGCCTTTTGCACTTCCCTCTCTTGCTCGACTTCTGGCGATAGCTCCCGTTCTTGTTCTTCTCGAAATGTTGCAGATACTGCGTTGTGACGGCCAAACTGGAGCAGCCTTTCGGTAATTGCATCGCCAGTACCTTCATCGCACATTGAACCGGGTGGTAATTGATGACCTGGTTGATATCGAGTCTCGAGAGTCTGTGCCTCCTCTTCAAGGAATCCCTCTGTGTGGTCATCAGTCAGGTTTGTGAATCCGTCTACTATGCAGTCGTCCCACAGGACTCGATGTTCCTGGTACCGACGACCTTGGTTTGCCCACAACCAAATGCCTCGCTCCATATCCATGAGCGTCTCATGTATGGACCACTCTAGAACATGAGTCACTTCGATTGAGGACTCGTCAATTTCCGACTGAGAGGCAATCTTATGCTTGATTTCGTCGGACACACAAAAAATAACCGACTGGCCCTTCCCAAGCTTTCTCATTCGCATGCAGGCTTGGAAGGACTATTAGTGATAATTCTAAGTCATGCAAATCATTTGAACTTACCTTGAACCAATCTGTCTTTGGTCAAGTTTGCCCCCAAAGTTACTGCTGCCCGATATCCTGCCGGAAGTTTCAAATCGGTCCCTCTCGTATGAGCCTCGTCAAGGAAGACAAGACAGACGTCTGTCTGAGTGGCGAACGGTGAAGTCTGCAAGCTTTCGACACGGCCCTTACGATCCACAGCACAGATGTTATCGTGATCATCGCAAAAGATAACAGCTTGTGTTGTCTCGTTGTCTTCCGTCATCTCGAGCCACTTTTTCGCAACTCCGATATTATCTAGTTCCAAGATTTGAGCGCCGACATCGAGAATCACTCGAGCGGGAGGCTCCAGTCCAACAACCATCTGCAATAGGGTTTCGGCGTCTGACTTTAATGTGTTCTTGTCTGATGCTGGAATCATTGCCACGGAGTTCTCGTCCTGAAGTAGATACTCGAGTACTAGAGCATTCGTGTGCTTCTGATCCGGTAAGTCCAGCTGCTTGACGCTCAACGGCAAGAAGGCTCTCGAATCGTTTGTCCCGCTGAAGCCAGTCGTCGCATTTGCTTTCCTCTCTCCTATATCCCATCCCGAGGCAGATAGCTTGTGCGGAAATTCCTTCATCTCCTTGGGAAATACCAGGTGATGAAGGAAGTAGTCGATAACACCCTTGGAATGTCTTAGACATGGGAATATCTGTTCAATGCACTGTGGACGATCTTCCAGATTAACGCCAGGTAATTGATGGAACGAGAGTGGTAATTGATCGCTGTCCTCAACCCAGAAGCGGTATTCCATGTCGGCCATGTCCGAACGAACGAGATGCTTGAAACTCAAAAAAAGATCGGAGTCAGTCAAGCCGCCATAGTAATAACTCAGCGATGTTAGAATGATAACGACGTCTGGATGACTGAATTCAGAACGGGCGCTCGGATTGTCTTTTGCTCGATACGGCACTGCAAGTTGTGTAGGTGGCCGCCTACTATGATCGAGGCCGAAATCGACCCTCCATCGCTTTTGACAGAAAACGAAGCTGAGAATCTGGCCGGCAATGAGCCCTCGTAGGAGTAGGATGCTGTTTTGCGTAGCTGGCAACCAGATATTTGACCTTTCCACCGCATCGACTTCAGACTGTGTGAGGCTCGTCTTAGAGATGTAGGTGTAAACTGCCTGTTGAATGGAGGCAGACTGAGTCCCCATCGGAAGTCCAGTCAATCCAGATTCGCTGAGACGACGAGCCATACGGTTGAGCAAGGTAGTCTTCGCGTCGTCGCGCAAGATTCGCGTTCGAGGAAAGCAACCACTATTTCTCCCAGCAACCTCCAAGGAGCTATGGTATCTCTTGTGGATGTCAGGCAGCAACCTCCTCATGACTTCAAGGACCTGATGTATGCATACCCATCGCTCCGGGCTATGTTCAACAGGCCGCTGAGTGCCCATGGTGTACACCAGCTCGAACTTGACGCTGAAGTTTTCATCACTTTCGTCCACAATGTCGCGAGTAACTTTGTCGAGAAAGTCCTTGGAACTGACGAGCATTCGACTAACGCTCACACTCCCAGCAATGGCTGTCTCAATCGCCATAAGCTTGAACGAGAGAATATGTTCTGGTTGAACTAACAGAATCCCTCCAGAGTCCATGCACTCTTCAAAGATGTGTTGAATAGCCATCGCCTCTGAGGGCCCGACTTTGACGGCCCTAGAAAAGGGCATATGGAAAATGCGTCTTTGAAGTAGGCCTCCAAGCTTCGAGTCGAGCATTTCGAGCATCTGCTTTGACTGAGGCCTTGCCACAATAACCCGAACAAGTCGTGTTCCGTCCGCAAGAGCGGCTGCCACAATAGGCACAATGACCGACGACTTGCCTTCGCCCATGTTCAATTGCATGACAGCGTTCTCATCGTCGGGCGGACTTCTCATGCTTTCCGCGATCTCTTCCTGCACCTCCCTGACTATTAAGCCGCTCTCAATCTCTAGCAGCAGAGTGTCTGGGTACTTCAAAGGGGACCAGTTCGTGTGGCTAGGATTACGCAACTCATTCGCCAATGCAGCTGGGTCTTCTAAGCAACCCAGCATTCGCTTCGCTCGTTGAAATTGCGTGAGTGCGATGCCGAATTGCGACAATGCCATCTTCCAAAGAATTGGTGTTGAATCACGATGTAGATGATTTAGTCTGCGAAGAAGGGTGGAGGTTGAGAGCCTCGGATACTGGTAGAAGTCAGGCAATAAGGTGGGTAATCTTAAATGACCTGTTTCTTCGCAGCTCACAAGGCGGCCGACGATGAGTTCGTATGTCTCCTGAACAATTGCTTGCCAGCGATGCAGGTAGGAAACCACCAGTTTCGCAACCTCTTCTGGCGATGCGTGGTAATGATCTTCTGACAACTGACGACGCTCTAAAGCCTCCATGCTTGAAGCCAAGGCCTCGACGTAACGTCTCTCGTACTGACCGAGCTTGCGGTGACGAAGCCGAAGCCGCGAAAGCAGCGCGGGTAATCTATGCACTCTCTTGGAACGCTTGCTAGAAGAATCGTGATCCAAAGTCCAAACTTCCTCGCTCAGAAAAGGCGGCGGAGAATTCATGAACAAAGAGTCTTCGGTCAGAAACCGAGGCTGGTCATATGTGGGCCAGTCTGTTGTTGCCAGCAGAGACGCCGCCAATTCCAGTGGATTGACTGCAGTCGGCAAGAAGCAAGCTACCTCTCGAAGGTATTTCTGAAATTGAAGGTTGTCGTACCAGGTTTGGAAAAGGGCCCTGATACTTGCCATCGCACTACCCACGTCTATATATCTATTCCAATTGTTTGTCTTTTTGTAGCCGGCGGGCAGGTTCGGAACGCGACAAGACCACTGAGACTTTACCATGTTGAGAAAGGTTTCCAGAGCAATGTTTCTGTTGCTGAGGAATTCGCTCTCTCGCCGTTCCATGAATGAATGGTCGTCTTCATAGGCCAGTCGCTGCATACACATCTCGGGACAGGAATCGAAGGGCTTGAAATTCTTCATGGCCTCATTCCTCACTGTTGAATCCATATAGTTCATGCCATTCGAGAGATCAAAGCCATCTGCCACAGGTGCGGAGAGTGCGTGGATAGTGCTGCTTGTCTTGAATGAAGCCAAGGTCTGGATAACCGCGAAGTCTGCATTCGCTGCAAAGGCCATCGTCGCCAACCAGATCATCACCTTATACTTGTTGCTGCTCTTCAACTTGGACTGTAGCGCAATCCAATTTTCCGCGATGAACTGATAGGAATCCGAGAGAAATTCGGCATTGTATGTGATGTCGTCCACCGAAAAAGGTGAATGCGGGCCAAGTATAGTAATTCCTTTGGAAAGGAAGCTCGATAGATAGATTTCCATGGAGCTTGGAACTGGCATTGATAGGATCGGCTGATCAAACAAGACGAGTTTGGACGCCGAATATGCTCGAAACATTTGAGGGGGGTAGGACCGATCCCGTGGTTCGTAGACAACGTCGTGATCAATAGTATGACACTCAGCGCCAAACCCTGATACCCGAAACATTGCCGTTCGGATATTGTCCCGTGCTAGAAGTCGGGAACTCGTGGGTTTCAACTCGAGTGACCCGACATCCTGCAGTGGTTGAAAGAACTTTGACTGGTTGTTTTGCGTGAAGATGGCCTCGACATATTCCCGGTATAGACCATGTTGGGATAAGGAGCCAAGTTGCGAGTTCCAGTCAACTTGTTGCATGACACGTTCGTTGACTGGATAGTAACGTCTGCATGGAGTCAGACGAGAAATTTCAGTCAAAAGTTTGACGTTCTCTGGTCTCAGCACATCGAAAGACCTGACTGAGGCAGAGCTGAGAATCGACAAAGCCTCTTCGGTACCCGTTCTGTGCGTAAGAGGATCCGGGATGACAAAAGATGTCAAGGAGTGTAGGTAACAAAGAAACAGCTTGCTCTGTCGACTGCCATTGCTGGCGAGCCTATTCAGTGTATCGTCCACGTCGTAGGCATGAACCCTTGGTGCAAAACCCTTGCTCACAGTGACTTCGACATGGCCATCCTTCTTCAAGAACGAAATATTTCCTTCGAGCACTATGATCTTGCGCCCGACAGGGAGAGCGGGATGTGGGAGTTTGTCGACTTTGAGGACCAACTTGTCTTTCAGACCGATCAGAGTTCCGACTGCCTGATTTGGGTCCACCGACATGCCACGATATTGTCTCGACATCATGGAGGCCTCCCCTTGCTTGAGACTGAACTCCAGCATAGCGCGAGGTAGCTCTATAGAAACCATTGAAGTCTTCATGTGATGAATGATGTGGATCGAAAAGGGGTCTTCTAATGGCTCGAGAATCTTCGAGATAAGCCTTGCAGAGCGACTGTTGACGTTGACCAGACACGATTCATTACGCCTAAGCACCCAGGTTCCGGTGAATCTGTCTTTCAGAAGCTTCCAATTGGACGTTGAATGATTCCATGGCTTTTTGAGGCTGCAAAACTCGATGCAACCATCCTCGTAGTTGTACCAATGAACAAAGCCGCTGACGAATTTGGTGGGGAACAGTCCTTCAAAACAACTCTTTGGGACAAGGTCAAATTCCCGTTGACCCTGCATTGCCTGTACCAAGAGACTTCCCTCGCTGTCAAGGCTTAGGTTGACAGCATGGCCAGCGTAGTGACGTTTCGAGGAAAAAGTCATCCCAGGTTTTGCCGCGCGCAGAATCTGAAGGGAAAGCCGCCCAAACAGATTCTGATATGTCAGGTGGGTGAGATAGTTCTGAGGCAAATGGTCGAGAGGAAGGCCGTTGACGAGGAGCTCGCCAGTTACGAGGTTAAACTGTACAGCGAGATGACTGGTTGTAGACGCAGTGACACTGGTCAACCACGAGCTATGCGTCTCAGACAGTGCCTTCCACTGGTGACTGGGCTCGTAGCTAGACCAATTGGCACTGATGGCATCGTCAAGTCCAGCACTGCTGCCTAACAAGATTCCCTTCGCTAGATAGCTGTGGTGAATGTAGGAGGCTCGTTGCCACCGACTATGAAGATGGCTGACAAATGCATCCACAGATCCAAGTAGTATTTGGCCTTCTTGGATAGCGATGCAGCACTGGAAGAAAGTCGAGACGGCGGAGCTTTCGGAAAAGATATCGCGCTGAAATTGGTCGTCCACGTTGAAGGTGTCTGCACAAATCAACCCAACCTCGAGTGCCCGACGTTGAAAATCCAGTTTGTCATTGTCGTCATCAGAATCCTGAGCCTTCCCCCTCAGGCGCTGGCTCCAACAAAATGTTATACGCCTTGCTTGAGAGAGTATTCTGAGGCATCTTTTCTGAACACTCACTAATGGAGCAAGGCTCAGAATACGTCGAGTCATGGCTGTGAAAGTGGCAAAGGCAGATAAGGACTGCCAATTCTCCTCATAACGAGTGATAGCTTCAGCCAATCCGTCAAGCAGCGTATCCGCAAATCTTTCGTCTTGACAAATTGCATGCGCTCTTCTGTACTCCGAATCACCATCCGGTCCTGCTTGAGAGATGCATTGAAGAATGACCAGGGCAGTCTCCCGCTTCTTCAAATCGACCGAAGGAGCGAAAAGTTGCAAAAGAATGTTTTCCCATTGCAAATTGTATCCCAAAGGAATTGAAGCTAGGGCCTTGTACTCCTCGAGTGACATGTCATGAGGACACTCGTGAAGTGTGGCGATGACGGTGTTGGGCGTTGGGCCACTTGGGCATGTCGACGGCCGGAAAAGAAACTTTTGTAAAGCCGTCGAGGCCGCGGGTAATTGGTAAGTGCATTCCTTGGGAATGATATCAGATCCTCCAAATGATTCCATGAAGCAATGCCTGCGATGATCGTAGTAGGCGTAATGCAGTCCATTGCTCAGACAGACCTGATTTTCCGTGGCAGTTGCTACATGCACCGTCTTCCGGTGGGTTGCCATGTGCGGCTTGGCCTCTGAAAGCAAGCTGACGAAGTGTGGCGTGAATTGTCCTCGAAAATAGTGGTAGAGAGCATTGTAGTCTTTCAAGGAGTAAGAAGACTCTCGTATCTGACTACCCATTCGCGGCGTAACTTTGAGAACCTCAAACAGGAAGAACACGGTAGCCTCCCGCCATTCTCCGAATGATCCTGGCACTGAAAGCTCGAATACGACTGATTCTGCATCGAGCTCTCGTGATGGCAGCGGCCATTCATGAATATCGATTTGCAAGCTGTTGGCCTGATTGTGGTACGAACAGCGGGCGCAGCCGCCGCTGTGGCTTCTGTAGTACCTCCCCGTTCTCCGGTTGTACCCATCATGATACTCACAATTGCCGGCATGATACTTGCGCATGAGACCTGCGTACTTCTCTTTCTTTCTGTTTAGTTCTCCCACTTTCTTTTCCCTGTCTCGTTGCGCCTTTGCCTCGATCTCATCTTTCAGGCGCTGGTGTTCCCTAGACTGCTGAAAATAACGAACAGGGAAACAACGTGGAGAGCCGTAGGTGTTGTAGATGCTAGGAGCGGATGCTGCAGTCTTGCAACTGCGGTTTCGATCGAGTAGATACTTCTCTGCGTTGTGAAGTCTCTTTATCTGGCTTTTGAGCGGAAGAAGCAAATTCTGTAGAACGCCTGTGGGAATTTCGGGGTTGTAGTCTCTCAGCATCGGGAACAGGTGCACAGCAGCTTTGTCGCAAGCAACCCATAGTTCCAGAATTGTCAGCAGCATGACGGAAAGTGACTCTGGGTTTCCAGCGTAAAGGCCGTTGGCGGTGATGTGATACGCCTCAATAACGCTTCGTATCTTGGTACATGATCCATTGTAACCTTGGCTGGACTCGCCTATCAGCCAAGCCTGTAGATGACGTTCAACCCATGTTTCAAACACAACTAGATGCAAATGCAAATGTTCCCTGTCTGGTTGTAGCACGGCCGAAGGGAAGATTTCCGGGTCGTACTTGATCAAAGTCCACGATGGAGTAAACTCGAAACCTTCCGAGTGACATCTTCGACTGTAAATAGAAGCTAGGAAGCTGTCAAGAGCTGGCAGGTGCAGGTGCGAGTCTTCATCGAAGTCTAGGGTTTTGAGTTCGGCCAGTTCTATGGCTAAACCAGGTGAGGTCCGTTGTTGAATGCGATCCCAACGATCGGCGAGGACCTGGTTAGCTCGCAGCATTGTCTGATGTACGAGGTCAACGATAGAGGGGATCCGGCCATTTGAGATTTTGCCCAGTCGTCTAGATAGTTTCGAGATCATGACGAGTATAAGGTCTGATGGGACTTCCATGTCCGTGTCGATGCTGTGACGAAGCAATTTGGCCATGAAAAAGACCATGAATGCTTTGTAAAGACTGCAACTTGTGTCGTCGATATTGCGATCAAATGCTAACTGCAGACTGACTCTAACAAGCAGCCAAGTAGGGGAACGACGCCACGGAAGAAGGGCATCGCTCCAGTTGACTTCTTCCCGGGTATTTTTCGAGATTCTTGTGCCGACAAGAGGTTTCCCTATAGCTTGGAAAGACGAAAAGAAGAGCTCGGTAACCATTTTCGGACTTGTGGTCTCGCGGTGCTCCTGATGGAGCTGCCCAGCTTTCTTGGCTAATGGTTGGGTTCCTGGGGCAGGCTGTGAGCTCATTGTCGACAAAACGTCAGCAAGTGTCTCTTGACAGCCCGGCTGGCTGAACTCCTCTAGATGTATGGAGATTCCGGTTCCGGGGAAGGTTCGCTGAAGACGACCCAAGTTTGACATGACTGCCTGATTGGTTGGAGACAGCTCAAACGCCTCCACGTGTATTGCGTCGTGAGCCTTGGTGATGAGTACACCCGCATTCTGGGCCCGGACGTTGAGCGGGATGATTTCTCCTTCGATGATGTTAGCTTTGTGAGCTTATCGCAAGCAGGTATTACCAAAGGTCATACCATCGGCCAGATTCTGCAAACTTTTAAGGATGCCGTACTGCTCAATTGCAAGCGTCTTCCCCAGAGGTTTATGAATGCGTATCATGGCATCCAACAGACCAATGGCAATCCTTACGGAGGGCTTTTGACCATTGGGAACATGCTTGATAAACTCGGTAACAGAATCTTTGACAGCTCGGAGCAAAGCACTCTCGTTCTCCGGGCTGAGGTCATCGGCGTGAGGCAATTGGGGCGGCAGGAAAACATGCTGAATGATGAAATGAAGATCAGTCTGGTTGGCCATTTTACTTTGGTCGAAGAGGAATGAAGTGATTGGCAAGAACGTTTTGACGAAGTCGTACGGTATGAAATTGAATGATGATAGTTGAGGAGAGCGTTAAAAAGCTCAAGTATGTAGTGTCCAGGGACGTCAAGTATAAAACTTTCCCCTAGAGCTCAAATCAACCCTTCTCAGGAGTTCATCAGCCACCTCCGAACTGACAGGGTTCCCTGGCATTGTCGTCGAATAGCCCTCTGCCTAGAAACTCTCTCTCAGAAGACTTACATCATAGGACGAGGTAGAGCTTGGGAGATAAGCTCGTACCTAAGCCAAACATGTTCCGGCGTGCTGAGATAGGGAGGTCTCAATCTATCATAGATTGTGAGGCACGACTTTCGGCAGGCTCGAATGGCGGTCTTGAGCACACCCGCCTTGTCCAATCCGATAAGGTTGTTTGAAACATGCAGAACTCAATGCGGGAGGCCGTCGTGTGCAACTGTCAATCAGGTAACGTATGCGGGGTTGATTGGTAGCACAGCAAAGTTAGTCCAAAACTAGTGCTCCTCGTCCACATGCTCAGCAGAGCCATCTATCTGCCGGGAGATGCGAAGTCCGAGACACGCCAAATATCATTGTAGGCCTCAACTTTGTTACTCGAAAACATGCGGGATGTCCGCATCTCGCGTCATCATTTTCTTGAAGCCGGCGACATTGACCGGGGAAAAACAGCTTCAGTCGGCCTCCTACTTCTACTGAAACACAACTTTTCTATTCTCAAGATAAGGTACCCCAACGCGTACGTCTTCATGTTGGACTGTAGATTCTCCTCGCAGGCACCATCGAACCTTTGTCCATGGCTCGGAAATTCGCGTCTAGCGGGGGATTCAGAGAGAGCCCGGTCGTCACACTTGCTTTTTCTCAGCATCCTGAGTAGATACCATCAGGTCACCTGGCCTCAGTGATATTGAATCACCTCGTGACAAGAATAGGATCAGAGCGCCTGGTGGAGGTTGATATGGCAGCGAAGATGACGGTGAAGACTCGAATGGAATGAGAGACCGGGGACGAGGCGCGGGCGGGCAGGTGATATCGCTGAACTTGCAAATTTCAAAAAGGAAGAGGAAAGGGGTTCAAGACTCGTGTTGATGCTGGCGGGGTCGACTTGGATTTTGTCCATGCCAAACGCCTCATAGCTTTTTCACGATAGTCGCATTTGTCTGCTATCTTGTTCAGAAGCTCTACTATCAACCTCTTTGGATTTCGTACAACAGTTAGCCTATGGCACAATTGGTGTCGTTGTTGACTTCCTGAAGCAAAGCAACCTGGATGCACCTTCACTTTTCTTCATCTGACGCATTCCCTTCCACCTTCCGCGTTTTCTCTCACCCCCCCCCTCTCTCACCTTCCCTACAGGTAGTTACCTTTCACCTCCCTTCTCATCTTTCCTCACTTCACCCACGCTTGAACTTCAAGTCGTTTTCTTTTCCACTTCCAACTTCCACTACACCCAACCCGCCGTCGATATAATTCTTGCGGCCTTTGCATCATTCGAAAACATTTCAGCAGCAGTAGCTTGTCACCAGCCAGTCGATACTCAGCACAACAATTCACCACCCTCTTAAAATTTTCCTGTTACCTTTGAGTCACGACGCTTTCCGTGGAACCACACACGACCATCTCACCATGTCGGATACTCCCTCATCTCCCACCCCTCGTGCAATTTCCGAGAACGCCATTCGTCCACTCTATCCAATCATCTCCCCGTCCGATCAACGGGCCAGGGTCGGGTGGCCGTTGGAATGCTATGATGATCTGACAGCGACGGAGAAAGGCATCCCCGACGTCTGGATGGAAAGACACCACGAGTGTTCTCGTTTGTGGAGACTTAATACAGCGGAAGAGAAAGAGGCTGCAAGAGCTAAAGTTTGGGAGTTGGCATTCACAGACTGGGACACCGATACGCCAATTCCTCAACCCGCTCGTGCTGTTGCTAGGAAGACCAAGGATAGCATCATCAAGATTGGAGTCTTGACAGAAGACGCCAAGCCTTCCAAGAAGCTTCATGGGGACGATACCAGTATTGCCGCGTCTGATCCACGCCCTCGTCGGCCGTGCTCTCGTGGTGATGACGTCTTTTTGAAGGCCGAAGTCGATTAGGAGCTCGAGTCTCTAAAATTCAGGGCTTGTGACGCAAGAGGTTCAGACCTCCCCTTCGGCACCAAATATGAGCAGACGCTTGGCTATCCGATATTCACTGCTAAGGAAGATTGCATTGCTAGCTGTCTTGTCAGCGTTAGAGCCGTGGTCTGACACACACACGTATTCGACGGACAAAACACCTACGAAAGGAATTTTCAGCCTATAGAACGGAGCCGTAGTCGCGGAAAAGAGCACGACACATTCCCTACAGCCAGGAGAAGCGAAACGAGGCCACTACTTCCATCCCCAAAGAAAAAGACGATGCTAGGAAGAAGGGATTGTCCAGGATTTGTACACAGTATCCGTAGTAACCTGAGCTTCGGTTATGGGCTAACTTCGTGGAAATAGAAAATGAAGGAGCCCCACTTTAGCCTCGGCAGAAACTACCGGGGCAACATTTTTCCAGATCTGGCGAGCTGTGGTGGTCAATGCGTTCCACGAGAATGTACCGAAGCAACGCGACTTCCCGCACAACGTCACAACGCTCACATCCATCATGCATAAGGGGTTTCTTACCTACCATGGAGGACCAGTCACAATCAGATATCATCAAAGCAAATCCAGTCGGACGTGGTCTTTTTACCTTTCAAGATCTTTTTAATTCCATCTGCAAAGATGCAGATCCTGTCTATGACCAGCACATTCTAAACCAGCTGAGCGAAGAAGGTTATAAGAACACCTGATTATTTATACCCTCGACTATTCCCCATCCACTGACTGGTTCTACAGATCTTCAGAACCTTGCTCTCGTTCTTCTCTCATCACTTCAAGTCCTTCCGGCTGCCCGATTACTCCATTCCAAACGCGGAAGAGCATTCTTTGTCGAATTGTCAACCCTAAACACGAAGATCACGAGCGAAGACTTCGACCTCCAGTGCATCAAACCTCTCCTGAAGGCTGCCCTCGCCGACGACCCTGACGATGAGCTGATTTGGCGTCAAATCAACAACCTCGTTATCGAAGCCACCCCACCGCCCCGAACGATAGCGTCTTCACTTCAACAAACTCCCTGGCTGCACAACACAAGCAGTTTTATAAACTCGTCCGAACACCGCAGATATGTTGACGGTATACTCAAGGAGGAGCTCGGCACTATGTATGTCGGGCTTCCCGGCTTTCGAGACGCATACTTCGGAAGTGTGGCTGGACTTGAGACAGCGTCCAAGATGTTTTTCGATCAGTGCCTCAAAGGGAGCGATCTTGCCTTCCAAAACGGCTGGCGGGGATGGCCCCAGGATGCAAACGAGAAAAGCGTGCTGGAGTGGCTTGCGAACTTCGTGAGGAAGCTAGCGCTGTTTACGAACACCCAGAAGCCAAATACGAAACGTCAACGAGACCTAGCACAGCCTAACACGCCGATGCAGGGTTCCACAGCAGATCGCAAATTGGATGTTGGGTTTGTTGACAACATGAAGCCTGACCAAGAGCCTCGATACCACTGGAAGCAGATACTGGTACCTGGAGAACTCAAGAGCAACCCGTCTGCTGACACAGCCTCCAAGTCGTGGCTCGACCTCGGGAGATATGCGAGGGAAGTGCTCGCTGCACAGGACAGCCGACGTTTTGTCCTGGGCTTTACACTCTGCGGATCCCTCATGAGGGTCTGGGCATTTGACCGGCTTGGAGCTATTGCGTCAAATCAGTTCGACATTAACAAAGATGGGCAGCAATTTGTATCCACGATACTTGGGTTTCTCTGGATGGATGAAGAAGCCCTAGGATTTGATCCGACGGTCATGACAATGAACGGCGAACGCTTCATTGAGATTGAGAGGAATGATTCTAAAGAGGGGATCGTTATTGATGGGATAATCCTACGAGCGCGCTGTGTGGCTGGCCGGGCCAGCACTTGCTGGAAAGCACATCCCCAAGGGCACCCAGAAACGGTACTTGTTGTCAAAGATTCATGGCAATACCTTGAACGCGATGAGGAGGGTGACCTCTTGCGTGAGGTGACAGACAAAGGCGTCGTGAATGTGGCTCGGTATTATTATCACGAAACAGTCCAGGTTAACGAGAAAAACGATGACATCTGGAACAATGTTCGGCACGGTCTAGATGTCACAGCAGCAACCAACTATAGGCCACGACAACAGATACAACCAAGAAACATAGCAAAAGATACCACAAGGAAGGGCCGCAGCAGCACCAGTCAGAAGCGTCCATCCAGCCAAACCGAGTCCACTTTGCCCCCAAACAAGCGATCCTGCTCCGTGTCTCCAACAAAGGCTACAAATATGCCACCAAATCGGGTTCATCGGCGCATCATTCTTAGGGATTATGGCAAGCCTATTTACAGGGCAAGCTCTCGATCAGCACTACTTGCTGCCCTAGTAGGCTGCATTGAAGGCCATGAGTCTTTGTACAAGGCAGGCATCCTCCACAGAGATATATCCATCAATAATCTCATGATCAATGAGGATAGTAGCAACTCATCGTGGCCTGCGTTTTTGATCGACCTTGACCTCGCCATTCGGGAGCAGCGAGAGGGTGCTTCGGGTGCCAAAGGAAAGACCGGCACGAGGGCCTTTATGGCTATTGGGGCGTTGCTAGGCGAGCAACATTCGTTCATGCATGACCTAGAGTTGTTCTTCTGGGTCCTGTTTTGGATATGCATTCACTATGATGCAAATGGCAAAGATGTTGGCCCAACTGGGTTTGACAGGTGGAACTACGAGAGCGATAACACGTTGGCTGAGCTCAAGATGGGTATGGTTGCTGATGAGCAATACTTTCAACAAAAATGTATGGAGAGCTTTACTCCGCACTACCAGCCGTTTATACCATGGGTCAATAGGTTACGCCAGGTGGTGTTTCCAAGTGGTGAAAGGTGGAAAAGGCTGGAGACTGGGCTCTATTGCTCAATGAAAAAGATTCTTCAAGACGCACAGCAGGATACAGGGGTGACGGCAGGCGGATAGTGTACAGCATAGCTGATCACCATGGCTCAGAAGCAAGTTAACCTGGTAATCCATATAGCCAGGTGCCCATGTTTTCTTTGTCTCTTCTCTCCTTCTTTCCTGCGATTTACTCGCTTCAAGGGCGGCGCAGAGCTGACCTATGTCTCAACTACGAGGTCGAATACTGAACGGATCAGTGATAAGAACACGAGTGGATGTGTCTGTTCTCCAGGAAGAATCGGATGGTATTGCGGCAGAGGAGACGTGATCGTGTGGTGATTTGGGATTGGAGGAATTGATGCTGCCATACGAGACTCTCGACGCGAAGAAGGGCCGCTACTTTATATTTGAAGGCGTTGTTCGGTTGTCTGTGTGTAAACGATGTGGAAGGCATGGCTGCCTACCACGACGGGCTGCTACTTCCCTCGCTTCTTGCTGCAACAGCCTAAGGAAATGTATACCCGGTGGCGGCCGGCCAGGCCTCTACTGGACACAGCCACCTCACCTTCGACAACAGGCAGCACGGCCGTAGGAAACGCAAGCCGCCATTTCAACTAGGATGGGGGGCCTACCGATAATTTCTGCCTTCCAACGATTACTTGACAACACCTACCTGGCCGACATCCCCGACCGCTTCCACTTCCTCCGAGGATCGAACCCGCAAATCAACTTCCTCTGCGCAGGTACGGAAAGCGCGCGTCACTGCCTCGGCTGGTTGCTCTTGCCTATGCCAGTCGCTATATTTCGGCAAGGTACCTATCAAACAGGCATCTGGCGGCCCCGAGTAAGTCTTTCAACACAAACAACGATCGCGCGACGACTAATGTATCGATTTCAGACACACGAACCTGCTATCGGAACCACTTCGACCTGCCGCCTTGCGGCCTCATTACCTCTCCTCCGCTTCAGTCTCTCCACCTTAAGTTTGCAACGCGTCCACGACGACGCGCGAGACAAGACTCTCCTCCGCCAACCTGCAGGAACACCAACAGGCTCCGGCAGGCAGAGGCAAGGGTCAACCAAGGCCAGTGGAAGAAGGCTGAGAAGCTACAGCTACAGATTATGGAGATATGGTAGAGGGTGCTTGGAAAGGAGCATCCCGACACGCTGTCGAGCATGGCCAACCTGGTGTCGACGTTTTGGAACCAAGGCCGATGGAAGGAGGCCGAGGAGCTGGAGGTGCGGGTGATGAGGACGAGAAAGAGGGTGCTTGAGAGGAGCATCCCGACACGCTGATGAGCATGTACAACCTGGCTGACACTTGGAAATCTCAGAATCAGTGGAAAGATGCCTTTCAGCTTCTGCAAGACTGCGTTCGCCTCAGAGGGAACGTTCTTGGTATGGATTATCCACATACCATATCTTCTGCATCAGCCCTGTCGGACTGGGAACTACAGTTCGGGGAAAGTAGCCATGAGATTCCATGATACCCCTAGATAATGGATGCTTTTATTTATACATAAGGCAGTTATACTGTGATGAATACGGCGCAAGTGCTATCTTAAAAGGTGGCAACTTTTGCCATCGCGATTCATCATCCTATGCGTATCGTAGGAGGGATGCGCCGTCTTCAACATAATTAGTTACTTCCTGGAACCAGTCATTGGCCAAGTTATCTGTCGGATTGGAAGTCCAATTCGGCCGCGAGTAGGGGCACAGCATGGGCCACCTCGAGGGGGTACACTTAGACCTCGACTACCCACCCAACCTCCGGTTGGAATCTCCCTTCTACTCCTCACGCAGAATCAATCAATACAGAGATATTGATACTTCGTCACCCCCAGGACCCTACGGTTCGAACCAAATTCCCTGTGAAAGGAATACCAACATTATCCTCCACATTCCCATTAACATAGATAGAGCTTTAACCACCAGGTAAAGCTGGTTTTAACGTCGTATACTAGGCACAGAAGACCAAGTAAAGAAGCGGTCATCGCGAAACTGTGGTTGTCACGAACCCACAGAACCCTTCAAGCCAGTGAGAAAGCCGGGACGAGGGTAGGGCGGGGGAGCGAGGGGAGAGCGGGCCCAACAGTTGTTAGACAGGACGGGACCCTGCAGCCTACAAGTAAGCCGTTTCTGGCTGTCTCGTTATTTGCTACGTCCATTTCTGGCTCTCTCGGATTCTGGCTTTGTTAACGCCTGCGCTCTGAGTACTTGCTCGCTACGGGCGTCGGCTACTAAGCCACATCAGCTTGGCTCCACACCGCCACTACTAAATATGTTATGTAAGAAATTCCGAGAAACCCAATACGCCTTTTACTGTACCAGACTATTATCTTCGTTAAATCGTGCGATTACCCCTGCTGATATGTTGAGGCGCAGGGACCGTAGGTACAATGGTGGTATTGATCGTATGTACGTAGCCAAGTCTGCGCCGGAGGAGCAGCAGGTGTAGAGGCTGGGGTTGACCGCGGGGCACGTGATCCACGGGCCTTAACAAGATGTGTATACCAACAACACTCCACCGTTTGTATAGCAAACAGAGCATTTGTATAGTGGAGGCAGGAGCCTTTGATAGGCAAGTGCACCTGCCTTCCCAAATTTCACCAGCCGCCTGGAAACCCATGGAATCGGGTGAGTACGCAGTATAAATAACTTGGCAAAAGTTTTCAACTTCCTCTTTTTGCAAATAATGCCTAATCCTTGGTGGTAACGACGGTAAAATGGCGACTTTCTACCCCATTTGCGCCAACCAGGCGCCAAACAACGCGAAATGTAACAACACTGGCAGGTTCGCTTGCAAGAACTGCCTTCTCGTCACAGTAAACACCGCATTCCCTGTGAAGATTTTGTCTCTATCTGCTAACCCAGCCTTCCTCCAGTACTGTGGCCCCGAGTGTCAGAAGTCTCACTGGACTATGCACAAGCCCGACTGCAAATCTCACCTTGGAAGGGAGGGCTGGCAGCCTGACTGGGTCTTGGAGAACCGAGCTCCGGCCTTCATCGGGAATGGTCACCCTCGGGTGACCTATGGAGCCGGGAAGTACCTTTGGGGCAACGTTCCAGCTTTCGACGTCCTCCAACTTGGCGCCAACGAAGGCGTCTCCTACGACGAGCAGGTGCGCCTCTTGTTTGCCGGTGAGTACCACGATCAACGAGCTCCGGGTTAAATCTAACTTATCACACATAGCCTCCGGAGATCTTCGAAACGTCATCAAGACCATCGCTCAGCTCCCCGATAGCTACACTCAGCCCGTCGAGGTGACTATAAACGACCGCAATCTGGATATTGTCGCTCGGAACGTAATAATGCTTCTTATCAGTCTCGTGGTGGACGATGTCGACATCGCGGCCGACTGCATCATTCACGTCTGGTATTCCGCCCTCCTCCGCAAATCCGACCTCGACATCATGCAGCATCGGATCCGTCCAGTCCTCGAGGAGGTCTGCCACAAGCTGAAGGGAAAGGGTTCCGACAACCTCCAAGCAAAGACCTGGACGTTCGGCCAGCGGTCGCTGAGACTCGTGCTAAAAAAGTCTGTGTGGGACGACTTCTTGTCCTTCACGGGCACCCCCAAGGGCCTGACGGCTAATCGGGCGCATGAGATTCGCAAAGCCGTCACCCTCGCCGAGGGTAGAAAGGACTATCGTGAGCGTCACCTTCTGGTCCAGTCCCTGTCCCATCGAATCGCCCTAACACGCTTCCGCGAGGACGGACTTCTGCTTCCATTTGGAAATGCGCGTGATGCCTTTCGGCACCCCAACCCGTGAGTAACAGATTTTCTCCACCAGTGGAATGGAACGTGTGGCTAATTAGTATTAGAACTATTTACCAGGACGCGAGCTGGCCCATGTACGACAATGCAGACCCCCTCAATGGATGGTCTGCCAAGGAAGTCCAAGAGACTCAGACCGGACCTGCGACCGCTGATATCTACGGCAAGCTCCTCATCAGCCTTCGTACGGTACTTCTAGCGTTTCTTCGTCGTCTCTCAAGTTCGCAGATCTCATTTAGACTGTTCCACATGGACGCGTCTACTCTTCCCAAGTTGCTCGAAAACAGCTCCTTTAACCGGATTGAGGTAAATAGGCGTTAACACCTACACTGCGGCGAACTTGCTCATCTAACAGCTCACAGGTCTCTAACATCTCGGACGCCGGGTATCTCGGAATCCATCGTACGCTCGATCTGATGGTTCCTCTCCTTCAGAGCCCTCTCATCAACCCCCACGCGACCCTGATTACCTTGTTCATGAATACTGTGGACGAAAACATCACCGAAACGGAAAAGCTCGCAGAGATGAAGGCGGATGGCACAGTGACGAAGCGCATCTACGAGTACCTATCGCTCAGCAGAAGACCGCTCACTCATTACGACACCACAATCTTCAAAATCATGGCCGCCCGGGATTGTATACCAACCTATGACCACGTCTTTGACCGGTAAGTAACGTGGTAAAGCTATTTGCTTTGCGGTGTATGCTAACTATACTCCAAGGTACGCTGCGAAGCTCATGTTCTCTCAGAGTGCTCAGCTGGTTGGAGCCATGATGAAGGAAAACCACACTGTGATCGAGAAGTGGCCGTTCAGATTGAAGCTGCGGCCCGGACAGACTGGCGCCCAGGAGGAGTTTGACCGCCTCCTAGGAGGAGGAGTTTCAAGCAAGGAGCGTTACGTGGAATGGAAGAGGGTTGAAGCATCAGGATGAGGTGTGGAAGACAGCTACAGATCAGGGAGAAGGCAGTAGACTTATGGAATAGTCCTTCCACCCATGGGAGCATGAGAGCGGCGAAATACAATGCTTTCAGACGACAGTTTTGCTATCCGGGCAGACCCCCCTTTCCCACCCATCGTAGCGTCTGGTTCATTGGAGTTTTCTTTTGGCCCGCGCGTCCCGCAATAGCCGTAACTAGCGCAAACACCCCGCAGTTTGACGGGCAATTTGACTACTTCGACTTCTGCTGCTTATGTAAAGTTGTATAATTCGACATTATGTTGGCTTTTATTGCGGTAATCGAGAGATCTCGTCGAATCTCGATTTTGGTCAAAATTGGCTTGACTACGGCCTCCAATTGGTCAATTGAGCGGGTCAGATATTCCCCGGCGCCGTAGATGCCGGCGGCTACCTAGCGCCTCGTCTGCTGCATCTCTTCGCCGCGTGGACGTCTCCTCCAACCGTAATGCAGTCCTGGACAGTTTCTTGCGGTGGCTCGGCTGTCAATTCGTCCTCTGTATCATACTCGTACGCTGAACGGTTGCGACGAATGCCCGCCCGTACTAACCGTGGCGCTGAATTGCCGACCTTGCGAGGTGGTCTGGGCTGACTGGTGCGCGGCGGAGCGGTAGCGCTGCGTCTTGGGTGGAAGTAGTAAGTACGTACTTGACAGGTGGAAATTGCGAGCTTGGGCCAGCGCGGCAAGTGCGGGGGGTGGACCGACGAAGGTGCGCTAAGTTTACTGAGCGCTGATTGGCTTACAAGGCCACATTAAACTGGATTACTGCCCGGATAGCAAAACTCTTTACGAGTCACTTGGCAGACATAAGTACTGTGCACAGGGTTCATCCAGATTTCTTGCAGACGGAATCTACTAGTCATAACAAGCGATGATACGTCACGCAAAATATGCGATTCGCCTCTGGCTAATAAGCTTATCTGTCAACGAGTTTCGCGTTCAGCCTCCTGTCAACAAACGCGGATAAGCGGCGGATCTATGTTCAGCATATGGGCAACAGCCTACAGGGGGTGAGGGGATAGCTACTAGCATACTTTAGTACGTATCTGGGTAGAATATGGACGGTCACCAGAACTGATCCCTGGCTGAGCAAAATGTGGATCGCATGAGCAGGGGTAATGAACAGGGATACCTACCCTTGATCGTCGAAAAGGCTCTTCTCGTTGCCGGAAACGTTTCTGGGAAGGCCGACTCCTCCGCGCGTCACCAAGCCACATCCTGCTCGTCCGGGCAGATGTGAGCCTTCTCAATTGAGACGGTATAACATAGCAGATAGTAATCGCTTCTCGAGCTAGAAACGCATCTTAGTGCGCACTAATAGTGACGCAGGGCACCCGTAGCTGGTCCAGGACGAGGCAGATGGGCAGGTTTGCTTAATCAGAACGATTGGTCATGACCAGAATCTTCGAACGATCAAATTTTCTCAGGATCGGGACAATCCAGACCCAACATAAATGCATCGAACAATTATACATACTCATGCGCACACACTGGGCATTGAGCCGCCCCCGATAGGCCTGGCCGAAGCCTATTGGTACGCCCTGGTCAGAGACCCGGGTGCCTTTGAGAAGTTCGAGCGTGTGACGCGCTACTATGAGGCTCACTCTCTGCAAAGATAGCGAGCCCGAGATCCCGCGCCTCACAACTCTCTCACACACCCACCGACGCCTTGAGGCCCCGGCCTTACCACACCCCTCTCTCTTCCTTCCTCCTTTATCTTCTATATAAGAAAATATAAGAAAACAGAAAAATGCTCGCGTAGGCAAATATGCCTCCGAGGGCCGGTTACTTGTTGCGGCAACGCCGTCTGTGGACGGCGTAGGGCTGCTAGAGACCCATTCGCTTCTGCCGAGTCAGGGACCCCCTGCTGGCGTGCTTTTTGGAACTGAACGGACCCTGGGGATTAGATACTAAACTCCACTGCTCTAGGCACGAGAAGAAAAGTGTACATTATAGACTGCCTGACTTGTCGTACGCTATAATGGCGGCACGGCACATCATATGCCCAAAGGGCGCTCTGGTTGATCGGAGCTTAGTTACATAGATAGCTGGGCACCTGTCCCTGATGATGTAAAACACCACTACTACTACTACTACTACTACTACCACTGGGCATTGAGCCATAGTGGCCAGAGTTACACCACGTCAGGAAACCTTAACAAGCTTGCTCCCTCGCCGACACAACCCCCATTCCATGCATTTCCCGCCCAAGATCCTTGCCATGATGATGGCATGGTGCGACCGAGAGACACTCCGAGCACTAGCTCTGTGCAGCAACCTATTCCAAGTCATCTGCACCCCACTACTCTACAAGCGAGACCTGCAATCTTTTGTTCCGCGTTCTATCGCCTGGGCGATTTCTGAGTGCGAAGACGACTCCATCTCGCTGCGTGTACTTCATCAAGCTGGGCAGTTGGGGGCGGATTTCCGAAGGAGGCTGCCGTACGACTGCTACCTCCGTCATTGCGGTATTGATGTCTTTGAATCCCGACGGGATTGCTCATTTCGAGGTACAGAGCTTTTGTCAGCTTTTCAGCTCGCTCTTCTGTTAGGTCGCGACAAGATTGTTGCGTTTTTTCTGCAGAACGGATTTTACAACCAGGACCTCATGATCGACGATGGAGTTTGGCCTTTGCTCCAGCTCAAAGCGACCTATGCTTCGCGTTAGGAGTACGACACCTTGATTGCTCCGCTCTCTGCGTCGTACGGACATTTACGACTAGTCTTTTCGCCGTTGGTTAAGGACGACGAAGTTGAGGTAACCGTTGCGAGGTTGTAAAGTACGACCCTTTCTTTCGTACCCTGGTTTCCAATGTCGATAGAGGAAGTTCTGTAGTATCTGTATGAGTTCAGAATCAGCAGTTTTGCAGTGGATCGGGAGTTCGAACTCGAATATAGGAGAATGTTTATTGTTAAAGTAAAACCATTTAGACCTAGGTGTAGGCTGTGGTAGGAATCCTGTTGTGGAGAAGGTTGTAAATGTTGTCGTACTTAGGATCGTTATAAAGCGGTGCTGTTCGGAAGCACTACCATTGAATAAGAATAGCGCGATTATAACGTTACATATTCATTTCTTCTGGACATTGCCGTGTGGTAAATCGAAGCTATGTCTATGATAAGCATATCTTCCGGTCCGAGGGATAGCCGCAGCGCGGAGGTGATGCCTAGGTAAAGCCCTCGAAGGCCTCACTCTCAGCGACCTCAGGATAGTTGCGGCGCAAATAAGGCGCGCGCTTGTGTAGCAGTTGCAAGAACAGTGACTGATCGTAAGATCATTTGGTCCACTTCTAGATTGGCGTTGGGACGGTCTGCTGAAATTCTTCCGGGCCGGCATGTTTAAAGAGAGTAGAGACGCTATAGTGCATATTGTAAGACTGGGTATAATACACGACCCTGTTCTAAAGATATCGAATCATCAAGAGATTCTAATAGCGACAACTAATAATTAATTTAATGCGTTGTGGTTAAGAAATACTAGATGTTGTGGACGTGGGAAAAAACGTCCGGATAACTAGTTATGGAAAGTTCAATGAATGATTCTCGGCAAGATTTTAATGAATCTTACCCCCTCCCCTGTCTTTACGGACCCGCTCTTTTTTTGGTGGCCATTTCAATGAATCATACTATCATTCGTCGTTGCCAGTATGTTAGGGACCCATTTATATTTTCTATGGTCATTTCAATGTGTTGGGCAGCGATTATCAGGTAGGGGGTCAATGGGATGTATTGATGAGTATGAAGAACGAGTGGCTATGGGAATATCCCGACTATCTATATAGTGAGTGGAAGACCCTTTATACTGGCATATCCTTGGCAAACTTAGTCATGCTTGTGTAAGACCATATTGTTTCATAGGCATAGTGTGACAATCGTTGTAACGAGTGTACTGGGATGGGCCTGACACAATGAATCTGAGTCGGATTCATCGTTGTCTGTCTGTATGTTAGGGGCAGAAGTGGAGCATAGAAATGGGGCAATTGTACTGACGCCCACTCGCAGTCGATGGGATAGCTAACTCCCTGCTGATGACGCCACAAACTTGTACGTGCTAGGAAGTGGGTCACGGTCGTAACTGTGCTCCTCCTTATCTTATCTCTTGTCGGAGGCATGCGAGAGGCGGGGAACCTGAAGCCGAGGTCAAAATAATGACGCCAATTGTAGCACAGATATTGTCAATTCAAATCTTCCTTTCTCTCAAAAATATTCACCCGTTAAAGTGACAAACAGCCATCTATCAGGCTTCCATATCGCTAGAAGCATCAATCCCTCTCCAAACCTCTTGATATCAACCAGATACGGTCTTCGATTTTTTCGAATCCGTTACCATGGTCAAAGTCGGCGACTCCCTGCCCTCCGGCACCAAATTCACGTAAGCTATACACTTCGATGAATTCACGATGTCGAACTAATAACCCCCAAGCTACGTCCCTTACGACCCCCAGACCGAGTCCCTCACAGCCTGCGGCCTCCCGATAAGCTACGACGCATCCACTGAATGGGCTAACAAGAAGGTCGTCCTCTTCGCCGTCCCCGGCGCCTTCACACCAGGCTGCTCAGCCCGCCACCTCCCTGGCTATATCGAAAAGCGCAAGGACTTCGTTGCCAAGGGTGTCGATATCGTCGCCTGTATCGCCTACAACGATGCTTTCGTCATGAGCGCCTGGAGTAAGGCCAACAACATCAAAAACAGCCCCGAGGAGATACTGTTCCTTAGCGACGGCGAGCTAGCGTTCAGTAAGCATATTGGATGGACGATGGGCGAGCGATGTGCAAGGTATGCGCTGGTGATCGATAACGGAAAGATTGTGTATGCGGAGAAGGAGGAGGCTCCGAAGGAAGTTAGCGTTAGCGGCGTTGATGCTGTGCTCGCAAAGTTGTAGATGAGCCTCCTAGATACTACATGTAGTTTCGGAGATAGGATTCAATGAGCATACATCGAATTCCACGCTGTTTGATGTCCTTGATGAGCCGCTTCTGTTTCTCTTCCCGTAGTGCCGTTTGTCTGTTCCTCCGAAAGTCAGTCCTCTGTTGACGTCGCCGGCGTGGAGGTTTTTAGGATCGTTGCCGTATCTACAACGACCGAGCCACGTACCCTCCCAGTGTCTGGGCCAGAAATCTCCCTGCTGAAGACTGATTGAATCCGAGGATTGAACAGACGCGTAATGGTAAGCAACAGTTGCTGACATCGGGTGGGGTACAAAGCCCATGCATGTAAACATGTGGGACTGTGGGTATCTGAGGCAGAGGCTGGTGCCCCAGGCACCAGCTGCCTGATCCACCTCCTGGTTGATCCAGCCCACCGCAGCCACCTTCACCACAACATCACCAACCAACCGTCAATACCAGTCGTATTACCTCATTGCTTGCCTCGTTGGTCCAGATGAGCAGTGTGTACTGCCCACAGGTTATGAGAGCCCATTTTGACTTTTTCCCCAGCTATTGAAGCTATTTAATTATTCCGTTGGATTCGCCTATTGCGACTTCCTCCGTTTGTTTATTTAGACTATTACGTCGTTAATACGTGAAGTCCACCCCCGACCCTTGATCCTCGCCATGCCAAAGCAAGGATCCCGACCTGTTGATCGATAAGGATTCCGTTAATCTATCGATTAACCGTACGATCAATTAATAACCTATAGATTATCACTATGTCCTACTAAGGGTCTTCCGATGGCGGAAGAGCTACTTAGTCTATCCCTTAGCTGAAGGGAGAGGAGAACTGGGATAACTGGATGGATATGCTAATATTAATATTAGAATCATTGGATCTGTCCTACTACGTTGAATCTGACGTTGCTAGACCTCACAAAGATGAAGTCCCTACAGCTGCCTAGATCGACGTTATGAAGAAGTGGAAGAACGATAGAATCCACGCCTTTGTGTTACGAGCAGGACAAGGCAACCAACTGTGGCACAAAGCAAAAGCTTCGATAATGATGACTCCGGCATCATTGTCCCTTGTTCTGTCTTATATAGCTACGCGCCCACAGTGACAAGTTGCGGCGGGCGTAACACTCGAGCGAGGCCTATATCTCTTACGCCGGCTAAACGAGCTAGCCCCTTTATAGTCTAAAAAGGGAATATATATTCTATTTATCGGCTACTAGGATGAGTATCCTACGATATTCGATAAGTATATAGAGGATTCTAGTAAGACCTTAGAAGACTTTACTCGCGACTATCCCATCGGGTGCGGAATAGCTCCATTTTAGCCAAGGGCGGGGTAGAGCCAATAAGGGCTTCTATATTAATCAAGCTAACCAATAGAGTAAAAGTACCTCTATTACCTATAGATTTTGGGTATACCACAAGCACCAGCAGTCTCCCTCAATACAAAGAGCTACATTGCAGTCTAAGCAGCCCTTCCGCTTCCTTTTCTTCTATATAAGGCTATTCCCAAATACTATACCTAGGGTCTGGCGTCGGGCCCTTAATACCCCCTTATTACTATAGTAGGAACAAAGTAAGTTAGCTCCCCTTGATCCCTTCCTATGGTATTCCCATGGAATAGAAGTATTCCTTTTATCTGTAGCCCGTCCAAGTCGTGAATGCTTCCGCCCCCCTGCTAATGGTCCAAACTGCTGGATAAGCTATGCTGCAAGCAACTGCCGCCATTGGTAATAGGACTTCACCTTTTACCACCTAGGGCTGCCCCAGAGCTGTAATAAGAAACTATTCACAACTACACTTCCAGTAGGAAATTCCAAGTAATTGACTACCAGCCTCCTCGACGAATAGGGTGGCTATATTGATAGTAGGACCTCATCTGGTCACTCATATCAACCCCATTCATCTTATGATTGTACTCATCAATTGCCCTAGGGATTGGAAGGTCCTTGCGGACGTCTAGTCCAAAGACTTACCGGGCAGTCTTTTTAGCAGCAGTGTCTCCAGTTGGGCGGCGGCGGCTGCGAATAACTTCCTGGCCGTCCTAGAAGACAGTTGACAGGAAGAGTACGAGGGCATTATCCTTCCAGGTGAATCGATTGACCTAATTCCTAGTTAGCTGGGCTGGGCAGGGCTGGGCAGGCTAGCAGCTTACCTCCCCATCTAAAGTAGGGATACAGTGTATTTCCCCCCAGGGGATACCCCGTCCTTCAGTCTCTTTCTCGGCAACTAGGATCTTATCTATGCCACTATCCTTCCGGCAGGTACCAGAAGCTCCAACTTGTTGATTCCGTAGGGTACGAAGGAGACGTATAGAGGCGAAGAGGTTGTCAAGAAATACGTAGTAGGTTGCAGCTGGTAGTAGGGAAACAAGAGTAGTTACTACCTACTATATTGGTGTCAACAGAGCCAGCTTTCCAGCAGCTGCCCCGGCTAGCCTAGCCGACCGGACAGCCCGGGCGGGCTGGGTTAAACAGGCTGGCTGGGCTGGCTATGCCTGGGGGACTAATGCGTATGGGCCCTTCCCATATACGTACCACAGCCACCGTATACAGTAGCCAGACTAGGCAAGGATCCAGATCTTATAGCCAGTTAGGGTAGGTTTCGTTGGAATCGTTGTCGTCTCAAAAGATCGACCTATAAATCGGACCACAGCCTCGTCAACTATAAGGTCTAAACCGGGTATATAGAGGAAATCCCCAGTCTCTTGAATATGGGCTGACCATTAGTTAACCTTCCGATATACATCTAGCATTTGATCTTAGGCCCGGCCCCGGCCCCGGCCCCGGCTGGGCTGCCCGGACTGCCCGGGCTGGAATTCCGCAGTATCGAATATCCGTAGTCGTCGGAGCAGTAGTTGAAAACGGTCCCGGGATATAAACCGCGTAAATAGGTGGATAGGATCCTCCTTTTGCTGCTGGGTCGACCAGTAGGTTGATAATCTAGGTTCCTTATGGATCCCTATATATAATAGGATCCCTAAGAAGAGGTAAATCTCGTCTGCTGAAGTTTTCCTCCACTCATATATCCTAGCTCGTCTAGCCCTTTGGCCCTCCTTAGATAACGGTACTACATTCGTCCACTATACCCACTACTCTACGAGGCTCTACGGAACGTATTAGAGGAATAGTTCAAGCGGGCTTGCCGGCAGCCCCCGTACCTCTTAGGCCCGGGCCGGTGCGTCAAAGGGCTAGAAGGAACCCGGAGGGCCGTATTCAGTAGCCGTAAGGCCGGACTATCCCATCGAGTGCTGCAAGGCGACAGTACATTGGCTCCACATAACGGGCCCCCTTTTACCCCGCACCGCATCTGGTACATCCACTGCTTGAGTTGCCCCTATGATTTCCACTCCGGTACATCTACCAAATCCATCATTACCAATACTCAATTAATGGATTCTGACGATTCTGACGGATCTGGCCGTTCCACGGGCTCGGCGAAGTCGTGTATCTTTGCCCTGCTGCCCGAGGACCTCGCCGCCGCCTGCACTGCCGACTGTACGCCGGAGCAATGTGATAATGCCACTGTTCGGCCCCGCGAGCCTCCGGAGGTTGAGCCCGGTATCCCTGGGAAGTACACGAGGATGGGCTGCCTCGAGTGCGATGTAGCTCTCTGTAACTCAGAAGATTGCTGGTACCGATTTCATACGCAGAATCTCTAGTAATTGGAAGTATCTATTATCAATTACGTTGGTTGGTTGGAAAAAGGGGCCCGAAGTGGCCCGATTGGCTGCTCCCCCGCATCTCAATGTACTGTCGCCTTGCAGCACTCGATGGGATAGCGGCATCACAGCGCTTGGCCGTACAGTCTATATTACAGGCAGTAGTAAGGTTTTCTGGGTGTACCTCAACTACTATACAGCTACGTACAGAAGTATTAGAAGCAATCGAGGTATCAGAATCATCAGAAGACATCATAGCATCAATCAAAATGTAAGTCATAGTGGTGATAATAGGTACCAGAGCATAGGGAGAAGTGACGTATCGTCAAGTACCCCTTTAAATGCGGGGTAATAATGGGTAAATAGTGGGTATTTTGGGGCTTGGCAAAAATGGAGCTATTCCGCACCCGATGGGATATAGTTATTTTCTTTACCCGCAGTGGACTGGAGTTTCAAGACTCTTATATCTAAATATCTCAACATGCCTAGCTCAAAGAGACAAACATACTCGATTACCGTAGTTGTAATCGAAAGCTTTGAGTACTGCAATCAACTGTGTTACAGTGGCAAAGACCACTAAAATGTGATAGAGTTGATGGGAGGAGCCGACAATGTCGAATTTGCCCGGGAAAATGCGCTCGGGAAACTTAGTCTAGTAAGTCGAAGTAATCAGAGTCAATTTTACAAGGTGAAAAATTAAAAGACCTACTGCATAGATCAAAGCTCCAAGTAAAGAAAGAAACCTTCGATCAAGTAATAGGGCAGTCCCGATTGTTGCATCATTTGCGAAACACCAAATATGGTACAACCATGGATCAAAGGTGCAAAGCCAGACATGCCAGTTATGACAAACGCTAGAGTTCGGAAAAGACGATGTTTCGGACTCTGAAACTTAGGGTTCACCATTATGAAAATCGTTATAGATCCAAGAACTCCGATATTATAAGAAAAATCAGTGTCGGATACTCTGCGGCAGAAGACTGTGACGATAGGTATGTGTTGGATTCACAGGTGGAAAAGGAAAATACTCGAGTATCGTGGGTAGCAACGATCACCGACTGTAGTGGTGATATTGCTTGTTCTTGTTGTTCTTGAGTGGAAGTCTAACCAGGTGCCAGCGGCGGCAGGAAGTCTGGGGTATACCACCCTCGTGTGGCTGAGCCACACGGACCACCGTGGCTGGAACGGACCGCGGCAGCAACCTCCTGCTGCCTAATGTAGGCCTATTCCAACAGTATGGAAATTGACTCACCATAGACCAGTATATTTTACGTTGCAAGGGTTCACACCAGAACACCATGCACATCCCAGATACAAAGTCACCCAATGTCAATACCACTATACCTACCAAGTCGAATCGCAACTAAAGATTCTCAACTCTGATAGAATGGTTCATCAAGGTGTGGTATGTCGCTGACAGCCCCAAGCAGATGACAGCAGTCAATAGAAAGAAAGTGAAGATGAAGATATCAGTGCCCGTGAGGTTGGCGTACCGACTTCTAAGGTACTGTAGGATATACCATTCGCCGAGTAGAAAGACAAGTGCTGGTATTAGATGGGAGTAAAGGTTGATCGACTCGTTATGAAGTAAGACCAACTGCGGAACGAAGTTTGAGCCGAGCCTGAGATCGGCTGATAGCTATGGCGGATGTACTCGTTGTCTTGATGCCATTCTGGCAGCTCATCGAATGAGAGAAGGCCTTTCCGTACCTTGCTGGGCCTGGGCACGCTGCTTGGAATCGATCGGCTTGAGAAATCGTGTCTCTTCTGTTGCGGTGACGAAGGCCGAAGACGGCGAGCGGATGCCATTGCCGTGTCTGATGATGCTGTCCGTGGTGGACATTGAATGATAAAGGGGACTTCGGAAGGGGGTTCCATTATGAAGTTGGTTTGCCCTCACCTTTTTCTTGATAAAAGATGCCAGCCTTTTTCACCCTCCATTAGCGGCGAATGCCCCAAATAAGGCGAAATTTGCGCCCAGGGTTTTTACATGGAGCTGCAGGACCTTGATACCCATGATGCTACCACTGCGGAGTGATGAAAGTAGCGTCTTCCATCAATCCAGCTACGTCGCAGTGCCAAGCCCATTCAACAGCTGCATGTGCACTGACCAAACTACCTTAAGGCAGGGTTGGTACTTTGCATTTCCAGGAAATGGCTGCAGGGCATGCTCAATACTCCACACGGCGCACGCAGTTGAAACAAGGGAGGTGCCTATGCCACTGTCTGACAGAATCCCTGCTTTACAATTAACGGGCCAACTAGTCATTGCCGCTGTGTAGATACCTGTGGCGTACGGAATAGAGTTTGTGCATAAGGACGAGGACCATGTAGGGGGTAAGGAAAAGCATACGAAAAACCAGCGGCTACCAACAGAGACCGGGCTTATCACTCACGAATAGGGCTCTAGGCTAGTGGCCTGACTCGGGTGGCTGAGTTACTACTTCTATTTTGTCGATGTACGGAGTCACTCTTGGTTGCTGAAAATGTCTACTGTATAACAGTACCTTAGTTGACCTCGGGTGATGGGGACATCAAACAATCAAACCAACAAACAATCCGAATACAGTAAGACAAGAGTTGACCAGTGACAATATCCTGCATGAGTGGGGCGGATGCATGTGCCCAACCAATGATGAGGTGACCTAGCGCCGGGGTGGACATTGAGCACTCAAAGACAACGACAAACAAGTTCGCGTTCGATACAATAACGACTTCATCATTTGAGCCGACACGAGAACATGTACAAGAAGCCATCAAAGCACCCACTTCGCAGACATTTCTGAGGGAGTCAAAACAAAAATTCGCACCCGTTGTCTCACGCTTCCTCGTCACGGGCTTGAAGCTTGTCAAAGGCACGAGAATCAGATATTCGACATCACAGCGTACGACGGTCGGTGGGAATATTGGGTTTAACTTATCTCCGCTTGGAGCGCTGGGCGTGATCACAGGCCCGAGAGGTCACTGGAACAGTATAAATGACGATGAGACTGGATTCGATTGTGAGTCGAAATTTGTGTTTGCATCCCGCGTCAAGAGGCTGCTATCAAAGGAGGGGTAATTCTCCCATTGTAGACAGATTTTAGTTGCAAGATAGTAATCCAAGCCAGCATCGACTTTTTGAGTCTTGACCATAACGAGACAAGTGTAGTAATAACTGTTGAAGTTTCTGGGGGCGCCCAAGTGCTTTTGCATCAGCTCCACCGGCGTGCAATATTGAAGCTTGCACATGAGTATATAACATAGCGCGAGGGCGCTTGTGTTTGGACGAACCCATATGTTTAGAGCTGCCAGAACAACTCTTCTTCTCAGTCTTACTGGTCAGGATGATTGGAATATGCTCTATGGTTAAAAAGGGTTTGGTATTGTAGTGAAGCTCCCTATCCTGTTAGAGCTATAAAAAAACCGAGTCTTCGAGTGATTGAAAGATGGCTGCAGCCATGGTGTCTCCCAGAATGGAAGAAAGGCTGTAGCAAGTGTGACAGCTAAGATTCTCTTTCCCTCGGGCGGCAATGCAGATGATCCACCACGTAATTCTTGATGACGTTTGAACAAATCCGACAAGGCTATTGTCCGAGACAGTTGATTACCGCCGACGACCTTTGGTTGGGGACAGGGCCTCTGAAGTACTCCATTTTCAAGAACAAAATGCAAACAGTTCCTTTGGCCGAGAAACTCAGTAATGCTGGGGCATGTATGAGTAAAATCAGGTGTGCTGCTAATAAGAGGTTCCGATGTGTTCCTCGTCCTCTCATCGTGCATGTCTCCATCGTTAAGATGTCAGTGATAATCGTACGAAGCTTTAAATCCTTACCTGACTGTTTTTTGGCTTCTTGAAATTCGATTGCAAGCGCAGACCGTATGCCGAAAAATACTTCGAAGCTCCTCCTAATGTTTAAATCCTTTTTTTGTTGCGGTAGAGGAAGTCTCACGCTCAACCCTGTTGTTGTTGTTCTATTTAACGCCATGGCGGCAAGGGCGCAGCCGCCCTTGCGGCAGACCTCCCGGAGGGTATGTGGCGTGAAGGGTCGCAGGCTCTAGCTATATACTATATAGTACACGCCGTATCCTGACGTCCTCCAAATCTTGCTCGTGAGCTACTATGTGTTCTATCCATCCCTAGTTCCCACTGGTGCCCTAGTTCCGTTATAACCAACTGGTTTCTTAATAGTGTCTGCCACTGGCCAACATGCTCAAGTACTCATCGTCGTGCGATTGCCCAGTGTTTGTCAAAACGGAAAATGCAATGACCTCAACATCATGAACATTTGGTTCCCATTCGATCCAGACAATCCTGAATAGAAAGGATCATGTCAAAGCTGGCGGGATCAGCCAGCCATGCTCCGTGCGGCTGAACATAGTATGTCTTGGAATCTAACTGGCTAACCCTGGTTCGGACCGTCCCGCTTCGGCTCCCCTCAACGCCAGCACAAATGCGGTCCAATGGGAAATACATTGGCTGGACTTCAGCATACAATTCATGAGGAGAAGGTTTCTCCAATTCCAATAGCATTTCAAGAGTCACATTGGCCCCTCACGCCGAGTCCGATGGCGGCATACAAGCTTACCAAGCGTGGTTCGGGCTTACAAGGGCTAGAAGTAACCCTGTGATAATTAGGTGGTATATTAGGAAGCCATGGGAGTTTCCTTTATAGTGATTTCCGAAACCAGTCATTGCTTCTCATGAACCTGAAAACGAGCCGACTGCAGCAGAATGCCGTGCCTGCCATCGTCATTTTCTTGAAAATTGAGACTAACCCAAACCGACAGTCTAGAATGTAGTTCCTTCAATAAAGTAATGTGTTGGTATTCCTTTCACAGGGAATTTGGTTCGAACCGTAGGGTCCTGGGGGTGACGAAGTATCAATATCTCTGTATTGATTGATTCTGCGTAAGGAGTAGAAGGGAGATTCCAACCGGAGGTTGGGTGGGTAGTCGAGGTCTAAGTGTACCCCCTCGAGGTGGCCCATGCTCTGCCCCTACTCGCGGCCGAATTGGACTTCCAATCCGACATAATGATCTACAAAGGCAGGGTTGAATAGATCCGTATCAATACAGAATCATTACACAAATACTTGTAATAACAGCAGCATGAATGGCGTGACCGAATGCATGCATGTATTATCCACTGATTGGTGAGTACTTTGCTGGGCTTCACGAGTTACTACTTGTATCCATACTTAGGATAGTTAATCAAAGTTGATTTCAAGCTTTGACCTTAAATGCAGCACTTGGCCCAAACCTGATGCTGCTGAATCGAAAGCCTTGTAATTGCTACCTACTTATGTAACTATACCTGATTTAGTCCGGCAGACAGAACAGCCTCTTACATTGACGTTCTTCAAAAGGCTCACAGAGTTTCTGTTCTTCTCCCCGGAATTTCCCCCCCAGGGCAGACTGGCAACACAGCGACTGGCCCACGAACCCGGTGGGCTGTCTTTCACAGGGTCTTGCAATACGGCCAATAATCGCGAATGTTGGTCAGAGGTATTCAACATCACCACTGATTATGAGAAGCATGTTCCCGATGGAATAGAGCGGGAGGTCGGTGATTTCCCCTTGTAATATTACATTGGCACTAACCGCAAATGATCTAGTTCTACTTGGAGGTCGATAATCATGAGATTGCCCCTGACGGGTACTGTTGGATCTCTGAGCAGTCGGCAGAAAAGGTGGATCTGGAAGGCGGTATGGGCACTTACAAACGACCCCTTACATACCACTTCTGAGAGGCCGTGGGCTCTGCCCACAACCTCCTCCTTCCACCTCAAGACGCAGCAATAATAGACCATTATTGACACTTCGTTCCAACCGTACGGTTGCCCTGCTGACGTGTATACCAACACTGATCAGTGGTTGAATTCCACTACCTCAGATCAGCAAGGCACACGGGCTTCAGAAGAGTCAGTTCCGATTCGGTGATCAGCTCTTTACCTATTAAGTTAGGTGACTGGGACTCACTGGTAGAATCCGGTCCGTTCTGTACTACACACATTCGACCTTCTCGATCGCGGAAGCCTCGAGAGCTCATATCGTCAATTACGATCCCTTCCGCCAGTCGACCGCCACGGAAGCAGCAAGATCACCAACTTCAATCCATCATACCCTCATCTCTAGTCGTCCGACCTCACGGCTCTCACTCCACTTGCCGAGCTCCAATTACGGCTACGAGGAGCGGCAATTTTTACGACCTCGTTTTTGCCTCCTTCCGTCTCAAGAGAACAACCTGAGACCCTTAGGTTTTGTCAGACGAGAGCATCGACCGTTTGCTGTGAAATCACCGCCAAGCCAGATTCCACGACCTTCCGGCTTCCTCGCCAACCTTTCGACCTTCCAGCCCGTCAAACAGAAGCAGCAGAACTTTTCAACAAACGGAATCCGTGGCCAATCAAGTAAACGACGCTTCGATTACGCGGCTTAACGTCGACGCTGACCGCCGAGTTAAGTGTGGCCGTCGAGCTGCCTCGCGGTTACTTCTGTCTCTTCTGAAGTCAACCTCATACACTATACTCCTCTGATTACATACTTTCCATCTTCCAGCACTTTGCTTACCATGGCCGGAGCGTCAGACTCTGCGACGCCGTCGTCGCCTCCCTCGCCTAGAGGTCACCCAGCCTCGCTCGTCAAGTCCCCGTTTCCAATTCCACCCAAGCACTACCACGAGGTCGACCTTGAGCAATGGGGCAACTACGAGTTCGACGCGGGCCAACTGACACCTGAGAAAGCCAAGAGCATTGCGCTCTGCATCCTCGCCTGCTACGAGCGTCAGCCCAACCTCATTGGCGAGCTTCTGTGGAGGGAATACAAGGCGGACTTTGAGATGTGGACCACTGATGACATCAAGCTCATCGGTAGCCCGATCTTGAAGAAGTTGAGGGACTACCTTGTTGACAATGGAGTTAACGTTGGCAGCGCTACAGGAGGCTACCACCACCGGCTCTGCCGGCTAGTCGAGTTGGATAATATGCCGACGTGGACCGACGAGGAAATCCACGCGGCCCGCAACAAGTCTGCCCGTCTTCGCGAGATTACGAAAGACCTCAAGTTCCTTGCCACTCTGCTCCCCGACAGCACTTCGACGGCAGACCTCCTTCGCGAAGTCAGAGGCACTGCCCCTCCTCCTCGAACACCCGCTCGACCTCAAGCTCGACCTCCTGCCCAACCCGCGATTCCACCGGTCACATCGAACCCGCTGGGCCACGACCTTCCTCCTTCGGGCCAACAGCTCCTCGGTAATACCATACTCGACGAACACCTCGTACGTCAGCAATGTCATCCCTACCTTCCTTCCGAGAACATCATGCCCGACACTCGCTCCCTTGTTGCCCTAGCCAAGCTCTACTCCGATGAGCGCAAGTACGGCGGCGACAAGTACGAGATCTTCACGAAGAAGGTGGCCATATTCAGAGACCTCTGCCGTAAGGCAGGGATCGACCAGTCTGGCTACGCAGGTGCCTTCTCCGAGATGCTCAAAGGCAGGGCAGCATCTTTCTACTTCGACAACCTCAGTCAATCAAGCGCGACCATGACCTTCGACGACATGTGCCACAAGGTCAGGGATTACTTCGAACCTCCTTCCACTCGACTCACATACCTCACCGAGCTTCGCGATCTTAACTACCGTTCTATAGCCCACGAGAACCCGGGCAAGTCGGGCCAACAAGTGCTTCAAGAGCTCGTCCAGCGGATCTCAATCCTACACGACGCTCTTGCCCCATTCGGTTCTGGCTTCAACATGCGAGATCAACTACTTAACTGTTGTGAAGGCATTCCAGAGTGCCGCCACGTCTTGCTCGCACCTGAAGAGACCTTCCAGGGTGTGGTCCGTCAATTGAACGCCTCAATCTATACCATCGAGCGCGAACGCGAACGCGAAAAGTCTCAGCAGTACCTACACGGTCCTTCCGTCGACAGCAACAACAACACCCCCGAGTCGTTCTGGACCGACCGAACATACCGTGGTCAAGGGAAGGAAGCGCGATTTGGATCTCGAGGTCGCCCTGGACGTGGTCCTCAGCGTAATAAGAAGTGCTACGTCTGTCACAAGCCCGGCTGTTGGTCGACCAAGCATTCCGAGGAAGACCGCCGCAAGGCGTACGAGAAGTTTAAGTCAATGAGAAGCAATCGCGACAGTCAAGATACCAACAACCGCACCTACTTTCAATTCCTCGATTTCTACGAGGGCATTGAGCCTTCCGTCGAGTCTTCCACTCACAACACCGCAGCCAACGACGAGAGCGACACTGAGGCGCTGATTCGATACTTCGACGAGCTCGACTTCGACCACGAGGACGACGATAATGATACCTTCCACGTCTCAACCACCTACTTCGGCGAAGCCACTGCGAGCAGTAAGGCCCTCACTGAGATTCTCGCGTCCCAGGCAGTTGAACACGGATTGACCCGAACGACGTCAATGGACGAGTTCGCCGAGCCCACCGAGCCCGCCGCCTCCTTCTCGTTGGAAGGAAGGTATAACTCAAGAGGGTTCCAGGGTATCATGCCCGACACCGGCGCCGCTGAGTTTTCCACTGCCGGCTACCAACAATTCCTTGCGCTGCAGAAGTTCCGTGATATCACACTTGATACCACCACTGCTGGCACCGTTACCATCCGCTTCGGTGACAACGTCGGCATCAAATCAATTGGCTCAACCACTGTCTCCACCCCCTTCGGCGACATCACATTTCACGTCTTGCCAAGTAACACCCCTTTCTTGCTTTGTCTGGCGGACATGGATAAGATGGACGTCCACTTTAACAATGTCACCAACCTCATGGTGAAGGGAGACATCACTGCTCCAGTCGTTCGCAAGTGGGGTCATCCATGGCTGTTGCTTCTCGACGACGAGAGGGCAATGGTCCATTACCTCACGGAGAACGAATTGCGCCGTCTACACCGACGCTTTGGACATCCATCGGTCCCGCGTCTGCTGAAGGTGCTTCGGCAGTCAGGTAACGAGGTGGAGAAAGTGGCCCTCGAGCACATCACGAAGGCATGTCAACAATGCCAGTTGAACAGCCAAGCTCCAACCAGGTTCAAGTTCACCCTGCGCGACGAGTGCGACTTCAACTACGAGGTCATCATGGATGTGATGTATCTCGAGAACCGTGAAGGCGTCAAGTGTCCGGTTCTGCACGTCGTCGACGTAGCCACCGGCTTCCAGGCGGCGAAGTTCCTCAATAACATGACCGCTAAGCACACGTGGGAAGTCTTCAGGCTCTGTTGGACTGACGTCTACCTGGGGCCCCCGGACTGGATTGTCACCGACGCTGGCCGGAACTTCCACTCTGCGGAGTTCAAGGCGGCAGCTCGAGCACTTTCGATCGAGGTCAAGGAGGTGCCTGTCGAGGCTCATAATAGCGTGGGCATGGTCGAGAGGCGCCACAAGGACCTCAGGAGGGCATACGATATCCTCATGTCGGAATGCCCCTCCTTGAACGCCGAGTCTGCACTTCAGACCGCGGTCAAGGCAATCAACGATACCGCCGGTCCCAATGGCCTCGTCCCTACACTACTCGTCTTCGGAGCTTTCCCTCGCACCACAGACAACTCTCCCCCATCACCAGAGATCACCCAGCGTGCTGAAGCAGTCAAGAAGGCAATGAAGGAGATCCGCCGTCTCAACGCCGAAAGGAAAGTCGCAGACGCACTCGCCACTCGCAATGGACCCGACATCACTTCAACCATCGCTTTACCATTGCAATCAGACGTCAAGGTCTGGCGGGAAGGCAGGGGATGGGAGGGCCCGTTCAAGCTGATCTCCACCAACGGCACCACTTGTACTCTCGACTTGCCGAGTGGTCCAACTGATTTCCGCGCCACTATGGTCAAGCCGTGGTATACGGAGGCAATCGACCCTTCGACGGCGATGGATCACGTAGAGCGCCTACCTGATGGGTTGTCTGCCAATCAGCCTGTTGAAGGTGCCGGCCGCGCAGACGAAGTCATCCTGGATGAGATCGTCGTCGCCGCATCCAAGCCAGACGAATCGTCAGCCCGATGTACCAAGCGGATCCGTCGACCGCTGGGAAGACGGAATGCCACTGCCGTCGTTCACTTGACAACCAAGGAAGCGACCAACCTCAAGCTAGCTACTCAACTTCGCAAAGATGGCACCATCACCGCACCCGGCAAGCCTTTCCAGGAGTCCACTAAGCTGGAGCTCGCCGGCCTCATTGAGCGTGGCGTCATCAGGTTCGTCAAGTTAGGCCCTGAACACGAGGGCATCAAGATCTTCAAGTCCCGCTTCGTCAACGAGATCAAGGGCATTGGGTCCAAGCCATACGAGAAAAGCCGCCTCGTCATCCAAGGCTACAACGACGACGGCAAGAAGGTCATCCTCACGCAGTCGCCGACGATTCAGCGTGCAAGCCAGCGTCTGCTTCTGGTGCTCGGCCCTACACTTCTCCCCCTTGGTTACTTCATCTGGGGCCGTGATGTCACTCAGGCATACACCCAGGCCAAGGAGGCACTCAGAAGAATGATTCTCGCCTACCCACCTACTCGGATCCGTGACAAGTATCCCCCTGGCACTGTGATCCACGTCGTCTGGCCATTGTACGGCTTAGCAGAAGCGGGCACATACTGGTACGCGACATACAGCAAGCACCATATCAAGAACCTCCAGATGGTAACTTCGACGTATGATCCATGCTTGCTGATCTCAACGGCTGAAAGTGGCTCATTCGGCATCATTGGCATGCAGACTGACGACACCATGGGTCTGTCTGACAAGGAATTCGTCAAGAAGGAAGACGATGAGCTCAAGCGCGCCGGACTTCTGGCCAAGCCCAAGCAGATGCTCACAATTGACGAGCCGCTGATCTTCAACGGTGGCATCGTCTCTCTGCTGGGCAACGGCAACGTCACCTTGCGCCAGAAGCACCAAGGCAAGAAGCTCAAGTTGGTCGATCCCGCGGCACGAGACGCGCAGAAGCAGTTTGTCGAGCAGCGGGCGCGAGGCGCCTATATTGCGTCGATCTGTCAGCCCGAGGCGTCTTTCGACACATCGTACGCGGCTCAGCATCAAGTGAATCCATCGCCAAACGACTACGCAGCGCTAAATCGTCGTCTAAAGTGGCAAATGGATCACTTGGAACGCGGGCTCACATTTGCGCCGTTGGATCTACCCACCGCCAAACTCTTCGTCTTTGTGGACGGCTCATTCGCCAACAACGCCGACATGTCGTCTCAGCTTGGTTTTGCCATCATCCTCGCCAATGAGACCCAGACAGACGACAGCTTCACGATCCACGGCAATCTCGTCCACTTCAGCTCCATAAAAAGCAAGCGGGTCACTCGCAGCGTTCTGGCATCAGAAGTCTACGGCATGGTCGCAGGAGTCGATATGGCTTACGTTCTGTCAACCACACTCGAGCTCATCACTAACCGGTTGGACATGCCGAAGATCCCAACCATTGTCTGCACCGATTCGTACTCGCTCTACGAGTGTATGGTGAAGCTCGGAACGACAAAAGAGAAGATACTCATGATTGATATCATGGCTCTTCGGCAGTCGCACGAACGCCGCGAGCTCTGCGAGGTGCGTTGGATTAGTGGTGACGATAACCCCGCCGACGGATTCACCAAAAGCAATGCCAACAAGAGCCTTGAGCGATTCGTCAACGATAGGACCATCACGGTCAAAATGGAGGGATGGGTAACGCGCAGTTGAAATAGCAGCACACTACAGGCGGCAAGTCGTCCAGCGAACGTATACGACTCTCGGGCTTCGGCTTGAAGAGAAACGCACGTGTTCGGGGCGCAGTCAGACCGACGGAAAGCTCTTTTTCAACTACGCTGGATTCGTCAATTTCCGACGAATTATCGAAATGGAGGTTCAGGAGGAGGATCTAGGGAATAGGATTTTGGAATTTTTGTGCGGCAATTACAGCGGAAGCTATGCCAAATTTTCAGTAATCGGTTTGGACAAAGCTGGAGAGGGGATGCTACCCCTGGATTCTGCGGTCTCGACTTCAACCGCAGAACTCAGCCCCAAATCCACTGCCTTTTCTGATCACAATTAAAAGACTGCCAGTGTTGGATCTCTGAGCAGTCGGCAGAAAAGGTGGATCTGGAAGGCGGTATGGGCACTTACAAACGACCCCTTACATACCACTTCTGAGAGGCCGTGGGCTCTGCCCACAACCTCCTCCTTCCACCTGAAGACGCAGCAATAATAGACCATTATTGACACTTCGTTCCAACCGTACGGTTGCCCTGCTGACGTGTATACCAACAGGTACCGTGTTCAACGCATGTTGTTCAACGGAACCTATCCTGGTCCGACGCTTGAGGGAAATTGGGGCGATACTTTCAGTAAGTTGCCTGGTGGTGCCGGCCTTTGTCATCCTGGGTTTTGGTTCGAGGTCGATTTCTTCAATCTGATTAGGCTGATAACTGACAAATTATCCAAACAGAAATCACAATCAGGAACAACCTCAAGAATCATAATGGGACATCTGTCCATTGGCATGGCATTTACCAGCGTAACTCGAACTGGATGGATGGGGTGTCGGGCGTGACAGAATGCCCGATTCCTGTAAGCCCGCATCTCTTTAGTTACCTACATCGAAATCAAGCTAATATTCGAAGCCCGGGGAGGAGAAAACGTATACCTGGCGAGGCACCCAGTACGGAACTTCATGGTATCATAGTGCGTACTGGAAAGAAAGAGTAATTATGGCATAATAATCGCTGAATTTCTTAGGCCAGTTCAGTCTCCAATGTTCGTCATTTCATCTCTTGATAGCCGCAAGCCATGATTTTGACACGACTGGTCAGACGCGGATGGACTAGTGGGTGCATTGAAAATCAATGGGCCAGCGAGCATGAATTATGATGATGATCTGGGTCCTGTGCTAAGTCAAACCCCCCCACTTCCTGGCACCCCCCTGTTTCTGGCACCACAAAAACGATGGGATCACAACCCGACCTCCTCATTACTATTAACTATTGATCCTCAACCACACCCACTACAATACAGCTGCCAGCCTCACTAGGGCATTCAGAGTCGCTGGATTCAGCCGTGATAACCTCCTTTTCACCCGCTTCGATTTGAGCCCGATGGATATCCCTGATGTTCGCGAACTTCGTGTTGGGATCGATTTGAACAGTCTTCCTCTTCCTCACTGCAGCGTTGGTAACTTGAGCCCTCAGGTGAGCTAGTTGCTTCTGGGCAGCTGCCAGTTGCCAGGCCTGCTCTGTGAAGCCTTTTTTCACCTTCCTGAATAGCAGCCGTTGAGTGCTGGTATCATTGTCGAGTTGGGTGTATAAGTGCAGTTGACCGCTGAGCTCTGCCAGCTTCCTGGGTGTCGACCAGACCACTGCAGAGGAGGCAGAATCCCATGGCTCAACAGGGGTAGTTTGTTGACCATTATGGCATCGCTTTCTGCCCTGACTAGTTGGTTTGGGTGTGGTGGGCTTAGCAGGAGGCTCAGGTAGTACCATAGGGTTCATCAGGGGCTTAACCATCGCCACAGGGTGTAGACCAGTCCACTTCCAACCACTTCTGATGTTCGAGACTGATAGACCAGCAAGTCGAGCCTTCTGGTAACAGTCCAGGAAGTTCCTTTTACCTATAATGGTAGAGTCGTTCCATTGAGACAAGTAACCGAGCTCCTTCCGATAGGCTGACTTAACAGGGCTGAAGACAGACTGGTCAAGAGGCTGGAGGACATGAGAGGAGTGTGGTGGTAAGAACAGTAAATGGATATTGTTAATATAGCAATTCCACATGAAGTCTGTCGTCGTATGACTCCCATGCCCATCCACAATCAGCAGTCGAGCCTCCCCCTCAGCCTCAGGCATAGTCTGTGGGATGAACACCTTCTCTAACCATTCAATGGCAGTTAAGTCTGTAGTCCAGCCATTATCTGTTGCTGTGAACTCCCACCCATCGTATGGAACGAGATATAATGGAAACCACTGCTGTTGGACTGTCTTCCCCTTGAAAATGATAAGAGGACGAAGTGCCCTACCCAAGGCTGAGATACACTCAATGATAGAGACCCATGCCCTCGACCCAGGTTGTTTCTTGCGAACAGACGTCGTCTCAGCCATACCCAGCACTAACCCATTAGCTCCCTGACCCTCGAGGATGCCAGTCTCATCCATATTATATCTGTTGGCTGGTTTGATGTCCTTGATCTCAGGGATAGCGAGGAACTTAAACCAGTTCCTAATGACCTCAGTAGATGCCCCATTAACGCGTCTAGAATCGATAGAACGACTTCTCTGAACCTTAATGATAGGGTTCCTTCTCACAAAGGCATAGATCCAGCCTTTTCTCAGTGGTTTGGTATCCCCAGCAGCAGCCAGAACTCGCTCTGCGAATTCCTTCACCTGTTGGTGCGTTGGTGCGAGGCCCAGCGAAGCCTGAATGCGAACCCATTGTGCCAGCTTACTCTCCTGGTCAGGAGACAGCCTCTGCCAGTCAGCAAAAGCCACTTTCCTAGTCTGACCACCTTGGAGACGTAGTTGGAGGGTTGATCGTGGTATCCCATACTCCAATGAGGCTCTCTTTTGACTCTTGCCGTTTGAGATGTCCTCGAGAGCCTGACGAAGCTGATCTTCGGTATATTGAGGCATTAGATATAGAAGAAGGTATGTGCAAAAGATGAGCCCATTTGGACGCGAATTGAAAATGTTGTGATAAAAGGAGGTTGGGGGTGGGCATTGGGTTGTGGTGGATTTTCGCGTTTTTGTGGGTGCCAGAAACAGGGGGGTGCCAGGAAGTGGGGGGTTTGACTTAATTACTGACAATTTCCACAAGACTGCATTCTCCCGGGTGCAGCTTGAGTACATGGGTAAGTCTGCACCACCGCGAGCTAAGGTAGTCGAATCTAATCAAGTGGACCAGGCCGACCTCCTGCTCCCGATAGCATGTTGATGAACGGCAATGGAAGATACTACTGTTGCCCGGTAGGTGCGAGCTGTAACGCAGACCCAAGGTGTGTTGGCGGATCGAACATTACGACGTTTAACTTCAAGCGGGGGAGATCCTACAAGATGAGCCTTGTGAATACCGGCACCTCGACTCATACGACTTTCTGGATTGATCACCATAATTTCACGGTTGTTGGTACGGACTTTGTCCCGATCAAGCCGTACACTGCATCCATCATCAATATCGCTATTGGTCAGCGCTACGACATTATAATCAACGCCAACGCAAGGAAGAATACCCGGACAGACTTCTGGATTCACGCTCGGGACTGTCAAATCGGAGGTGCCCGATCGAATCTTGGCATTATCCGCTATGATCCTACATCGACAACACTACCTTGGACACCCCCAGTAGACGACCGTCACGTTTGTTATGGCTGCCTCAACGAGTCACCTAAAGACCTGAAACCAATCGTCCGACGGATGGTAAAGAACGCAGCTAATGAGGGGTTCGAAAAGGATTCGTTGAAGGTGCATCTAGTCGGGTTCCCTAACGACTTCGACCCGGATGCAACGCTACACAAGTGAGTTCTAAAGGACTCTTCGCTTTATTTGGACTGGTCACAGCCCAGTTTGAGCCTTGTCAAAATTGCATCTGACCAAGGCTGGGAGAATCCCAAATTTCCCAAAGGTTACGAGCCAGTGGATCTTCAGTCCTACAAGGAGAATAGCTGGGTGTACTTCCTTATCGAAGGCAAATTCCAGGAGTTTGTCGACAATGCAACTCAAAAAATCTACAAAACGCAAGCGCCGGTTGCACATCCTATGCACATCCATGGCCACGATTTCGTCATCCTCGACTCTGGAACCTCCGAGTTTGACCCTAAAAACTATACCATCAACCGCGACAACCCGCCCCGCCGTGACGTGGCACTTCTTCGAGTCAATGGATACCTGATCATCGCTTTCCAAAGCAGGCATTTCTGGTTTTTTCCCTTACTCATAAAGTACTATCTGACCCCCGGAAACTAGTTGATAACCCTGGCGTCTAGTTGATGCATTGCCACGTAAGTTGTTGACCACGAGATCGCCGTGGAATATAACCCGACTGACCATTGCAGATTGCCTGGCACGCAAGCGGCGGTCTTGCTCTGCAATTCATTGAGCAACCAGAGAAGCTCAGTCGCCAATTTGGGGACTCCGGCAAAGTGGAAGATTTCTCAAAAACTTGTACTAACTGGGCGGCATACTACACCATGTTTAACAAGAATTATAATGCGACACAGGATGATTCGGGTATCCGATACGGGTTGAACGGACAGAGGGAAATAAGAAGCTAGTGTTCACATTGTTTATCATTGGAACGGGTGGAGTTTCCAAGCTGGTTAGCATATAATAAAATCGACCAACGTCCTCTTCACCGAATATTCATGAAACACGACGATCTTACCGTCTTCACATGCAATGTCTCCCAGCCTGGGTAGAACTCACTGCTAAAATTGAGTCTCGATTTCTTCCCCAGCCAAGCCCAAAGCCCAGTAATAACATTTTTTTCAGTGAGGTTTACTTGAAGTTATATTAAGGTAGTTACTGTTATAAAGATCAGATAAGATTAGGCGCAAGAGTGATGACTATCTTCCCCTGGGCATGAGTTCTCGAGAATGCTCTCTACCTGCTACAATGGTGGCCGTGTTGTATTGGATGTCGCTAGTAGAGGGCAAGAAGGCATTGAGTAAGTCAACCTACCCACTTTTCGCCATCCCCCCCTTTTCGCCACCCCAAAAATGCCACCCAGCCTCCTCATTATTATCCTACCCCTATTGTTCAAACAACCACAACAATTGCAATTTTCGTCCAAACACACTCCTTTTTGGCACACTTATTTATAGATATGTAATGGTCTCGTATACCGAATTTGAAGTGCGGCAAGCACTTGATGCCATCTTGAACGGTACCCCTATTAACAGGGCCTCGATTGACTGGGCTGTACCACGATCAACACTACGAAGTCGACTCAAGGGGCATCAGAGCAGACTCACCGCATTTTCCGAGCTTCAGAGACTAAATCCATGGCATGAAGACCGACTGGCAGAGTAGATTCGCATTCAACACACTCTAGGGGTCTCTCCTACACATGAACAACAGCATCCCTTGGTCCCAAGGCTGCTGCAGTCAGGGCGGCAACAGACCAGGCTTCAAAGAACAGCTGGCCTTTTACCTAAGTGTCCAAGGCCAGCGCTCCTACAGCCGCAATACCTCCCAGGGTCCTATGACCCTATAGTTACACAGACGAAGGAAGTAGCAGCTAGGATCTTCCAGGCCTGGCTCAAGACTGTGCCAGGTCAGCATACAGTCGTATACTCAGACGGCTCCAAAGCTCCTGACGGAGCTACAGGGTACGGCTTTGTTATCTACCGCAACAATAAACGTATAGCCCAGGGCTGCAGCCGTCTCGGCTTAGCAGAAGTGTTTGATGGTGAGGCGGAGGGGGCGAGGGCTGGGCTCCGACGGGCCCTTCAGACCTCCCAAGGCCAGCCTATACACATCTGCATCGACAATACCAGCGTTATTCAGGGGATTCGCGGTAAGATCCCAGACTCCTCACAAGCGGCCTTCCTTGAGATCCAGGAGGTAGCTAGGATACACGATATACAAACCCATTGGTCTCCTGGGCACCAAGGTATTAAAGGAAACGAAGAAGCAGACAGCCTAGCTAAGGAGGGAACAACTCTACCAGTCCTTAGGGGCCAACTAGCTACTCTATCAGGTATCAAGTGGCTTGCTAAAGAGCGGCCAAGACGCCAATATAGACGATGGTGGAAACAAGAGGCAACTCCCCGCTATACCCAACTAGGGCTCAAGGCTACCCTTGCTTGCCCTCCTGAACTTGGCCTCCCTAGGGCTGCCCTTCATCACCTCCTCGCGGCACGGTCAGGCCACGGGGACTTTGAACAATATCACCAACGCTTTAACCACACAGAAGCACTACTCACCTGCTCCTGTGGATAGGTTAAGGAGGCAGACCATCTAGTCTACTGCCGAAAGACCCTACTGAGGAGGCAACAGTGGCCCACCCTCTACCCCTACAGCCGCCAGGAGCCCGTAGGACCTATAGGGTCCCTCGATCGCTACTTCAAGGGGCTAATCACCAACTCTGAAGGCTTCCAGGCCTTCCTCTGCGTGACAGACTTCTTCCAGAAGATCTGCCCGCGGTACTAGGAGATAGGTCATAACCTATCCTCCAAACGACAGACTACCTCTAATAAGAAACCAGATGGTTATAACGGAACTAGGGCACCAGTGGGAACTAGGGATGGATAGAACACATAGTAGCTCACGAGCAAGATTTGGAGGACGTCAGGAGACGGCGTGTACTATATAGTATATAGCTAGAGCCTGCGACCCTTCACGCCACATACCCTTCGGGAGGTCTGCCGCAAGGGCGGCTGCGCCCTTGCCGCCATGGCGTTAAATAGAACAACAACAACAACAGTGGCAGACAGCAATCTTGCGGAATTGCAAGTCTGTTGGATTCACAGGTGGAAAAGGAAAATACTCGAGTATCGTGGGTAGCAACGATCACCGACTGTAGTGGTGATATTGCTTGTTCTTGTTGTTCTTGAGTGGAAGTCTAACCAGGTGCCAGCGGCGGCAGGAAGTCTGGGGTATACCACCCTCGTGTGGCTGAGCCACACGGACCACCGTGGCTGGAACGGACCGCGGCAGCAACCTCCTGCTGCCTAATGTAGGCCTATTCCAACAAAGTCTTTGACTAATATTACTCCATTCACGTTAAGAAACTCAATTGATTTAGTTGGGACTCGTGGCAGGAATGAAACTATTACCGCAATGCGAAAACTATTAAAGCCATTGTTTCAAGAAATTAGATACCGTAGCTATTGGTGTTTCCTAAGTCGTTCGGGGCGCCGCCCTGCACTTCTGTTCCTCGTGATCGCCCCTTTGGAGACAACTGGTCATCGTGACATCTTGTTTGGAGACGCTGACAATCTAAGCTCTGGATCGCAGCAGTCTATTTCCACGTCGTCCATGAGATTCGTAAAGGCACGCGATGACTGCAAACAGAGTGACGCTTTCATCCCGAGGCATCTGATTTACCGATCGGCAACCGTTTTCAGGGCACATGGAGCGGAATGATGTTGTGGAAAGCATCAAGCGGCCGCAGTCAGAGTAGCATTACGAGTGTCAGACTTCCTCGGCCAAAGTAACTTCCAGAGGATATTTAGGACACTCTCAATTCAGTTGTGATTGCTGTTTGTCGCCAAAGAATCTCTTATCTAACTAGACCGCCCAAAAGCAAGCTGAGGATCAAGACCATAATTTCTAGCAGCTCGTATTCCTCTCTTGGCATCTGAGGGCTTCATTAGTGAATAGTGAATGCCAAGCTGGCAGTCTCGACCGATTCTGCTGAGAAACTTAGCCGGGGGATGTCTCATTAATAACGTCTTTCATATGTGGAGCCTCGATCATAAGCATGATTTCATCAAGGGACTTGATTGCCATTACTAGAACGGAATAGCTTTAATCGCATCTAATCAGAAGAATAGTTCCATTGATAACAACAATAGCAACTAAGGTGTGTATAAACAAGAAGCCCTGTTCTACACATTGGTAGTGTGACCCAAAACGCAACAGAAAGGGGTCTCAATGACCGGATTTGCAACGCAAGACTGTTTGTTCAGCAAAGAAAAGTCGCGAACCTAAACGCGTACCAGAGAGTTATTTCAGGTACCTTACTCTCTGGTTAAAAAAGCTAGAGTGTGCCCGCGTGCATGGGTTAGCACCTGCGATGCTCCCCTTTCGCTATAGACATGCTAGAAGGCTTTGACTCTCCGGAATTGGATTCTCAATAAGGCCTGCTACTGAAGTCCTTACGCTGGGACGGGTGAGGCTGCGTATTCTACATCTTCACTTTGTAACCACAGAATCACCAACTTCTTGGTGTCTTCATGTCTAACCCTTCGAACGTAGATAGTTGTCTCTCAATGCGCTCCTCATCGGGGTTAACTAGAGGATCCCAAGTTGCAGCTGCACCGAGGTATGTCGACAAAAGCTGATCCATAGAGGCTTGTCCTCCAACCTGGATCTCGGCGCTCAGCATATCTTCATGAACCGGCAGCTCGGTCTTAGTAGCAGAACTGCTAAAGGATGACTCCAGAACCTGTCTGATGCGCCTCACATAGCTTGGCTCTTCCGACGGCCTTCTTTGCTGAGAGGAAAGATAGTCAACTCGACATTTCCAGGCTTTCATTGTGAATTTGGCGAGAGCGATATTGTAATCCTGAGAAGGGTCAAAAAACTCTGGATGAAACTCGTAAATGGAAGGCACCAGCTGCCAGGCACGCTCAACTATAGCCCCGGTCACTCGCTGGCTGAGCTGGCCGACCATGAGAGTCGCCACGTCGTACTGGAAAAGCAACTTGAGAAACCAGTGGAACTCGGGGTGTCTATTCGACCTGTAGGCGTTGATGTTCTGCTCGGTGGTCATGACAGACCATTTGAAAAGATTATCTTTGGGATTCAAAATCTCTGAGCCCCATTCTGGTTGTTCTTGAGGAGGGCGACTCGTTTCCTGGACTTTTTGAAGTATCAAAGACTTCAAAAGGGTCGCCAATTCGTGGACGGGACCAGCCGTAGGATCGGAGTTCTTGTCGATCACGGCATTCAGTCGACCCTCGAGGCTTTTGATAAAGGCGCTGATCTGTGCCGATTGGACTTTACTTCTCCTTCCGGAGCTCAGGGTGCTCAACTCGTTGTAGAGCATCAGCGATTCGATGTCTTGCTGCTGCTGGATACAAAAGCCAACCTGATACACCAAGAGTGGGATTACCATTTCTGTTGGACCGTCGCGCTCCTGATATCGCTCAGTGGCACCCGTATGCAAATCTGCATCATTCAAATTCTTCGGAAGTTTGCAGTCGCTAGGTCGAGGAAGCAGCGACTGGCTCAACCCTGATATCATAGAGAATTTGGAGTCCAACATAAAGATCTGCCACCAAATTCGCCGTCTCATCTCAGTCTCAAAAGGCGAAAGCCCGAGAAGCTCCCCATCTCTGTGGAGGCCCATTTTCTGGGCGATTCGTACACAGATACCGTTTAAAATCCAGGCTCCATGGACGTTGCATCTGCCCTGTATTGACATCTTTGGATTCAATTAGCGAGATTCCTAGAGACAACAAAGACTGTAGAGCCTTACAATATGTAAGACTAATGCCTGGAGTGTTGTCAGATCGTGAGATTTGAGGAAGTCTGCCCGTAGCAGGCTCGCTCGTAATCCCGACGAAAACCGCCGAAACGCAGCTTTGCATGTGGAACCTAGCATTTCAATGCTCTCAACATCAGTCATGGCGACGATGGCCATGCTGTACACAGCGAAGAGAAGGGCCTCGATGTTGTGCGGCAAGGTCCCTGGTCGAGTGGCAGCTTCAACCACGGACTGCTGCAAAGTGGGGGCGTGGATGATTTTGGTAAGGGAATTCACTCTCTCGAGAAAGATCTGCCATAAGCCGAAGACTTGACCGGGGCTTGGATAGAGATCATGAGAGTTCTCAGTCGGCAAATCGCCGCCGACAAGAAGGTATTCGCTGTAGTCGGGCATTGAAGCTCCGGAGTCCCAGTCGTGGGGTTCAGCCTCAACCGTGTCGTCTTCCTGCTCCACAAGTTGTCTCATTCCACGTAGCTAGAAGTGTTATTAAAGAGGGCAGCGGAGCAACAAAGATTCCAAAGTTCGTACCTCTTCGTAAACGGTGGTCCATAGGAAATTGTCCGTGAAACGCACAGCGCCATCTTCCGTCACAAGCTTCCCGGCCGGCTTCCAGTTGATTTCATGATTCTCGTACTGAGGAATGCTAAAAGACTGTGGCGGGGCAATTGTGCTGCTGTCTTCCAGAGGCCCATTGCTTGAAGCTGCATATCGAGCTAGAAGCTCCTCGCAACGAGCAAGTCTAGCTTGCAGCTCCGCGTTAGGACGCCTCCGCTTTCGCACGGGTGCCGGAATGCTAGGGCTACATGTTGTCTTGGACTAGGCGAATGGAAAGATCAGCAAGAGCTCGAAGGTAAGTAAATAAGAATTGACAACAAAAAGACTGTATGGGTCTGTAGATCGGTTGAAATTTGGGCATTGCCGCATGTTAAGGGCATTTTCCAATACAAACCTTGACACAATTTACGCACGGATATTTCCGGTCACACTTGACCTTCCGACGTTGGCATAGCATGCAAGCTAGAGGCCGAGGCTGCTTCGCAGAGGACCTATCCGGAGGTGAAGCTGACATCTTGCAAGATGAGCGAGAGTGCGGCAGAGGTGGGATGCGCACCGGGGGCCTCGTACAATCTGTTCTGCCGACAGACAGCGGGGTCGGGTATATAGGAGGTCAATCAGGAGGGCGATTGGGGTCGGCCAGGGGTAGGTAGACCAACATGCGGAATGTCCCGTTCTGAGCGCGCCTTAATTACCTCTTTTTCGAAGCCAATGCGCTCACCCATCACACTTCAGCACAACTGTTAGTGGCGCCAAGATAAGTGAGAAGTTGCGCAGATCTTCGTAGTGAGACGCCAGCCAGAAGGGGTGGCGAAGCTTAAATCGAAGTCAATGCCTAGCAAAAGCGGCTTGCTCGGCAGCAGCCCCCGGCCCCCCCTGCTGATATGATTGACACGTATTCGTAAAGCTTCGACGGCCTGTAGCTAAGGTAAGCTGCCAACTCTGCATGTAAAACACTACCAAATTGGACCGAGGGGCTGATCTGAAAGAAGCACGTCCCCTTAGGCGAGATAACTGAAGAGACTCTTCCCGTACCCAACCCTTTTGTGAACCAAGCCACTCGGCGTTCTCCCCAGCATCTGTAAGGAATCTCGCATAGATTGCGTTCTTCTTCAAACACACATGTAGCGATAAACGTATACTGCTGGACGTCGTTACTCCGAGGGACGAAATGCATTTGGAGGTGGAAGGTGATGATGATGATGATGATGATGATGATGATGATGTATTTAACGTCTAGTAACATTGGAGGTGGAAGGTGTGGTAGAAGCATCCCGGTATCCTTCTGTGGCAGGTGCAGGTGGGTCACGTGAGGCAGCTCCTTCACATCTCGGAGCTGCCCCACCTACACCTTGCCCAGATATCCAGCCCAGCCAGCGCTCAGCTTTTCCCATGATCATCATCAGATCTAATACAGTAGTATTACCTCCACAGGTTTGTTACGACCCAACATGAGACCAGGGCGTGCCCCGCTGACGCCTGGCGGCTACGGCGCATCATATATGCAGGACGGGACGGAACATTGGGGAAACCCCAGGAACGGAAGAACTATGGTACAAGTCACGTGATGATAAGAGATATGATAAGGGATAAGGATATGTTGGATATGCGACATATCCAACCGAGTCACGAACAACTTCTGAACACATACCTCGAAAGGTACCCACTGTTAGTAATTATTAAGGTTATAGAGGGCTACGGCCCACTGCACTATCATCTCTCAACATCAGCCCATACGAGCTGAATTCCACGACCATGGCGGTCTCCCTAGATGTAGGGCCATCAATCACGGTTCACGGGGACGCCGGTATACCTCGGCGGTCGGGACGAGTCCGGAAGCCGACTACAAAGGTCAGAGTGGTTAAGCAGGTTAACCACCAGGACAATTCTAAGCTCAAAGACGAGATCAATAAGCTTTCGAATCTTGTCCAGGACCTCTTATATCGGGACACCGAGAGGGAATAGTTTTTGAAAGACTGTTTAATAAAGATCGAATTCTTGGAGAGAGAGCTTTAGGAGGAGAAACAGCGTTTAAACCGGTATTAACGTAGTCTAGCAAGGTCTATGCACGCTATTAGCACAGTGTTACGGCCAGCTAGTCGTAGGGGTAGTTTGCAGAAGTTGAGGCTGCGGAACTGGTAACAGTAATCGTAGTCGGGGATAGCTTCAGGGAAGCTATGTCTGTCAATCGTAAGGGTAGGTAAGGCTTCGGTGATCAATCGTAGTCTTGTCAAGGTAGTAGCTGAAAGCGGATGTTAATCCTGATACGAAGTTAATTGCTGAAGAGCTATGGAAAGTCTGACCTAGAGCCCAGCTCGAGTCCATCCTTATATACAAGTCCGATCCTAACTGAACAGTGCTGTACAGTCCACTTTGTCTGGATATGTTGGATATGCCGAATATCCAACATATCCTTGACTCGGTTGGATATGTCGAATATCCAACATATCCTTGGCTCGGTTGGATATGTCGCATATCCAACATATCCTTGACTCGGTTGGATATGTCGCATATCCAACATATCCTTATCCCTTATCATATCTCTTATCATCACGTGACTTGTACCATAGTTCTTCCGTTCCTGGGGTTTCCCCAATGTTCCGTCCCGTCCTGCATATATGATGCGCCGTAGCCGCTAGGCGTCAGCGGGGCACGCCCTGGTCTTCATGTTGGGTCGTAACACACAGGGCCTAGCGAGACTGACCTAAGTTCCCAGGGGCATCCCTCGCACACAACCCAGAACCAGCCGCCCCCAGTCCGTTGCGGCGGCGGCGAGCCAGCTATTATCCAGAAGATAGGATGAACCAACGCTAGCTAAATAAGCCGCAAAACAAGCTACAAACCAGGCGGCCTTAAAGGATCTACGCGTCTTCGCGCGTCTATCGCCTGAAAGCCCGCTTCGGAACGAGAAAGCCTACGACATATATATCTTCGTTCGGGAAAGGCTAAGTCCCCAAGCCCGAGAAGCCCTTAAGGGGATCGACCATATTAAGATAGGATTAGCACTCCTACCTTTGTTAATGGATAGTGCAAAAGTCCTGCTAGAGAATAGAGAATAGATCGCTGCCCTTCTCTAAGCGTAAGCGATCGAGTAACGCGATACCTAGATCCGAGCCTATATCGTAAACGTCGCTTATACCAGGTATTGTCTGGTAACCAACACTAAGCTGGAAATCACGACCGAGGAGCTCCTTAAAGAGATCCAGGTCTCGACGAAACTCAAGCCTAAAAAAGCACACTTCTCTAGGAAGGACGAAGTCGAAAGGCTAGGCACGGTGATAACCTGGTTTAAGGCGGAAGCCGTAAGGTAACTACTAAGACGCCTCCGTTTGATAGGGGCCAGCGTTTTTATAAACCTATAGTTCCCGAAGGAGAAGAGGCCTCCTTAATGTCTCCGCTGCGGCGGTTTTTATAGCGAACGAACGTGCACCAGAAGGAAGAGATACCTCAAGTGCAGCTCTCCTTCCTATATAACTGATCAACACCGGGCACCCTTCGGCGGCACTAAGGGTCACGATGGCTGCGACTGCCCCTTTAAATGCCCGTCGTGTAACGGGCCTCACGCCGCCTTCGATGCGACTTACCCTATCCAACCCAAAGTAGTAAAGGGGGTAGTCTAGAGGAGGGATAAGGCTCAGCTACGGGCCATCCGAGCTGAGGGAGAAAGATTGTAGAGAAATACGACCTAGTAATCATATCGATATTCCCGTAAAGAAGAACAAGCGATGGACTATACCCCGGCGAATAAGATATAAAAGAAGAATACAGCCCTCTAAAACCCTGTAAATTATATAAGCGAATGTAGGTAAGCGGGCATCCGCCCACGAAACAGTACTAGACCTAGCTTATATAGCCTAAATCGATATACTCCTAATATAAGAGCCGTCTATCCGTTCGGAGGAGAGGAGGCTCACAAGACACTACCTAGGTTTTAAGACTTTTACCCTAGTGGATAACTAGACCGAAGACCATCCTAGGGTACTTAATTACCTCCGTAGAGGAACTAGGGTACGAGGCGTATAAATACGGCCTCTACCCGATCCATCTACAGACCTGCTCTTCTTACGACTCCTCTTAGGAACGAAGGAGGTCCTTACAGTCATTAACGTATATAACGCCCCTCGTAGCTCTCTACGATCTGGCCAGGCTCTTAGGAACATCCTAGCGGCCTAGTAACCCAAACCTAAGGATCGAGTACTAATTGCGGGGGATTTTAACTTACACTATTAGACGTAGCAGCCCGAGGCCACGAGTTCCCCGGACGCTGAAAACCTAGTAGAATGGGCAGAAGCCGCCAGCCTTGTCCTAATGTCACCTATAGGTAAACCTACGCACAAAGGCGGTAACACCCTAGATTTATGCTGGGCGTCCAGTAACCTCCATGGGGCTTCCACCAGCCAGACCCCGGGAAGGTTTCGGCTCGACACGATGGACGAGGAGCTTTTCCTCGGCATCATTAAACGTAACTTATAACCTATGCGCCGTACTACAAGCAACATCTAAGACCCACAGTCTTTAGATCTCCTAGTACAACAGCTTACGGACTATCTTATTAAAGTACTTACGGCTTCTATAAAGCGTACGCTCGGGAAAGGTATAGGGAGACTATATTGGAGCGAAAGCTGCATACGTAAACACTAAGCCTATGCGAGTAAGCAAGCGATATTAGTAAGACTCCGCGTAGCCGGAGTGAACTGCTAATGGGAAGAAGAGGAGGTCGAAGCTCTAAAATAGGACTTCCTCTACGAGTTTAAACGCTCTAAGGATGCCTTTTGGAAAGATAAGATCTCCTTAGCCTCCTTAAGTAAAGATATATTTGAAATGGTCGGTTGGTATAAAGCCACAGGATCCTTTTAGACCCCGCCACTCCGAGATGTAGATAACTAAGATACGCTTGTTTTATAACCAGAAGAGAAGCGCGACTTATTTATCTACGTCCTCCTTAGAAACGCTGCAATCTCCGAGGATATACTAATAGAAAGCCTAGTCTTATAAAGGCAAGCTACGCTTCCTTTCCTGTAGGTTACGAAGGACGAGGTACGGTCTTCGGTTCTCACCGCGGGAAATACGACTCCTGGGACCGACGAAATTACTATAGTTAACTGTTTTGAAAATAATATGGTTAGTTATCGAGGATATTGTCCTCTTATTTTATAGCGGGTGTATATGCGAGGGTTAGTATCCTACTTGTTTTAAAGAAGCAACTCTCGTGATCCTAGCAAAACCGGGAAAAAGAGATAAGACACTCCCGCGCTCCTATAGGCCAATTACGCTCTTGGCTGTCCTCGGAAAAGGCTTGGAGAGACTTATCGCTAGACGACTTGCCTGGATCGTAGTTAAATATCGTATTCTGTACGATCAACAGTTTGGAGCACTCCCTCTTCGCTCTTATAGCGACCTTATCGTAGCGGCTATCCACGATATCGAGTGCGCCTAGTAAAGAGGCCTAGTTACCTCTATACTTACGCTCGATATAAAAGAGGCTTTCGACGCCGTACTCCCAGGATAACTAGTCCGACGCCTCTACGAACAAGGATGGCCGGAGAACCTCGTACGCTGGGTCTTAAGTTTTATTACCGGAAGGAGAGCAAGAATAAGGCTTGATGGGGAGGTAAGAGACGTCTTCGGTCTCGAATATGGACTATTATAAGGCTTACCCGTGTCTCCCATTCTGTTCATGCTCTATATTGAACCTCTTTTTAAGCTAGGCATAGCTCGCCTAGGAAGGAAGCGATCTCGTTTCGGCTATACCGATAACGTCGCTATCTTAATAAGCTTAACATTACTAGAGAATAACTATGATATCCTAACTAAGGAAGAGAAAGAAACCTTAGGATGGGGCGCGACGGAAGGAATTACTTTTAACCTCGATAAGTCCGAACTAATCTACTTTACTAAGAGACGAAAAGACGGAAACTTATTAATTATAGTAGGTTTACCGGATAAGAAGCATCATATAGTTCAGGCTATTAAAGAAGGCTCTTCTCTACGCTGGCTCGGCGTTCACTTTGACCGTAAACTCATATTCAAGAGTTACGTAAGAAACCTCTTTATAAAAGCATATTAAGTAATTAATAGACTACGGGGACTAGGAAACACTATCTAGGGCGCGCCTATATACTTACTTCGTCGAGCGATCACCTCTTATATATTACCCACTTAGTACTATATATCTAAAGTATGGTGGCCCGGCAAGAGCCGGATAAAGAATGGACGTACTATCTTAAACGGGGTTAGTAGTCTGCTATACTAACTAGACGCGATGCAAACCAAAGCCATTAGAGCGATGGTCCCCGTATATAGAACTACGCCTATACCGATCCTATAGCGCGAGGCGGCTCTACCCCCAGCAGAGGTGATACTGGACGCAAAGCTCTACACAGCGTCCACTAGAATCTATCGTCTGGCCGAGCGACACCCTCTCCGAACGAGACTCAGGGACAAATCAGGACCAGACTCACGGCTACGACGAATAATAAGCCTCGTAAATAAAAATATCGAATACATCGATCCGTTAGAACTCCCCCCTTAGGAGTAACTAGCGGACTGGCAGATAGCCCTCGCCAGGGTCGGCTACGAACCTAATAAGACCAAAGAAGAACAGGCCCTCTCCTTTGTAGGCAGGATAGCAACTTTCTCTAAGCGGGACATTATTATCTATACTAACGGGTCCCAGATATCGGACGGTAGTAGTACCTCCGCCGGAGCAGGCTAGGTAGGGTACTAAGCTACACGGCAGATCTTCCGCAGATCCGAACCACTCGGCTCCTAAACTAAGGTATATGACGCGGAGGCACATACTGCGTATCACGGCCTAATAGAAGCTACCCGGGCTCCTACGGCTCGTATAGTAGATAACGTCTATATCTGCCTCGATAACCTCGTAGTCGCGGCTAGACTATACTCCCAGAGTATAGGAAGTAACCAGGCTAGATTTAGGGCCTTCAATAGGCTCTCTTCCTCCTGGACTCGGAGACAAAGAGAGAGCTGGACAACCCCCGGCAGGGTTTATGTTTGGTGGTGCCCTGGGCACACGGGAGTACCAGGAAATGAAGAAGCGGATGCTCTAGCCAAGGAAGCCTGCAAACTAATCCCAAAATCATAACCACAGCCCTTATTAGCGCACCTAGAAAGGCAAGCTAAAGTAGCTACCTTCCAAGCCTTTGCCAGAAAATGGCTGTCCCAATGCCCTCGGTAATATGCCGACCTCGAGATAATTCTTCACCCCAAGCCGCCCGAACTCCGCCTCCCTCGGTACTTACTAGGAAGGCTATACGCAACAAGATCCTATCATAGAGACTTTGTAGCATACCACGAGAGATTCGCTTATTAAGATGCGTTGCTTAACTGCAGCTGTGGGAAACCTAAGACACCAGTCTATTTCTACTTCTACAAGCGTGGACGCAAGGCTATACCGCGCTACCTCCGCCAACGTATGGCCAAAGCAAGCATTGATTTCTTGCTAGGTTCTACTAAGGGAGCCTCTCTTCTATGCAAATGGATAGAGGAGACCAATTTCTTTTCCGAAATTTGCCCGAGTCATTGAACAGGAACGTTAGGTGAAGACGGTAGCCTGTAACATAGTTTAGATTAGCATAGACCATGTCGGCATAGCGCCCGGCACGTCCTTTTGTTACCAGACGTTAAATACATCATCATCATCATCATCATCATCATCATATCCAACCGAGTCAAGGATATGTTGGATATTCGGCATATCCAACATATCCAGACAAAGGGGACTGTTCAGCACTGTTCAGTTAGGATCGGACTTGTATAAGGATGGACTTGAGCTGGACTCTAGGACAGACTTCCATAGCTCTTCAGCAATTAACTTCGTATCAGGATTAACATCCGCTTTCAGCTATCACCTTGACAAGACTACGATTGATCACCGAAGCCTTACCTTACCTTACGATTGACAGACATAGCTTCCCTGAAGCTATCCTCGACTACGATTACTGTTACCAGTTCCGCAGCCTCAACTTCTGCAAACATACCCCTACGACTAGCTGGCCGTAACATATAGCCCTTATTAGCGCACCTAGAAAGGCAAACTAAAGCAGCTGCCTTCTAAGCCTTTACTAGAAAATAGCTATCCTAATAACTACCCTTGGTAATACACCGACCTCAAGATAATTCTTTATCCTAAGCCGCCCGAACTCCGCCTCCCTTGGCACTTACTAGGAAGGCTATACATAGTAAGATCCCATTATAGAGACTTTATAGTATACCACGAGAGATTCGCTTATTAAAATACGTTACTCAACTATAGCTATGGGAAACCCAAGATACTAGTCCATTTCTACTTCTATAAGCATAGAAAATAAGGCTATACCGCGCTACCTCCGCCAATATATAGCCAAAGTAAATATTAATTTCTTATTAGGTTCTATTAAGGGAGCCTCTCTTTTATATAAATAGATAGAGGAGATTAATTTCTTTTCCGAAATTTGCCCGAGTCATTAAGTAGGAATGTTAGGTAAAGACGGTAGCCTATAATATAGTTTAGATTAGCATAGACTATGTCGGTATAGCGCCCGGCACGTTCTTTTGTTACTAGACGTTAAATACATCATCATCATCATCATCATCAGATATCCAGCCCAGCCAGCGCTCAGCTTTTCCCATGATCATCATCAGATCCAATACAGTAGTATTGCCTCCACACCTTCTAAAGCTTGGAGGTAGCTTGGGAAAAATATCGAACCAAACCGTGTGTCAATTTAGGAAGTGTCAGCTAAGCTAATGTACGGATTCTCTACATGTATCTGTACTACTATTCCGTATTTAACTCCTGTCGGCTGTGTACACTGAATAGGGTATCCGCTCGTTGGCCAGTAGAGGGTGGAGCGAGGTCAAAAATCGCCGCTAGAAGATGCCGAGCCAGTAGGGTTAAGTTCTTCGGGTTCCAAAGATAGGTAGTTCCCATGTAAAGAGCTTTGTTCTGGCCAACCAAACCGATGACTATGACGGCTCCTTCTTTCTTCGGAAAGCTTTACGCCACCTTTGCGAGATTCAAAATAACTTCCAGAAATGCGTGCCATATTTACATTGGTGCGTACGATATTCACATTGTACACAAGTACGCTACAGCCACCGGGGCCCTGAGTGTGTCGAACACTTCGCTTACGTCAAGCTGGCCCACACAGCAGCTTGAGCCATGGTGAACTACTCCGTAGAGCGTCTTTAGTAAAAGTTTAAATCATCTGATTGGTCTCCAAATTGGACCCGGGACTTCAAATGCGTAACGAAATCTCGAGCTATCTCTGGATGTACCCCTTCTAGGGACCCCCACTCAGATGTAAGTGCCAAGATCAATGTGTCCGTCGCCATCGAGGAGTTGGAATAAGTTCAGATCCCCGAAACCATGATCCATCTCATTCCTTCCGTCAAGTATGGACAAATCCGGCGTCCTGGGTAATGATGACGAAAGGCTTAAAAAGGATGCGTCTACGTCCGCAAAAGATGGCGAACCGAGTCCAAGAAAAGCAGAGACGGAATTATTTGTCTTCGAAACGAGGCTTCGATCCGTACTTGAACTTGAATTTGCATCAGTAGCTGAAGCTTGGATGTTGTGGACACTTTCGGTGCTTTCTCGCGGGACAAGTCCAAAAAGCTGCGAGGAACTTTCAGTACGCTGCACACGTTCTCTGAGTTCCTTCTTTTCCAAGTACTCGAGAGCGGCGTTGAGTAATGACTTTGTAATGAGCGAGTATTGAGAGGCGTGAGCGTCGATCTTTGCAAAATGTTCTAGGACCATTATAGAGTTTCGCGTGTACTTTTCCAATATGCGGCCAAAGGATCCGAGAAGACCCACGCCCAAAATGAGGGATGAGGCAAATAACCAGGACCTTGGCAAAAGAATCAGACAAGTTCAACGGGAATGCACCGGGGCCTTCACTTACACAACCAGAGGCATGTGCCCTGTTAAAACCCCTCTCTCCGCCAGGCCAACTAGTATGTCAACCATGAAGCTTGCTGCATCGATACACGCATCGGCAAGTTTTGACTTGCCGGAGATGAGACCCGAAGTCGTCGTTGGCGTCTCGGCAACTCCGTCGGCTAGTCGCTTGTGCAATTCATACATTAGAAAAGGCCGTGAGACCAATATCACCGCTATGCAGCATCAGTACTAATCCTCTGAGGCGAAGTGTTGAACAGACCATAGTAGTAGGAACAAAGGACCTGGCAAGCTCCCGTCACCCTGCTTGCTTCTTGGCCGGATATGGTATCAGACACAGTGTCCTTGAGCCTCTGTAACCAACGAATTGACCAGTCTCTTAGCTGTCGTGAGATACCTTCGGTCAATTGATACGAAACCTTCCTTCTCGAGTACACTTCTACGACGATACCTTCAGTGATCAGGAATATCTGCGCAGAAGCATTGAGTATATCGAATATCTCTTGTCCCTCATCGTCCAGCTCCCTGTAAGGTACAGTGCAGTCCACATCAGATGTTGCAGGTGGCCGGCCCATCGATGTACTCAAGAAGAGATCCAAGACACGCAGGCTCTTCCACAGGCGATCCCTACCAGGTATGAGTGTTAGCCGTTGGATTTGGCAACAGAGAAACGAAGGGGGCTTGTACCGCTGCCTCTGGACGTCGGCACCAAATCGAGAGTTAATCTCAGTGCGGTGAATCCCAATCGAGTAGGCTGCTCTGACTGCGATACCTGCGAGTTTGCATTCTGCTTAGTATGGCTCACGAGACAGTCTATTATAATTAGTGATAGTTTTCTTGGGCACATACCAAAGAATAGAAATGCCCCATTCATTTGGCATGAAGCGAGCATATAGACAGTAACTAGGATAAATGTCTGGATTGTTGGAACATTGATGTTGCCGCTGAGATTTGCCAGGGCGATGTTGCGTGCATATTCAAAGTAGGAGGATGCAAGGTCTTCCTCGGAAGACTGGTAACCTATGGCAAGAACGAGGTAAAAAGTGGCGGATACTGCGTCTTGTGATTTATGATTCTGGCGAGCCCAGGACTCGATCTCGTTGACGAGCTGTGCATGGCCAAACAGATCGACGACACCACTGGTCTGTAAGACCATGTGTGAATGGTTATCAAACTGGGACACTCTGTAGAAAGACAGGCAAGCCTCACCACTTCATGATACTTTACAACGGCACTTGGTACTGTTGTCAGTTGTAGAGCGGGCTCGTCGTTTCCGGAATAATGAGCCGGTGGTCGGAAAGGCGGGTTTTCAGTCTGGTGTGCAAAGACTTGCGGATCGACGCGTGTGTTTACCAATTGCCGGACAGTTTGGAAGAATGACAGAGGTGCACAATCTCCAATGAAAACTTGATGACATGCAACACATCAGTTGGAGAATCAAACATGTGTATTTTGGAAAGGACGTACTTATTTTCCCTTGAGCATCACACAAAAGACGTGCCTCCCGGGGGACCTCCGTCTCTTCTTCGGCCAAGGCCTCGTGTGCCGGGACTGATTGCCGGGGCTCGGTCTGAATATCCGGGCCGTTATGCACAGACGGAGACGGCGTTCTCAGAAGGGGGGCCGGCGCTCGTCGCCTCTGCTGCGGAGAGTATCGGCACGTGGAAGGGCGTTGACGTCTCAAGCAGTAGCTGCATGGCAACTTGCCGTCGCATTTGACTATTACATCGAGGGGTTAAAAGGGAACTCAGATAGCGTCCCACGAACCATAGAATGCGAGTGCGCGGTGAGATTGCATGCGTGCAGGGAACGCACGTTCAGGTGGCTGCAAACCAAGACGATGCTCAAAGTACAATAGCAAACCGGCTCGCGAGAGACAATCGGGGAGAATGGAAATTGTACCTTTCCGGGCCTTACAACTGTCGCAAGCGTTGGCGACTCTTGTGCGGACATAGACGTGCGGCGATGGCTCTCGCCCCGAAACATCTTCCATGGTGCCTCAGCCGTTATTACCTCGTTACGTTGCTGTGCAGACACACATGCGGAAGAGCGAAGATCGGGACACGGAGGGAGGAAACTAGCCAGTGCCCAGATGGAAGTTTCCCGAGTGCGGAACTTGCTCGACGCTAGCCACGGTTGGGTAATCTGCTTGGCATCTTTCATCAAGGCACCTGATACAGTACTTCCGAGCTTAGACACGTTGACGGATGCACGGTGTGGTCACGATCCGTCGTATCCGCTCTGCCACATTCACCCGGAGCCACTTCCAGGAGCCTCAGTCTTTTTGGCCCCCGTGCCTCGTCATCATAGATCCGAGCTTAGGAGAATCTCGTGCATGAAGACTACCAACGTCGCTTCAATCTCTGCAGTAGATCAGCGTATCACCAGAAACGATGACGTACAAGCCTGCCAGCACGGTGTTCTACCTGCTTGTCACTTGGCCCCCATACATATCCTTTTGAAACACAGAATTCAGATCCGATATTACTTGGATCTTTCTCCATAAAGTCACGATTGATGATGAGAAAAATTCCGGGATTGGCCATTTCTTCTGCTCTTCATCTGCAATGTTTGCATCGAGTATGGCGGCATGGCTTCGTTCAATTGCGATCGATAGGCGCATAGCGTAGGATCTAGGTAGAATAAATATCTTGCCAACTGGTTGGTCATCAGATCAATCATCAAGGAATATTTGGACCGAAGTTTTTTCTTTCAATCAGACGAGCGTGCACGTCAGCCTTAGGACATCCGTGGCCGCTGCGACGGGTGCTGGCATTATTATGTCCTTGCTCAGCCACGTTGAGATCCGAGATCCGAAGTCACCCTTCCGCTCTGCCAGGAATTGTGCCACGGCCGTCACACGGATGTGACTTTCCCAATTTGTGGACCCGGCTTTATGTGAATGGAGCATCGAGGTTACACGCGGAAGTTGACTCTTCATTCTTCTTGCATTAGTTTAGCACTGAATTATGTAATTTTCCTCCTCCTCGATGGCTCTACTGTTTTGGATATCATGGTTCGTACCCTCTTTTGATCACCTCCACTCTCCGCTCTCTAATTGCCCTGCCTGCAGGTGCCCTGCCTGCAGGGTCTCGTCCCGTGTTTGCTTCAAAAAAGGCATTAATGCTGTTCCGCCTGTCCCAGTGAGCTGCTCGTCCTTCACTGAAGATGCGCTTGCCAAATCAACTTTCGCGCCGTTGTGCATCTTCTTCGAAGGAAGCACAATGTAGCGGGTAACAATCTGCAAATGCTTGTTCCGAAACTCAGTCATCGTTCGAATTGCTGCTTGGTATGCATTGCAGAAGTCTTGCTGCTCGACAGTGGAAACCGGTAGCTTTGCAAGCTCTCGGATGCTGCCCATGCGGGCAACGTGCTCGAGGAATCGTTTGTGCGGCCCTGGCATGTAACTCCGGACTTCCTCGTGAAATGCGGGCATTCGTGTTTGGCTGGTGTTGGCTCTGCTTGCATGTGGATTGCTATTGCCCTCTGATGTGTGCTCAACCCCCAAAACAATGTCGAGAAATTGGATGAGAGAGCTTTGCCCGTTGCTTCCTCCACGGAGCTGTTGCCACGTACCCCGACCATTGCCTTCGTCGTAGAAGACACCTTTCGGCAGGCCCGCTGCTGCCATGTTCTTGCTTCCAGCTAAAAACGGGCGAATTTCGTAGAAGAAAACCATTGGGTCGCAGTTTTCATACATCCGTTCTAACAAAGCACCGATCTGTCTGATATTGCCAGACAGTGCTTCTAGTGCTTGCGTAATTGTATCGTAGTTTCTCGTCTTGATGGATTCCAGAGCATTCAGCATGTCGGTCATAATCCGAGCACCTTGGGCCTCCATAGCCACTGAGACCAGATAAAACCAAGCTTCGTCCTTTGTGCCGGTGAAAGTGTGCAGAGACTCCAAAGAGTCCAGATCAGTGAAGTCGTTAGTCGTCGATAAGAAATTCCACAAGTTCAGGCCTGCGTAGGTCGCGACAGGCGGAACCTCTAGATGCTCGGAGATACGTAAGAGGGGGACAGCTACAGCCGGAGGCAAGATCTTGAATCACTGTTAGAACATTCTCGCCAGAGTCAGATACGAGACACTGCACTAACCTCTTCCGCCTGTTCTCCCCCCCAAATGTAGGCATGCGCCAGAAAGATCAAGATCACATAAGCTCGTCTCCACTCAGGCTGACTACGTAACTTGCTCGTCGACAGAAGAGGAAGACTGTTGACATCTCGTCGCAGCTTGCCGGTCTTGAGAAGCTCCGGGAGGTGTTGAACAATTGCTTCCCATGGCGAGTAGTAAGGATCCGGAAGAACTTTGACCGGTGCGTCGGCCGGGAGGAATCCGTTCTTTGTGATGGCGTACTTCTTCATCAACGCAAAAACATCTGTCTGTGCCTGTTCTGCGACTATGGGTAGCGCGTGAGGGGACATTTTGACCAAAATCGTATGTCTAGGACACAAAGAAGGAGGTGTGCTTTGATGAAGTTGATATACGTGAACCGTTGAAGAGGTTTGGAAGAGATCGATTGAGTTGATATGTGTATGGAATAGGAAACATTTCAGTACGAGTCAGGGCGAGTTAAGATGAAGAAATAACTCTCGAATTGGCTCTCCCAAGACCCTTGTCTCCGTGCTGCTTGCCAGTCTGTATCCGTACGTACTCTGTACTCCGTACGCATCTTGCAAAGACACGCCTGTCATCCGATGGTATAAGTGGACCAAGCCGAAACCCGTCGCTTATATGCGGAAGCGCTATAGCTTTGACGGAAACGGATGCCGGATGTTGGTGGGGCCGCTCGCGAAGTTTTCGGAATGACGATGTGCTATCTCGTGTCAGATGAGGAGGCGACGGGTACAAAGACGACCAAGGCGCCCTGGTTCTACGGCGAATCGTGCCATATCTGACAGTATCCGAACCATCCAGGAAAATTGACACAGTTTGTCGTACGATCTAAGATGGAGTTTAACGCTTTTGCTGAACAGATTCGTTCTGGGCGCCAGGCCAAGTTTCCTGCCAACGCAAACACCGTCTCGTTTGCGCAGCAGCTCGACGCTCAAGACAAACTTGCGTATTTGCGCAATGATTTTATCATTCCGACCAAAGCATCTCTTAAGAAGAAGTCTTTGACCGGAACGCTCCCTAGTAGGTCCTGCCAAGACATGATGTCACAATATTTGTTACAGGTCCAATACTGATCGCGCCAAAAGACAATCAACTTCTCAACGGCCATGCAAACGGGGTCAATGGCACCAACGGAGCGCATTCATCAGCCGAAGATGATTTGACCCCATCGGTCTATTTTTGTGGTAATTCACTGGGAGTTCCGCCCAAAGCGGTCAAAGATTACATCCTTGCTCAGTTGGAGACCTGGGCATCAATTGGGGTGAATGGCCACTTTCAGGGACTCGAGAACTCACCCCTTGTTTGCTGGCAAGACATGGCTGAGGATGTCGCGAAGAAAAGCGCCGCCATTGTCGGCGCCTTACCCGAAGAGGTTGTCATGATGAACACCTTGACCGCGAACTTGCACTTTTTGATGGCCAGCTTTTACCGACCGACGGAGAAGAAGCACAAGATTATCCTTGAATGGAGGCCATTTCCAAGTGATCACGTAAGTCAGATGTAAATACAAACTACTCGTATGCTGAACTGACGAAGACAGTATGTGATCGAATCGCAGATCCAGTGGCACGGATTGGATCCGTCCAAGTCGATGGTCCAGATTCAGCCCGATGAAAACTTCTACATCTCCACTGATCTCATTCTGAAGACCATTGACGAGCATGCTGAGGAGACAGCCCTCATCCTGCTTCCTGGTATACAATACTACAGTGGCCAACTCTTCGATATGCCTCGGATCACCGAATATGCGCAATCCAAGGACATTGTTGTCGGGTGGGACTTGGCTCATGCTGCTGGAAACGTCGAGTTACAGCTACACGATTGGAATGTTGACTTTGCGGCCTGGTGTACATACAAGTACCAGAATGCTGGACCCGGGTCAATGGGCGGCGCGTTTGTGCACGAAAGACACGGGAAAGTCGACACCAGCGAGGGCAAGCCCAAGTTCCGCCACAGACTTACCGGCTGGTACGGTGGTGACAAGTCGGTTCGCTTCAACATGGATAACAACTTCCTCCCTACCGTTGGCGCTGGTGGTTTCCAGGTCTCAAATCCTTCAGCCATTGATCTGGCCTCACTCTCGGGTGCACTTTCGGTTTTCAGCAAGACCTCCATGGCTGACTTACGAACGAAGTCCTTGGTGCTTACTGCGTATGCAGAGCATCTTCTTGATGGCATCTTGGCAGACGACACTGATAGCGAACCCTCATTCAGAGTTCTTACGCCAAGGAATGCTCACGAGAGAGGCGCTCAGCTGAGTGTTTTGCTCAAGGACGGCCTACTGGAACATGTCGTGGAAGCTTTTGTTGAGGAAGGAATCGTCTGCGATAAGCGCAAACCAGGGGTTATCCGTGTTGCGCCAGTGCCATTGTATTGCACCTTCCAAGATGTATGGAAGTTCATGGACACCCTGAGAAAAGCCATTGCTTAAAGTTCTCTATTAAACGCTCTGGGACGATGATGAGTCTCTATGTTAATCAATATAAAATGTTCATTGTATGCATTGAGTAAATTACGCATAAGAGGATGCTGGTCTGTGACATCTCCAGTTGTCCCCACGCACTCCTGAAGTTACTATTACGAGTTCGTAGACCCGGCTCGTTGTGACTAACCATCCGAACTGGGACTCGGGTATTTGATATCATAAATGTGGTACGTCGATGCTCTGCAGGAGCATTGTCACTAAGCTGAACAAGCCTTCGCCGAGTATGAAGCCCGTAGCCGTGGAAATAAGGCGTGATTCCTTCTCTCGACCCCAGTGACGAAGAATATGATAGTGAATCAAACCGCCAATCCCTTGTGCCAATATCATTTCAGGCATAATGTACATGCCTGTATTATCAGTTAGTCTCGAATGCCACGTAATTTCCGCAGCTCGACATACCTGCAGCTAATGCAACACTAGACGGTATGCAAGTGGACCAGCGACTGAGACGCTTGCAATCTTTCAAAATCTTAAATATGGCACCCAAAGCTGACGCAACTACGCCAAATTCAAGTAGCCCAGGCGGCATGCCTCGGCCATATACGAGCCGAGCTGTTGATATTAAGATGTGCGCCGATGGCATAGGAAAGTCTTTAGACGGAAAGCTGAGTATGTTGGTGTAAAGTCGGTAAACCAGCATCGATATAGCGGATCCCACCAGTGACCCGATCAGTTGGCCATAAAAAAGAGACATCGGTGGCGCATTGACAAGATGTCCCATTTTGAACTCGTCCATCATCTCTGCCGCTTGCCATACACTAGCTTCAACAACACCAGCAACGGCTAAGCTGAGTAAAATGGCGTTTGGGTTTGCTGAAGGTATCAGGAAGGCGAACAGAAATTGCGGGATTTTGGCTATGATATGCCCGAAGCGTTAAACCCAGTTCTACAGCAGGAACAGATACCACATACCAATATAGGCCGCCCCGCCAGTTCCCGTTTCTCCGTAACAGCGAATGTTAACATGACTTAGCGGTAAAATTGTGAATACCGCCAGTAGTAAGGCTAGTATGGGGACTGAAGAACCAAAAAGTACGACCATAGAAGCGAAGCATAAAAGCAGGCCGGTTAGTATCCAGACCAGATAGACTTTGGTCGTTAATTTGTCGTCCCGATAATCTAGAGACCCAACTTGAGGCGATATTTCAGGCCGTAATGGGCCTCTGATAAGAGGCTGTGTATCCTCTTCGTCATCAAGGTGGTGATTTCCTTTCCAATATGTCGAAAGTTCCACTAGATTTGATATAGCGTAGACATTGAAGGAACGTAGAAGCATTGTCGAAAGAGTGACGGCCGTATCGCCTAAAATCAGTGCAACTGCAATCCACATGATCCAACCTCTTGAACCTGTTTCCCAGTCGGAGACAGAGCCCGGGGCCCATCCGTTGAGTCTGGATAGAGGTGAAAGTATTCCCCATCCAATCAAGCATCCAACGACGATCCAAAGGGTAGTGATTGGAGGTACAATCAAGCCGATAGAGACATAGCCAGGGGATGTTGAAAGAGAAAAGAGCCATTCTTGAGCAAGATAATTGCCGAAGATATTCATGGTTCGTATTTGTGGAACAAAATATGCAGTGAGAGACTGCGTTAGAGGTCAGCAAGGCGGAAGGGCGGTCCAAGAAAATCAACGCTCACGTAAAGTGCCGCGAACAAGAAAGTGATGAGAATGAGTTTGTTATTCTGACTCCAACCATGTTGTAGGAGGCTATCGTCAGTGTCAACTGAGTCTTCTACAATTGATTGCTTTTGCTTGTCGTTGACACTTTCCAAATCATTCTGAGCGCGGAGAATTCGATGTGCAATGTCAGCATCCCGGTGCAGCGATCCAATCATGGCTGCCGACGATGTTCCAAATGGGAATGGCAAAGGCTCTTGGACAAGAAACCGTTTCCGCAATGGTAGAGTCACAGCAACACCCAGGATGCTGACACCAATGGACCAAACACAGAGTTGAGCCCAATCAAGGTGGAAAGGGCCATTTTCTGATTCGTTTGTGAGAAACTCCATGGCTGGTAAAATTCCGACAGATCCGATTGTGAAAGGCATCAAGCCCAATGAGCTCGCAATAACAACCATTGTCGCATGTTCTTGGGGAGTAAATGGAAATGCCAAATGGTCTTGGATCGTTTTGAAGAAGGCAAAGCCCAATATGGTTGAAGGCAGGCTCATGATGGCCAGGAAACCAGTGCGAAGACCGAAATACGTGTTGGAGAGGCATATTAAAATGCCAACTATGATGCCGACGACCGTGGACCTGAGAGTAAGAGAAGAAGCGGAATGTACCACTTCCTGTTGCCTTGGCCTCGGGGTAGAAGCTCTGCGGTGTCGTGGGCTGACCGCTTCGATGTCTCGAGGTCCAGACATTGTCAATTTCCCAAACTGTCAACAACGGAAACCCAGGCGAGCTTTCGAATTGACGAAAAGTGTAAGAAGCTCGAGTGGTTATCGACCGTGAATATGAGAGAAGTATGTAGAAGCCTCTCATTTCAAGCTCTATGAAAACATGATCACATGCACAAAATCCATTCCCAATTCCCACTGATGCATCGGCAGTGAACTGGGGGTTGTATGTGGTGACACTGAGCCTACGTCATCGATACCCTCACATCATCCGGCATGGCCACCCCACGTTACCTACTCGTGTTTTGCGACATTCAACTTTGAACGGCCAAGCGGAACAATTTTAAAAAGTTGTGTTTCTGGAGGAAAGTAGAGCGGAAGTACCCAACAGAGAGTGCATGGTTTGCTGGCACGTAAGTTGTAACGCTGAAATGGTGTGCAGAACTCACTACATCACACTGGGTGACTAGCCTTGCCGTCAGCAACAGCATCGGATGGCTAATTGAGGTGGGAAGCTCAAGAAAAATTGCAGGCATATTGTATTTCGTTTACATTTACGAGCTCACTCATCTACAGTATAGTAGGTAGGTGAGACCAAAAGTATAGACATATCGTATCTCGTCCGTCTGCCCCTCAGTACGGATCCCTTGATCACTGCTTTCGAGCCCACAAAGCCGACACTTGCCCCTCGAAGCCCCTCCAGAAACTTACATCCTTCGTGGGAAACTTGACGATGCCAGCTAAAATGTGTAACTTGAGTAGCAGGATCAACCTCTGGCTCGATATTAGTAGCCTCCGACTCGATTGTACCACCCGTTTCCTTCATACTTCAATTTTTTCTTCCTGATCATTGTCTGCGGCATTGTATCCCATCGAGTGCTGCAAGGCGACAGTACATTGAGATGCGGGGGAGCAGCCAATCGGGCCACTTCGGGCCCCTTTTTCCAACCAACCAACGTAATTGATAATAGATACTTCCAATTATTAGAGATTCTGCGTATGAAATCGGTACCAGCAATCTTCTGAGTTACAGAGAGCTACATCGCACTCGAGGCAGTTTGGTGGATGTACCGTAGTAGAAATCATAGGGGCAACTCAAGCAGTGGATGTACCAGATGCGGTGCGGGGTAAAAGAGGGCCCCTTATGTGGAGCCAATGTACTGTCGCCTTGCAGCACTCGATGGGATAACCAGCTTGCCCATTATCAACATGATGTTCTCAAATCAGCTTCAGAGGAAGAGGTGACATCTGAAGAGGATCTTGCTTGCAGTTACCAGATTGTCACCCTCAACCCCGGCATCATGTTATTCCCAACATGGTCATTGGTGTATTGAAACTTTTGTTTAAACGGGTTGTGTGTTGTACTTTTTAACACATCTTCCCACTTTCTGACTACCTAGCAGCGACGTTGAACAAAGGCGTCGATCCCCATTTGGCATTTGCTACCTTAAAGTACTTAATACTTTTTAAAATCCCGTAGCTGCCTGCACGTCAAACAGGTGACATGTCAAAGGCCCATGGCTTAATCCGCATAGTTAAGCCCCCCAGAAGCCTGAATGTGAAACTTTCGTCGACAGCAATACATATTAATCCCCGAACTGCGTGCACACCTTGCGGGTTCCCCCGACCTAGCGGGGGTTGGGCCGCGTCTAACACTGCATGGCGTGCCGCTCGGAGCAGAGCAGAGCCAATCGGCGAGCTCCAGCTGCATTCAAGAACACAATCCGCTTTGAGAGCCTCCAGACAGAATGCCATAGACTGTTGTGGCTTGCTGTCTTTGCCCGCCGTTGGAGGGTCAGCAGAGCATTTCCCACCTATCATCGACCCCGCCAAAGTTCCGCAGTATCTCGATGGACCTGTCAGGGCATAGCGCAAAGCGCGTCTTGGTCAGACGACACGAACATGTGACGTCACCTAGATGGCTACGTTGCGAATAAAAATGCAACTGCTCTCCCTCGTGAATAGACCGCTGTGACATCTTTCAGCCCCGCCACTTGTTCACCACAACACTCATCCATTCAAATCACGTCCCAACCCACCAAACCTCAGTCCAATCTGACCACATACAACCCTCCCGATAACAAACGAAACCACGATGCAAAACGCCGTGTTCGCCAAGTTCCTTCTGCAGCTGTGCTTCGCGCTTCTGGCCATCGCCGCTCCCGCATCCGATCCTACTGTCGGCGCCGCAGCTCACGGCAACACCTGGCAGTATGGCACTGGTGGTGGCATCCTTGGTTTCATAGTCCTCGTATTGGATATCATCGTGTTCCGTGAGTCCACCTCCAAAGCAATTTCTCAAGTTCTCCCAGACATCTAGGTCCTCGTTTGCCCGTATTCAATTACGTTGTATATGCTAACAATGCTTTCTGCTTAGTTGAGGTTCTCAAATCTGATCGACCCGTCAGCCACAAGGTTCTCTGGTGCCTAGTCGTCTTTCTTTTCCCGATCGTCGGCATGGTCATCTACTGGCTTTTCTCGAACCGCGCCGCTCACAACTCTCGCTCTGGATACGAGGCCGTCGCATAGAGGACGTTTTGATTAATACTTTTCCCAGGGGTTACTGTTCATGAGACCGGGACAAGACAACTGCAAAATCGCCACCGTGAGGATTGCTTGCGTTGGTCACGTCAGTGCATGTTAACATGCCCGTGTCGATCACTTCCGGCCGACTGGGGTAGCGGATATTCTGCTGGCCGATGATGTCATCCCTTGAGCATAGTTGAAAGGACCATGAATGGCTCCAGATAGCCGTCAATATGTTTTGTATGCAAGTAGCGAGTGCTTGCTGACTCGCGGCGTATACAAAGCGCTATCTGTCAGAATCTGTGAATCTGTGAAATGGCAGAATTAAGTCTGATGTTCCAACAAGAAAAGAAGGTACGAAACTAGATGAGGAACACTCCTGTTCCCAAGTAATTCTCCTCTTCTCCATCAGGTAACTAGGAACGTTCATGTTCAGTCAGAAAGCTGAAAACTCGGTCACCCATGAATATTCATTGGGGTGGTGGGGTGAGTGGGGACTGCATCTGCCGCGAGGGTCCACCATAAATGTCGGGTATACCCAAAGTGTTCAGCAGGAGGGATCATAGTTAAACTACCTCACCAAGTTCCCCAGACCGCTTACTAGAGCTTCTCTACACCTCGACATTCGCGTCTCATTTTTGTTTCGAACATGGTCGAGCTCAGAACTCGTCGCCGAAAACACTGCTTAAACATGGGACGAGCGCCAAATTTACCAATGTCCTGATCGGCCTGAAACGGAAGTGGCTATGTTATCTGTTGTTTCGGACTCATGAAACGCGCGATAATGTGAGAACCCCGAGGCTGTTTTGCCCGTCTAGGGTAGGCTCAAAATCTCGCCAGAACCGCGTTTTTTCCAACCTCGCAAATCACCAGCGATCACTCGAACGACGACGTGGTAACCATCGAGAACTACATACGTGCCCTACCGTCTACGAGCTCTCGGGATTAGGCACGATGGAGTCAAAACAGGAGGACCATGAGCCTTTTCTCGGCTTTCGAGACGACCCCAACAAGCGAATCTCCAACGAACACGAAGAGATGGACAATGACAGCTCCCGCCGACAACAACAAGCTCTAAGAACATCACGCCCTGGCCGACTTCTTCGAGACGTGCTCGTTTGCCTCGCAACATCCCTCTTATGGGTCGCAGCGTTCTACCTTCTGGTACCCAATTCTCTGAACAGACACACGGGCGGCAACGTTACCGACGGAGAAGGCGGGGGAAACCGAACTCCAACGTCCAGTGATTACATCGCTGCTTTTCACAATGTCACTACCAATGCCGAATTCATCTCTTGCGGAAATTCCACAGTTGAGGCGAAGAAGATGGGTTGCAAGTACGATACCTTGTTAAACTATTGGGTTCCGTCACAATGCTACGACCGGGAGTTCGAAACGGAATACAAGGATGACGATAGCTGGAATGCTTTCGCGGAGTATGTTAATGAATGATCAACTCATTGGGAATTGTATTCAGACTAACGATCATGCTACAGCCAAAACTTAACACAGCCCATAGCTGCGGAAGCAATGGGTGACCAAGAAGTCTACTATACTTCGATTCGGGACCATCTCAATCACTGTTCAATGCTATGGAAAAAACAATTCTGGACTCTTTTCGAGGAACGAACCGTATTTGATGCGATAATTGTCAACTCGTTCCATACGGAGCATTGTGCCGACTTTCTCAAAGATATCTACGGATCAAATCGAACCGAAGCGACGCTCGTCAGGGTTGGATTCTCAGGGTGCTGGGTCCGAAGTAATAGCAATGAGGTATAACAGAACAAAGGCAAGAAGGAGACTCATAGGTCGTATACCTACATACAAATGTAAATACAAAGGTTGCCTTACTGATCTTAGCTTTGGCGAGTTATCATAATCAGCAAAACAACAAAAAAGCAACGTGGTATGAAAATTACACTGGTTCGACTCTGACGCAGAGAACGCTTTGTTGGAGGACCGTCGGTCCATCAAGCCCCAGGATCTTTAGTTACAAGATTATGAGCTATTGCAATATTGTGCAATTCTTGCCGTGGTGAGTGTCATCACCGTAATCGTAATATGTGTTACCGAGGTGCTCGCTCTTTTACGAAGTCGCACTCAGAAAGAACTGTACTTTCTACGCTGTACCGTTTGTGAGAAATCTCAATCAAATCATGTTCTTGTATGAAGTAACTTCCCATGATTGTGAAGATTTGAGTTTTTGGTATGATCGGGTTGATGTTCTGATGGTTTAAGTGCCCATAGCATTTGACAATTACCTCTCCTCCACATTCCCTTTCTGAGAAAGCAACTGTAAAACTCCCTCTGTTGTTTTAAAATACGCTCAAGCTTTGCCAGTCAATATGTAGATCGCTATCGTCAAACTGGAGTTCACTCCAGTTCAACAAGCCCCCGTCAGCCCCAGGCCAAACGTCAAAGGGTCCTTGTTCAATCACTGCTCGATTCGGAGCCCAGGACGGCTCAACCTCTGCACATCCCTCCTGGTTGTTACCGCTTACGCTGCCTAGACTTTCAATGTTGAAAAGCCTTGAAACATATCGACTGCTCCCAACGTTGTGGGACTTCGAGCGACGCTCTGCAATGGCGGTTGCCAACGACGTCAATATCTCTAAATAATGCGCGGCTTGTGGGCTTTGGCCAGCAAGAAAATTCAAAACATTCATGGCTCCTTGGAATGCTTTATCAGTCTCGAGGTCGGTGCTGACCTTTGCGAAGCACTCCACGCCGAGGATCAGTCCCGCAGAAAATACTAAAGCTCTGGGAGGGAGTATTAGCACTATTTCAGGACGACTCTTGCCGGAAGAAAGCGAATGCTGAGACCAAGAAACTTGAATCATACTTCAGGATGCACATGCTTCTCTCGAGTAATCCAGCCTTCAGAGCATCAGCACAAGTCTGTGCCAGATACACGGCGGCTTCGATACAAGCCGCAGCCAGCGGTGGATGGTGGATCTTGTTTCCTGCTTGACTGTTGAGGGAAGAAATAAATATCGGCCGTGTTGCCAGTGTGACAGAGAAGTAATATAGACAAGATACGTGGATCTTGGCAACGGCCACTCGGTTGGCCTCGACGGATCCCCGCAAAACTTCAGGCTGTTCCGCACATTCTAAAGGCATGAGGAGATCCCTTTTCCAGCCATCAATGTTGACCAGAAGCTGTTCCACGACGGGAACCGTAATATCTTTGCCATGATATAGGGTGTTATTGATATCGTTGATGATTTCGACAATTTCACATGTTGCAACAAGATACTTTGATCCGTAGTTGCAATCGGGTGCCAGATCTCCAACTAGCCGCCTAGCCTCCGTTCCTGCCGTGGCGGCTGGCCGGCCTAAGAGAGAGCTAACAAGCTTGTCTAGGATTCTAACACTTACCCAGACTCTCGATCTATACAGTGATGTGAATGTAAGCGAGATTCAACATGCACAAGAACTCATTGATGTGGTGTGAGATTTGCTGCTCTCGGAACGACTTACTTCAACAGCCCACACTGATGGGACTTGGGCTCACATGTATACATTGTCTGACTGTGAAGGCCAAGTGCGATAGCAGCCCTTACAGCGATAGATGTGTACATGTACGCAGTGTTTCTGCGGCAATTTCCCAGCATATAGAAGGCCATGAGCAGGAAGAGTCTGACCATGTCCAAGTCTGGGTCTTCTAGCAGTCCGGAAAAAGCTTGTCGTTGTGCTTTGCGAAAAAATGTAAAGCTGTGATCTTGAGCTTCTAGCGCGCTGCTGCACTGTGCGCCTATAGCCATTACCATGTCTCTGATGGCATCTGAGAGGTGCGGTGAATGTTCAGATGGCCAAGCTACCTTGCCAGTGGAGTGATCGGCTTCAACAGGTGATGCAACTCCGGCAGAGATGCTGTCAGTTGGGCACAATAGTTCCTTTTGGTCATCAGAGTCCAGGATATTAATGAGACCTTCTGTCTGTGGAATTATACTTAGTCATGATCAAGTTTGAGTAAGGTGAGCCTCTTACAATTGTATAGTAACAGTTCAAGTAATCAATTCGTCGCTGATCGCCCAAGTCCACTGCTTCCTCTGATGAGATCGACCGTCTTGCCTCCGGAGACTCGGCCTCAAGCATCGTCTCCATTCCATCATTGTGAGAAAAAGGTGAGGGGCCAATCTGCCTAACTACAACCTGGCGAACGGTTTGAAGAAACGAGATTGCTGCAGCGCCTCCAACAAATACTATGTGTGCGTTGAAGGTCAGCAATCTCGATAGTGCACTAGTAGGTCAAGCAAGCCACCCGGCAACTGCCTACCTTGTTCACCATGTACACTCCGTAGTAATCTACTTGGATTGGCCAGTAAAGAGGATTCCGCCCGAGAATCCTCTACGGTGTGAATTTCGCGGGGTGACATGGGACTTTGACGCGCATCATTACTAGTTTCTTCGGATTCTTGCTGTGAGAGTGAAGGAGACATTGGGAATGGGTTTGGAGATTGTTCAATCTCAATGTCATCGTGACGTCGCGACCGAGTCTTCGATAATCCGAGAGGGTTTGTTGACACTGTAATGGAACCATGCTCCAAGGATGCGCGTGATCTTCGCCCACCAGCATTACTCGCCCTCGTAGTTGAGGGTTTCTTCGTTCTTGAACCCCGGGGTAGGTACGTCATGCGACAGTCTGGTTCGAGACCACGACGAACACATTGGTTGCAGGGTGCAGTGCCGCTGCACTTCTTCTTGGCTTCGCGGCAGAACCTACAGGCCTCAGCAGCACGCTGACGTTGGCTCTCAGGAACTTTGGGGCGAGGCATGATTGTACGAAGCGCACGAAGGTGAAAGGTTATCGTCGAGAGATGAAGATGCGTAAGCCTTCTCTCAAGTGTTCAGAGATCAGTCAGTCCAAGTCAACATTGCCGCCCGTTGTGTGGAGCACCTGATAAGAGAGAGTTTCTGACTGCAGTAGGCACATCGGTTGCCGGCTCCCGGACCCTGCACCCCGAACCCCGCTCACAATGCCCCTTTCGGAAGCTCCTAAATGGCTTCCGATGTATTAAGTGCGACACGAAAGAGTTAGTAATTACTGGTCAGCTGCCCCAGAAACCGCACTTGACACGCCATGACTTCGAGCTCGTCATGTGAATCCTCACCAACGGGAAGAATTATATATTACATATTAGTAGTAGCTTTTTCGGAAACTGATTCCATTCATATGCCATTGTCAATATCGAGTAAACTTGATGTTCTAGTGAGCGAGAAGTGATATATCCTGCAACATCCGTATGGGAGAGGCCAACAAACACCACATCAGTAATGAAGTCACGAGTCTGAGATTGCTTTCCAGCTACTTGCTATTTTTCACAGAGTCATAGAACATTGCGAATTTAATATTCTTAGAATATTGTTTGCGCTCAATTGGCCGCTTGACAAGCATCACGATATTTCTAACTCGCAAAAGCCTCCATATTTATCTCGACCTACAAACACACATGCCAAACTGATTCTACGCCTCGCTGTCCTTGAACCCCGGCAGCTTGAAGAGCTGCTTGGCATTGTCCCGCCCAATCTTCTTCTTGTCGTTATCATTGATGGGAAGGGCATCATACCAATCGCACCCATCCGAGAAAGACTCGAAAGGGTAATCAATCGAGAACAAAATGCGGTCCGCACCTACCTCAGCCATGCAGAACTGAAGAGTTGTGGTGGAGAAATGTCCACTGGTCGTGATCCACAAGTTGCTTGCAAAGTACTCGCGGATCGTTCGCTTGCAAGACAGCCCCAGTGGCTTCTTGACATCCTCGAACCAGTGATTGATGCGCCACATGTCGAATGGGATTTTCTCTCCTAGGTGACCCAAGATAATCTGGAGCTTGGGATGGCGATCGAAAACACCGTTCGTGACCATTCCAAGGACGTGCAGACTGACTCCTTGCGAAAAGCTCAGCGGAGGTCCAATGAGCCACGAGCGCTTTGCCCACAGCTTTTCGTGAATAGTTCCGGTGGGATTTCTCGGGTGCAGGTAGAAAGGCACATCGAGTTCGGTCACTGTAGACCAGAAAACGTCCCACTCTGGGCCGTCATAGAAGATCATGTCGTCACCATCAACGCCTGCCCGCTGAGTATCGTTGACAAGGGCGCCCAAAAAGCCGTACTCAGTCACACATCGTCTAAGCTCTTCTGCAGCTGCCTTGGGGTCATGCATGGAAAGGGTTCTAGCGTAGGTTAGCCACAGACTGATTACTTGCTATTCAAGGGAGAGTGACTCACGCAAACGCGCCGAAACGTTCAGGGTGCTTCTTAACTTCGGGAGCAATGTAATCATTGATCTCTTTGGCCAATAGCTGTGCTTCCTTGGGGTCCCAGATGTCCTGAATCCCAGGTGCTGTGTACGATAGGATGGTGAACCCAACTCCGTGTTTATCCATGTAGTTCAGCCGAATGTCCGCAACATCGGAGATTTCAGCCGCGTGCTTTTCAGGGTCGATAGCAAAAAGTCCTGCCCACCAGCGTGTCTTCTCTTGAAACCGCGGGAGAGCAAAAGCTTCCTCGAGCGCAATTTTCCCGAGCATGATGGAGGATTTGCGGGGTTACAAATAAGGTGAAGGGGATTTGGCTGCTTGTGTGGCAGATTAAGAAGCTTGGGGGAGCGAAAGAGTGAAAAATGTTCCGCAACTAAGGGATTCTTGGGGCTCGATGAGAGTTTATATCTCAAGTCGATATACTTCGTAGACACAGAGAGAGTGTGGGACTGTGGATACCTGAGGCAGCAGCTGCCCGATCCACTTCCTGGTTGATCCAGCCCACCGCAGCCACCTTTCACCTTCACCACAACATCACCAACCAACCCACAATACCAGTCGTATTGCCTCATTGCTTGCCTCGTTAATCCAGATGAGCAGTGTGTACTGCCCACAGAGAGTCGTGTCTATCACCAATCAATGGCCATCTTGATCCGTGAGATTCAGACTCGAGCAAAGCGCACTGTCGCGTACCGGGCCGCTGAATTTCATCCCACCACATGCATCGGAACAGAGTGCACCACTGCACTCAGTCTGTAACATTAATACGGAAAGGCTAATGTCCTTTCACTATTGCTACCTTACGTGTGTAGCGGATATGTACGTTTGGGGGATTCTGCCCACTACAGCCAAGGTGTAATCTACACAGTGCGGGCTTAAAGCGGATACGACTCCCGCACCTTCGCATACCTAAGCCCTCTCAGGTAGTGTACCTTAGCCGATGGTGGCCATGGGCGATGCTGACCCCTCCTAGCCGAAACGAAACGCTTCCCTAATATTAGTCCGTAGCCGACAGATTTAACATGTGCAGCATCTCCGTATCTAGCCGCTCGGAAGTACTATTATGACTGAGCTAGCCCCAGCCTTCCGGTTTCCCGACGACGACGGGTAGTGCACTTCCGCATGCTCTCTGTCACCTTCTACCACACCAATCGTTTTTGATTTGTTCACGTGGTTACCCATGATCCCATATATTCTACCGACTACTTGGTGAGATAGCAATGGTGTAATCACTAACATCAGGCCTGCGCTCTTCACACTTTACCATCAGCTGAAGAAGCGAATGCCCTTAGGTGATTGCCTTTATGAAATCAGCAGGGCATTCATTTCTTGCTCGGTGGATTTTAATATTCCGAAAGTATCACCATTTCAAAAGATCTAACCCAGCCAGAGGTACATATATGTAACGTAAGTTGTCACTTAGCTTATTAGACATTGGAGAGGCGGTCATACTTTTGGTTACACCCCTTTTTCCATTCCGCCCTAGAAGCTCGTATGTCGCACATAACAGAAGTTCCCAACTCTTGCTTCTAGGATCTCGCTACTTTATATAAGCCGGCGAAAAGACCCCTTAATGCAATGGAAGAAACTTTTTGCTTTTCTCGTCTCACTCAAAAACATCGATTTCTGTGAATAATGAAGTCATCAGTAATCAACTAAGTCTAGTCATACCTCGGTGTTGAAAACAATGAATTTGCAGTTTGAGAGCACTTAGGTGTATTGACAATACCCGTTGAGGTATAGGAAGACAGTTTTACCGTAGCTGATGTGCCGTTTCTGCAGAAAAATCTGCGTTCTACACGCTCACGTTGGCACCGAAGCATTTGAACATCTAAGGCAAGGGCTTTTCTCATTGAGCTTGTCCCTCGAAGAAAGAGACTCACAAGTTTACGAGGTCGTGATAGCTCTCAAACTCATTTAGTATGATTCCAAGAGGAACCCTTTGGGGTTGGGAGTGAGTACATGTCGCTCGGCGCGATGTAGGTGGCAAGAGAGCTTACACCATTCCGTTGCAGTTTGTGACCATGAGAGGTATTACTCGTTTGGGATGCTTCAATGCCTCGCATGATTATGATTGACGAAGAATGAACTCACAAAATAGCACCGGGCGTCGATTCAAGGGCACATGCTCTGTGATTGAATTGTGACAAGCGAAACATCCTAGCGACACCGGTATGGGGAATGCGCTTTTCTCATTGACTGCCATGTCGATGTGTTCACTATAGTGGCCGAGAAGCTAATGCAGACGATGGGGGACTTAGTTTTCCCGCTGTCGATCAAAAGTAGCTCCATCTACCGGGACTAAGTCTTTGGTTAACACAAGTAGATACGAGTGATGAGACCCAAGCATCGGAAAACAATGACGCTGATTGGTGCTTACACAGCAAGCTCTGGAAAATAGGCTTGGTTCTCCAACTGCAAGCTATTTTCCCCCGTTCAAATTTCTTGGAATTGGGGGAAGCCTCTGATTCTAACGTGCCCAGTTTCCTCTTTGAGAAGACACGGTTCTATATCCTCCACAACAGTAGCCTTGGTAATAATGTCGTATCACAGTTATACGACCATTATGAGCTCGGATATATAATATCCTATGCTTTTCTCGAAAGGTTGGCCTCTTTGTTCAGCACAAATCTCACAAGTCTTCTGACCAACATCTATCGCAACCCAAACCTCTTTATTCATCACATCGTTGGAAAACTCTTTTCTATCCAATGATGGGGTTTTTTACCAGCCAGGCATTTACTGTTGCCATCTCGGCCACTGTGAGCTTGGCGGCCCATATATCGAAGAATTCCGGCCCTCAGCCATGGAGTAATTTCAACAACAATGGCGTGTTCTATCCCGAGCAGACTGCAACCAGCTGGAGAACTCTTTACGGCCGAACTCTTCAACTGCCTGATCATTCCATCCTTCTCTCTTGGAGGACTATGACCCTGCGGCAGCTTTGACTTACTCTCCTATCTACAAGTCTGAAGATGGCGGGGCCTCGTTCAGTTCCTTCTCCAGGGTCGAAGATCAGGTCAATGGCTGGGGAATTTAGTACCAGCCATTCCTCTACGAGCTTCCGCGGCCATTTGGGGGGTTTCCACAAGGCACTATTCTCCTGGCCGGTGTCTCTACACCACGCAACCTCTCACAGGTTTACATTGATTTGTATGCCGGCATCGACCAGGGAAAAGCATGGACATTCGTCAGCCATATAGTTTACGGCCCTGGCCCGGAAACAGTCGCTCGGGGGGACAAGGCAGTCTGGGAGCCTTTCTTGCTGATGCATGAAGGGGAGCTTGTGTGTTATTATTTCACTCAAGTCGATCCCGGTCACAACCAAAAGCTCTCTCACAAGACAACCACGGACCTGCGCCAATGGAGCAATGAAGTCGATGACGTTGCCCAGGCGGATGCTGGATTGCGGCCCGGTATGGCTACGGTGGCACATAGCCCCATCTCACAGAAGTTTGTGATGACTTTTGAATTCTGTGGCGGCCCTATCGCTAGCGGGTGCCCGGTCTACTACAAAGTCTCCGACTCTCCCCTGACCTTTAGCGATGCCGACCTACAGCCCATTATTCCTGGCGACGGCAGGCTCAACCCCAATGGGAACCCTTTCGTCATCTGGATTGCAGAGCCTGGAACGAATGGCACGAGTGGTGTTTTCATCGCTAATGGAAACAGTCGGGAAGAGGTTTTTGTGAATAGCGATGCTGTCGATCCAAGCGGTTGGAAGGTAGTCGACATCGGGCAGTGGTCAGCTTACTCCCGAGAACTCCGGATTATTACGAGGCCTAAGTCTGACGCCTCAAATGGAAGCCCTAAACTTCTCCTCACTAATGGGGGGAATATTGGCTGCTCTGGGGATTGCTACAACTACGTTGCCAATGGTGTGGTGGATATACCCACATACTATACGTAGAAAGTAGCGAGCTGAAGCAAGGAGTCTTGTTCGCAATTTATCAATTGATAGATAAGATCATAATCTTTCTCTTACAAGCTCTACCACGAGTTCTAGTTGTAGCTCTGAGAAACTGGAGTCAGTATTTAAAGGCATCGCCACAATTTAAACTTATCCAACAATTGCTCATTACTTTACCATAATATCTCATGAATCACTCACCAATGCAATGCGATATAACAAGAAGCATTTCTCCGAGCTCGTCCAAGACGAAAGTCATTGCTCAGAAAAGCTTGAGACTTGCTCAAATCAACTGAAACTCGCCAAGTCGACGCTATCTAATTGACTGGGCAAGGGTTTTAGTAGAAGGCTATATATGACTGTTTGCTAAGTGAATTTGCTCTCTACTATGACCGGTATCAGTATACTAGACCGCCACTATGTGGCTCAGGTGCGGCCGGATCACCCGCCGCCGTAAGGACGGGCGATCGCAGTAAGGGGTAAGTGAGGTAAGTAAATAGTAAGTATGAAGGCTAAGTAACGAATAGATAATAGCCCTAGGAAATATATTAATAATAAAGGATTTAGAACGCTTTAAATATATAATCAAGTTATTAGTTATAACTAATAAATATTATTTTCGCTTTTATATTAGTTAAGATATCTCATCATTGATTTTAGTCCTAAGATAGTCCCCTTATATACCAGGTTCTAATAATCAAACTTAACTATATTAACTTTTAATCGAAATACCTTAGTTCCCAATCTATTATCTTGTTATAACTATTTAAATACTTAAACAGATACAGCCATGGGGTTCCAGGCGAGGAACTGCGCTACGGAGATGCCCTGCGAGGCCGCGATGCTAGCGCAGGATGTTACGAGCAGGACAAGGCAACCAACTGTGGCACAAAGCAAAAGCTTCGATAATGATGACTCCGGCATCATTGTCCCTTGTTCTGCATTATATAGCTACGCGCCCACAGTGACAAGTTGCGGCGGGCGTAACACAGGACTCGTCCGTCTTGACAAAGTAGAACTTATCGCAGTTGGAGATCATGCCTGGCTGGGTCGGCTGGGGAGTCTCGATGCCGTTGCCGGGCGTCTTTGTCGTCGTCGGGGAGGTCGTGGTTGTAGGCGTGGCGGTGGTCGGGGACACAAAGTCGAGGGTGCGCACACAGACGTAGGCGGCCGCCCACATGCCGCCGCAGTTTGCGCCGACGGAGGGGTTCCACGACAGGAATTGAGCCTCCGAGATGCCGTTTGCGGCCGCGATGCTGAAGCACGAGTCCTCGGCCTAAAGTCTTCCTAGTCGCGTTAGCCTCGTCCGCCGGTGCGTCTAACTTATCATCGTTCTTACTATTTGTGAAGATAGACCAGGCTCGATTCCTGTCGCTTCTGTCGATCTGTTTTATATATAAGAATATATAGAATGGCTAGGCGAATGTGAGTAGCGGAGTGAAGCGATTTCACTTAAAGAACTTAGTTATGTGCTACTTACGGATGTTCCTGGTTAACTTTCAACTTGAAATTTGATTTCCATCAGAGCGTCAACGCCTTCCCAATTTCAACGGCATAGTTATTTAAATCGCTCTTATGTTAGTTAGAATTGCTCTTGGCCTTCCACTTCTCTTTCTCTATCTCAACTATCTGAAGTAATCGCCCCCCGATATTGTAGCAAATTACTATTCAACTGCCATCTAGATTGTTGTTTAACTTTTCGAAAGTCACTGTGATTACTAGGTATGAATTCGAACTTCTAGAGATGTTCACGTGTGACTTGTTCGCTCTTTCATATTACTAAGTGAACAGCGGAATGGCTCTACGTGCTCTGATAGAGACATATTCTAACATACCGAGACGTGAATGTCAATAGGACTTCCTTCAAGAGACTAGGTTTAAAAAAACCCACTTCTGTTCATTGTTTGTCGTGGTGTCTCCAGAAACAGGCCCTGAGGCTGGGGTAAGGGTCATCGGCAACGCTAGTGGAAGTACGTACGGAGAAAACGTCTTTTCTGGGATTCCATGCCCGTTTGCTCCCCACAACCTCGTCCTAGCTGTCGAATCACATTAATGCATTCATCACGTGTCTGGCGATGCCAATGACACCCTGCCCGAATGGGCGCAATGGCCCACGCAAGACGATTGAATGTAAACAACATGATAAGAGCACGTGGCCGGCAATGACCGGGCCGATGGCTAAATGAGATTGCATATAATGAGGAATTGACAGCCTACGTCGAATCAAAATATCTCCTGTCGCGCATCACAGAAAAAGAAATCATAATGGCACCCATCAAGCTCGGTCTGGTATGCCTCGCGGCAATGCTGGTTGAGGGGAATTCAAGACTTCTTGCGCCAGTTCAAGACATCAATTTGCCGGCCAGTGAAACTGCTGAGCACCCTCTTGAACACCTAGGCGCAAACGGGCCCTGGTTTGCAGGTACAACGACTCAGCCTTCGTTTTGGCTGTGCAGCTCCGCTTACATTCAGTGACTCGTCAGGGCCCAATGTCAACGGGATCTCACCCGAAATTCCGGAAAACTGTTATGTCGACCAAGCAGCATATGTGTCCCGGCATGGATCGAGATACCCAGACACTGGCGCTTACAATGGCTGGGTTTCGATGCAGGAACGGGTCAGTTCCTTTGACTAGCATCTGAGGCACGTTCGCTCATAGCTAAATACTTTGCGTGCAGTTCCAAGCCGGAAACTACACTGCTTCTGGCAGCTTAAGCTTTCTACCGCGATGGCAAACAGCTCTAACCAACCCATCATCTCAAATTGCAAATTTGAGTCCAACGGGTTACAAAGAGGCCCACGATCTTGGATATACCTTGCGAACGAGGTAAGTTCTGCTCGATGACATCCAAGTACCACGAGAGGGCTATGCTAATTGTGTCAGGTATCCGGACCTATACACTGAAGGAGAAGACTTCATGGTCTGGGCCAACAACTATTCTCGGGTCCTACAGACTGCCAAGTTGTTTGTCCGTGGTTTCTTAGGAACCAATGCCACCTTGCTCGGTGACATTGTTTCCGTGACATCTCGAGGTTTTACCGCTGGCATTGGCGACTCATTGGCGCCCTCTGACATGTGCCCAACTTTCAAAGATACCGAGGGAGGTGAGTACGTGACCGCATGGAACAACGTCTACATCCCTCCAATTCTGGCCCGCCTGCAAGCACTCATCGATGGAAACCTCACACTCACGCAAAGTGACGTGTCGCAAATACCCTACCTTTGCGGGTTCGAAAGTCAGATCACTGGCCGTCTCTCACCTTGGTGTGATATCTTTTCCGATAAAGAATTCCTCCAGTATGAGTACTTCCAGGACCTGCGCTACTACTACGGAGTTGGCCTCGGTACCGATGTGCCCAAGACCATGATGACGCCTTATCTGAACGCCTTGATGGACATTTTTGTTCAGGGGCCTTCGGTAACCGGTAAGCGTGAAGACGGGAGCACCTTCAGTTTGCCAAAGCTTCTCGTCTCATTCCTCAACGATGGACAGCTTAATCAATTGGTAGCCGCTTCTGGGGTGTTTGACGAGCAACAACCTCTATCAACTACGTATAAGGATGATAGCCGTCCATTCGTCAGTTCTCGCTTCACAACAATGCGAGGGACTATTGCATTTGAGAGATTGAACTGTGTCGGTGCTGGGAACAGTACAAATGGCAACGCTACCCGTTTTGCCCAACGGACCCCACCGATCAGAAGATCAAACTGCACACAGCCCTCACCTCCGATTCAAGACAACCAGAATGCGACTTATATCCGCATTCGTCTCAATGATGCTGTCTACCCGATACCCACTTGCAACAGCGGCCCTGGTTCTTCATGTCAGCTGGAGGATTACAAGCAATATATCGCCACGAAGCTTGAGAATCAGGGTAGCTGGATCCAGAACTGCAATGTTACCACACCTGGAGCACCGACAAAGGTTAAAGGTGCAAGTTTCTACACCGATCTTAGCAGTCCTTGGTTAAGCCGTGTCGCTCCTTGAAGGCCAAGATAGTTAGGATCAAAGCCCAGACAGGCTCGTCTTTTTTTTTTCCGACGAAAGGAGAATAGCTTTAGTTCTTGTATTATTTATTAAACTCCTCGCAATTAAATACTATTGTTCAAACGCGGCGTGCTCTCGGAGTACAAACTCCATCCTCTTGTCCTTGACAAGTTTCTGTGACCGACAAAAACCGGAAAACATTCTCACTGCTGTTGGCAAGGCGACTTTGGAGCTTTTCTGTGCATTAATAACAACATGTCAACTATAGACTGTTGTCGGCATGGATAGCAATGCGTCGACAGGTTTTCCGCCGATTGAGTTCAACCCCATAGCTCATGACACTTCGACTGGTCTCACTGCGTTGGTATCTTGTAGCACTCCTTTGATGTAAGCACTGTCCATATGAACTCGAGCTCTCCTGCCCTCGACGGGGCAGCATTTTATTCGAAAGAGCACATCAGCCACAACCCGAAGACGCAGGTACTTGAGCCACAAATTGGTGCCATGCATCAATAAATCAACAAGCCGTGGATTTCATTATTCCCGATTGTTTGACTTCTTTCCCACTCTTCTCTCCTTCAGACCATACCATACTCTCGTTGCCGAACCGCCCCAACAAAGCATTGGGACAGACTTCTAGAGCCTACGCAACTTGAGGACAGAAGTTCTGCTTATATATGACCTCACACACGTAACGCTCTCTGCAAGCACGATTCAAGCATAGGTATTATGCTACATTGAAGCTATGGGGAAACCTCTTTACGTCACCCTCATATCCATTATCTGTCAGGCTTAGTCCCTTACTCGTTTGAAGTCGGTCTCAGCAGATAAAGAGCGTAACGCGGACGATGATCCCAACGTCATTCCCCGCACCTCTTGAACTTTAACATCATAATCGCCGTGAGATAGCGAGACCAGATTGGTGTTTGTGAACTACCTTATGGAATCCATATGGCAATTGTGGCTGGTATTTATACAGCGTGCATATTATAGAGATGGTTCTGTTGCTACAGCTCTGCGATCATTTGTACTGCTGTGCTAATGCAGCGAAACGTTCCATCTAGTATCCTCCGTCAGTCCATACATCGGTCCTGTGCTCACCCAGTGAAGTACAGACCTCAGTCGCCTTCGTACGCGAAAGTTTTTGGGGCACTGGGGCCATGGGTGAACTTGAAAATGGTGTTTGAGTCACGTAGACGCACATTGATCCATGCAGAAATATTCATCGTGATGAAATTTCATTGCTTTGCTGCCTCATGTTTGATTGCGAGCTTCTGCCTGAAGACGCGGGACTCCGATACGTTTGGACCGGGGACCGTTGTCACTTGCACGTGGGTGCCAAGAGATTCCACGTTGATGGGGGTGTCAAAGTAATGATGCTTGCTGTAAACTTGATCAACCACGTTCACAGTTTGCCTTTATGATGAAAGGCAAAAGCTTGCGATGGGTTGCTTGAATGGAACTCTCACCACGCGCTAATGGGGTCCTTTAAGTTCGCGTCTGATTCCCCCTCCAAGTTCACAAGATGGATTGGTCTCATTTGCATCCATGTTCCTAGAGAAAGGTTGCTCGGACCTAGTTCATATTCCGGAGATCAAAGACCGCGATCAAGCAACACCTGCATAGGCTGCTACTATCATTGCTAAATCACCTGATTCTGGCAGCAACCTTCTCGGCCATCCTTTGGCTTTTGCACAATTCCGGCGGCCAACGCATTGACGCAGAGAAGCTATTCGACTCAACCCGTCCACGTGTGATAGCCCACCCACCCCGGAATAGGGTCTTAAACATGGCGAGCAACTGACTAGTTCAAGCCCGGCTTGGGAAAACTTAATTCGCGATGCTGCGTGGACCGAGCATCGCTTGTTGCAGCTCGACCAGCCCACTACCATTCATAAGTAAAGTCGACAGCGCCTTCTTATGTCATTCGTTTGTCATATGATGCCCGGAACACTGATGCCAAATTTCTGAGCCCTCTCACCTGCATTCATTCGATCCGCCTGAGATTCCATCTCATGGTCACCCCACGCGCCTAGAATCATGGGCTGAGGCGAAGACACTTTTGATTCTGCAGGCGTGAAGTGTCATTCTCTCAACTGTAAAGTGCCGACCACCGTTGAGGAGCCTTCGAAATCTTGCGGATTTGATTTGGTTGCGGCACATGTCGCAAATATCATAGCCTTGCCGGTGGCCACAGGAGCGCGTACCATGGCGGATAGTATGGTAGAAGCGCTTATCGGTTCGACAGTAGCCATGATATGTGTCACCACGTTGGTTATTTCGATACGGATGGCCGTAAGGAAAAGTCTCAGAACTTGCGGCCTCGATGATGGTATGTGAGGTTTGTGGCAGTGGAATTGAATCAAGACTACTAACGCATAGTACAGTTCTTATCACTGCTAGCTGGGTGCGCAAAGTCAACTTGGCTTCCCATACTGTGCGCAAAGAGGATTTAACATGTAGTGATCTGCAGGTTTTTGCGATGGCCATGTTTACTGTAACTATGATCTGTAAGTTAAGCCTCGGCCACAGCATTCCAATTACCTGATAGTTGCGGCTTTCGAACACTGATAACCAACATGCACAGCGGCCCATTCAGGATTCGGCAGACATCACCAAGATGTCAGTATTTCCGACTACGAGCAGTTTCTCAAAGTGAGTAATCACTTCTATGGCCGACAGGTTACAGTGGCTGACTTGAGGAAAAGTTGACTATCGCGACTTCGGCAACGTACAGCTATGGTCTGGCTCTTGCCAAGATGTCTTTCGCCGTTCTTTACCTACGAATGCTACCAGATAGAAGACTGGTGATGATGAACAAGGCCATCATCCTCTTCCTCTGCTGTCAGGCCATCGAAGAGAGCCTCATTCCAATATTCCAATGTAAACCGATCGCGAAAGCCTGGACGGTCGGCATGGAAGGGAGTTGTCTTGACCTTCCTGTTCTCTGGTGGAGCGGCGTGAGTGAATAGTCCCAATCCTGGTCACATCATATGGGTGAAAGAGGACGTCGGACTGACCGTTGAACATCTTAGTTTGGCTTCAATCTCTGCACCGACCTGATCTTATTCATACAGCCTATTCCTACGTTGTGGAAGTTACAGCTGCCACTTGTGAAAAGACTTGGACTTATCGCCATGTTGTCACTGGGTCTACTGTGAGTTCATATCCACTATTAGGCTTCCCTATTTGCTTGAAGAGAATCGAACGCAAAAGAATATTCTGACGAATCTTTACGGTTGTCGCTATTTCTGTTATCCGTATGCACTCCGTTACCGAGATGGGCATCGATGATACACGTGAGCCAATACCAATTCAGAGACTTATCCTGAGTAGCTGACAAAATCGCCAAAGATGATCTTGCAACCCCAATGTTGTGGTCTGAAGCAGAGATCAGCACCTTGATTGTCTGTTCATGTGTGCCCTCCTTACGAAAGGTTGTCCAAAAACTGCCATGCTCGTCTCAGCCATTTGGTATAGCTAGCATCGATACACCACCACGAGCCATCAAAACGATTGGTCAAACGAGACAGAAACCACGATTCCCATCAAAGTATGGCAGTGGCCAGGAGAGATACTGCACTATCGGGTCAGGTTCTACTGTCAGGACCCTAACGTATCCTCTCAGTGTATTGAGCCGGCCTATCAGAGCTTCGGTCACGGCAAGCGAGGGTCCGCACGAAACGCTACGCACCGATGCTACTAGAGACGGCAACAGCATTGGCAATCTGCAGAAACTTGAGCTTGAGCTAGAGCTGGACTACGACGTGGAACGCGATGCGGGTAATATAGTTGGCATACCCGAAGAGATTTTCTTCCCTACAGGAAATTTTAATGAGAAAGTCAGGAGTGAGGGCAAATAGACATAGAAATCATACCAAGAAACGTACCATCACCGTGTCGGATCCGAATTTCAGCGGGTGTCAGGTGGAGACCCGGTAGTAGCTCGTGAGCGGACCGTGCGGCAGAACAAGTCGGGAAATATGGGGTCTCTGTCGGCGGCCTTCTCCAGGCCACCGAAAATCAATGACGTAGAGAAATACTCAATGGTAAAGGCAGCCAGCTGCACGGAGAATTCCCAGGGAGTCCGCGTCATGAGCTTGTAACCTTTGCGAAATCACCGGATCGTCGGAGGTCGGCTTATGAAGTGTCCGAGTTCGAGGCTTTGTGCCGTTCATCAACACCACTGACGCATTACACCAATTGCAAGCGTCATTGGGAAATCACCTTCCTCAAACCAATAAGACCGCCTTCAAGACCGCGATTTGACCATCACAACGCAGTAGGACTTGTATTCTCCATCAAAGCTGCCAGAAGTCTCCGTGTGCGATATTGCTAGCAAAACTAACATCATCAATATGGGCGTCTCACTGTCTACCGCCAAATGGCTGGCCCCGCTATCCTTCGCTGTCGACTTTGCAGCTCAAAACTATGGCATGCTTAGCAGTCCCAACATGAAGGATGTTCACGATGCCAACCTATCGTTCTGGTCACCTCAGCCTTTCTTCATTGCTGGGTTTTTCTTCCCCCAACAACTGTTTCAGCTTGCTTGGCTTTATCGCTTGTACAAAGCAGACCCCAAAGTAGAGCCCATGGCCCCCGACGTGGGCACAATGGTTGACTTTGCGCCTTTCTATGCCATAGGAAATTTGTGTATTGCCAGTAAGTAGCACTCCCTATTACATGTTGTGTCATTCTAGCGGCGCTAACTATCTCCAACAGCATGGATGATCTTCTGGAACAAATCTGACCTGAAGGTTGCCAATATTTTTGTCATCATCAACAGTCTTGCCCAGTTGTACTTCATCTTCAATCGCCTTCCGCCCATGAACACCAAGTCTGTCAACTCAGTTCTCACCCACGTCGTTGCCAAAACATTCGCTGGCATCGGCGTCTTGGACCTTCTGCACAACGGCTCGGTGGCGTACTTCGTCCACCAGCAGCCTTCTACCACTATTAAGGTTCTCACCGGCGTTGGCTTCGGGCTGTTGTCCAGCGTCAGTGACTGGATCTTTGGAGGTTGTCTAGTCTATGACCTGATCGCGCTGTCCGTTGGTCAATCTGCCTATGGCAACGCTGGCTGGAGTAGGCTCCTCGGCATTTACGCCGGCGGAGCGGCAGCCATCGTTGGCGCGCGTAACCTCATGAGGTGAGATCTTAACTAGAGCCAGAGACAGACAATTTGCTGACTTTTGAAAGACCGCCATATGTCAGCCAGTCTACAGCCGGATACCAGCCTCTTTAGAACGTCAAGCTACTGGTCTCCCGCCTGCCTCTACGCCCTACCTCACAGGATATCCGAATCAGATGTGGAGTTAGGGTCATGGCGCTCGGAATTCGTGGATAGCATGGTTTTCCTGTTTGCGGCATACTCTTGCCGGTGACCCATTGTACTTATAGTCTCATTTAGAGGTAGTTGCCATTATCTTATTCAACGTCGAGAACCCGGTCTCAAATACGCCTTTTCATGTCTATGTGGTATCAACAATGCTCTATACCTGCTAACGCCCGTGGACTTCTCTCGATGTGTGCCCAAAATGCTGGATGCCTTCCCCATTATCTAGTAGGCGCCCAATTGATCAGCCATTCTCGCGATTTATCCAAATCTCCCGAGCTTGCCTCGCATGCGGCAATGCACCATTCAAAATCCCATACACCCTCACCCGCCAGCATTTCCGCCAGTTTTCTCCGTCGTTGTGAAGCCTCGTCCACACAAAAGTGCATGGGGTCTTTCAACTCGGGAATACTTTGCACGAGTGGCTTCACAAGCGGGAGAGCGGCCTGCGCGCTGCCACCCTTCGCTTCAAGTCCAAGATTTGTCCTCCCTGACTTGCACCACTCGTTTCCACACCACTTTTTGCCACAACCCGTCATCAGCTGGCTGAGGTATCTTCTCTCGATGCGTCGCCGGAGGGCTTTGCCTTCCGGGTCGTGCATGCTGACGTACAGGGGGCCGAAGCACAAGGAGCAGAGACCAAGATCATTACCAGGTCCCTGGCCCATCGCTGTTCCGGCACCGACAGCTCCAGCTGATCCAACACCATGTAGAGTTCGACCACAGTTGATGTTGCGGCAAGTGTCGGGCTTCCTTCGAGAGACTTTGTCTAACTCGTGGTGCTTCATATGAGCTGACATATCTCGCATCCGCACGATCTTACCACACAAGTGGCAGTCGGTGGTTCTCGCACCATCTGCTAGCTCATGTGCAGTCAAGCCTGACAAAATTGTTTCTGCCGATGGATTGAAAGGGTCTCCCTCTTGCGGTACCTCGAGGTGACAGAACTGGCAAAGAATGAGTTTACCAGGGCAGACACTTGTGCGGTGCAGTGCCAATTCCACGAGAGACGGGGCAGTGTAATCACAGCCAGGACACTTCTCTTCAGTATGACGCAGGGCATCATGCTTGGCTTTGCTCGCCGGCGAATCTCCAAAAGCATCGTCATGCTCGCAATGCCAGTGAGCCTCCCACTCGTCCGACGCTTTCTTGAAGACACGTTGGCACTTCAGGCAGGAAACATTATTCCGGAGACAGAAGTTCTGATGCAAGACCATTGTCCGCTTAGGAATCCATTGCAGACAGTTCTTACACTGCTCTTCGTCGGGAGACTTAAACTCCGCGTGTTCCGAGTGGGCCATATCTCTTGATCCTCCCCCAACCTCAGCTCTGGCCCTGAGTTGAAAAGGCGCCGGGTTTGGAGCATGATCATCGCCTACCAGCGGGTAGCAATATATCGAAATGAGAAGCTCCTCAGCAGCCTCAATTTCGACATTGGTGGGCTGTATAGTGATGGACTTGGTGCCGTCTTCGGCAGGATTGAAGTTGCCAAAGACGTACTCGGACTTCCGTGGCCGTGCTCGCTGTCGTGATGATCTCGGACTGACAAATAGGTCGATTTGATCGGGGTGAGGGAGCTCGGAAAGCTGGATAGTCAAGGGCCGGGTGCGGTCCCAGGAGGGTAGTTCGTAATCGACGTATTCCCCTTGCAAGACCTGGCCGCTGACAGGCTTCCACACGTCGATCTCGCCTCCTTTTGAGCTTCCATTGGCAGTATCAGGTTGAGCTTTGGCCATGATCTGGCGCATAGTTTCACGGGCCTGCTCCTCATTCAAAGCCTCGATATCCACCTCCAAATCTGTATCAACCACGCAAATACCGTCGCCTTCTGGCAAGAATTTGTCGACCAAAAACTTGAAATCTTCGCCCTTGACACCGCGAACGGACAGGACTGTTTCTTTTGTGAGGGTTGTGTAGCTTTCGCGCAGTTGGCGTTCGAGAAGCGACTTCCAGTCGTCGGGGTCGTAGCCGGCTTCGAGGGGTCTGAGGCGGACGTAGGTGCCCTTGGGTAGTTGCTTGGCGTGCACCGTCAACCGTGGTTGAGTATCCATGACCATGTCAGAGGTCACATCAGATGGTTCTTTGGTGGAAGGCTTGTCAGAAAAGTCGGTAGGAAGTAGTCCTAGAGCATCCATGAGATAGGGGCCCAGCGCAATTTCCCCTTCCTCGGCGGAAAACTCGCGGATGCCGGCGTACACCATATTTCCGTTCTTTTGGTTCACCAACCGAAACATTAAGGGATTCGGCAGTTGCTGGGAAGTTTCATGGTAGAGACTCTGCTGCTGTCGCGCGTAGGGATTGAAGGGATCGTAGGAAGTGAAGGTCGAGTTGGAGGGCGCGGGTGGCCTCGGGGACGCTGCAAGCAGTTGTTCGAGGGCAGACTGGGGAAGCAGGATCTTGTCACCGCGCAAGTCTCTAGAGGCGGATTTGATGGGAGGGACGACGGCAAATGGTGCAGACCACTTCAATTCCGGTTGTTCGTTCTCCATATTGGCGTATCGGAGTGCCGTCCGAGTCGGAGTCGGGTGGTAGTCTTGAATACCGTAGTTCTCGTAGTTCTCGGTTGCTCGACGCGTCGCCCGTCGGTCAGGGTAAGGTGGGGTGGAGGGGTAACGACCACGTTATGTGCACCAAGAAGTGTTGATCGAACTGCTGTACCTGTGCATGGCCGGTGGGTAAAAGTCGAGGTGAACTAAGCCGTAGAGAGGCATCAGGTTGTGGCAAGGTGATTTCCAAGGCTGGATTTGCGTTATGTTATGTGGAAAGTGTCATGGCGACCATCGCGATGAATCAGCAGGCTGATGGGATTCTTCGAGATTCCACTGTAAATCAACAAGTTCCAGGTTGCCTCGCTGACGACATGATGTGGGCCGCCCTTACGCCTCATGAAGATTGCCGAGTACCGGACTCCTAAGCGCGCGCCACACACCTCTATTCCCATTCTGGTCAGCTCGCGCCACAATCACATCTCTCTCACCGCCCAGGTGAGTAAAGTGGACCATAGTGGAGACAAAACAGTCGGATCCGGGTACAGGTCGGGCCGGGCGCCGAGGCCGACGATGGCTGGATGAGAGACCTGGACGGGATAGACGCTTACTAAACACATTACACAGTGCTGGGTGCTCCAGCCACCAAGACTCCAAGAGTCCAAACAGGAAGATTCTCAGACCTTCTCAATTACCAATTGCCTACACTACAGTCCACGCTGGCACGCAGGGCATTGGCACATTGCTGGTTCAACAATCTTATGCACACGCGCCCTTGACCAACCCTTTGCGCTCATCCAGAAAACCAAAACAGAACCAATACCACCTAACCAATACCAAATAAAGCTGAATCATGATGTGCAGCTGCCAAGAAGCCTCATATCCCGAATCACTAGCACTCAACCACTGCAACGCAACCTGACACCTCATGCTGGTCTCCATTCACCAAAAACAGCAGAAACAAATGTGGCCAAAACTCCCGACTCCGCGACTCCGGACTGTCACTCCGTGCCCCCCGGAGCAGGGCTAGCTAGCGGATCAGCGCGCCGAAACAATACCCAAAATAGGCATGGGAAACCCCCTCTAGCTCCTACACGCAGCTCGCTCCTGTGCTTCCCCAGCTTGCTCGACACTAGGTATCCAACGTCTTTGCAGCAACTTTCAACTCCGCACCGAGCAATGAGGCGGATAAGGTAAGTAAGGTATGGCACCTCTCGAGAGGCACGGACAGATGAGCACGGTCGCTCCGCTGCGAGTTGCAGCTTCAGGATGAGGCAGCATGACCCGAGGTACGCAAAGCGGAGACAAAAAAATGAGCAGTTCGAGTCGAGCGCCGGCCAAGGAACATCCATCCCACTGTGCTAGGGCGGTATCTTTTCGGTGGGTGAAAGCCAAAAGTCAAAGGCAGGCCGCAGCACCATCGCGGAGGAGTGTGTGTGGTCACTCCGTGAGACTGCCACAGCGGCAGCGCAGGGCAGCGGAGCGGAAACAGTCCATCTGGTTACCCCACGAAAAGCTTTCGTTGGTATTGGATAGTGCAACCCTGCGAAGCGAAGCTGCTGTACGGAGTATGCAGCCTGTGGGAGGTTGGAACTTGGAAAAGCACATCTGGCTCGGTGACCTTGAGGTTCCGCATTTGATTCGGCCAGAAACACCGAACAGCGAACCAGCAATAAGCTTGCGCTGCGGCAGTCGTGCTGTTGTGCAGTTGGTGGTGGGCTTTCACGGCTTGCGAACAATCTAACCAGCTAGCCCGGCGATCCCCAGTCTCAGCATGGCAGGTTTAAGCGGTTGGAGCGGCTAATTTGGTCATGTAACACTTTCAAGACATGCCCAGCTCAACAACCTTCATTGGAGCTTGGGTCCCGTAGACGTCTTTCTTGCGCGGGATGGAGCTTGACGGGGCGGGATGAGATGAGAGCGCCATCCGGATGAGGGAGTTGAGGGACTTGAGAAACATGCGCTTGTTAACTGATGCCCAGCATGACCGGGGAAGCCTGTTCTTGTCTCTATAACCGTACGAATGTCGCGCAATCATGACAGACCCTCCCGATTATCTCGGACAAGACTGCCCGGTTATGCGCATCTGGGCTCACTCAACTTCTCAACCCCCATTGAATCTCGACATACAAACATTCTCAGATCTGCAATCTCGGTTTTCGGTATGTTCCTTTGATGAGGAGGACTTCAATACACCTGACCTACCTTAATGGAGGAGTATACTGCAATATGTCTCATCTCATCTCATTTCATCGCGCCAGACCTCAACAACACACCTCCTACCTTAACTCGGATCATCGTCCCCAATCCTCCCCCACCCCCTTTCCACAACCTTTCGGGCCTTCATTCAAGGTTCAAGCAGTTTCCATACACATCCCCCCCGTCCAGTGCCTCACATTTCGGTCCCTACCTTATTGGCCTTCCTGACTCTACCTACACTCTTCCCAAGCTACCGCGCAAGTCAGCTAGGGCGCATAAACGCCTGCATGCTTGGCACGGAGTAAGGTACCGAGTAGCAGTACGCAGGATACGGATACTTTTGAGAGATTCTCAACATCGACGTCGAGGTGCCAGCGCAGCGGACCTTCTCTGTTGCTCTGCAGTTGCCAAGACCGCACTAGGCGGCGGGTTGAAGCTCTTCCGTTTCAACCGCACTATTCTTTGCCCCCCCCCCCCCCGTCTGCCACAAATGGTTCCATTGACTGGACACGGCCGATCCTCTCTTTCAGGGTCCGACGGTCGACCCAACCGGGCCAACCCCAGATGGATGCTACACAGTTACACTACCACCCACGCTACCACCTTCTGCCGATAATACCTGCCCTGCAAGATGCTGGGGAAGCAAAAGGCGAGCGACAAGTGGATGGTAGGAACACTTGTGACTCTTGCGTCTCTACTTGCCCTCCGCTCTTCGCTCTGCGCCAGCCTCTACGTACACTACGGTGCGAAGGCCCGGATGGGGGGGGGGGGTACGTGGGTAGGTATGGGACTTGGATGATAGCACGGGGTGGGTGTGTGGGCAATATGGACGACCGTCCACTTGGACCTTGGACCGATCTAGCCTGCACAGCTCTAGCCTGCCCGTGCTGCATTTCTCGGCGCATCTTGTCGACTCTACGTACGCAGCGGTTGACCCCCAAGGTCCCTTGCTCGATGTACATCTAATGCTTCCAAAGTTCCCTGTCTCGCCTTGCTTGACGGGGTACCTCTTCACCGCAAAGCTAAGGATAGACACTCTTACGTTTCTTGTCTTGCCCGGACACTACGTAGCCCACCGTCCTCTCTCTTGTACCTGGCAGGGTTCGATGCCGTAGATATTTAGACCGACACGTCGTCCACCCCAAGACGGCTTTGGTCTGGATCACTAAGTACCAAGCCAAAAGCTCTTATCTTCCCATGTAAACAGTGAGCATCATCAGTCTGACACCCAAACCCAATTGCGATCGCGCCTGCGCCTGAGCTCTGCCCGTCCTCCCTCGACGGCCATTCTTTCACCTACTACTCGGCTTCCTTGCTCTCGGCCTCTCTCTTCCCGTCTTACAACAACAACATCATCACCACCTCTTAACCTCCAGACTGATCGCCGCGAACCCTCGAGGTTTACGGCCGTCGCGTAATACCTCGTCTCTACTCCCACGTTTCCACCCTTCGCGCGCGTTCGCCGTAACATGCTCCAGGACGTCGAGGACGCCTACACGCTTTACCAGAATCCGGTTACCAATCTCCTCCATTTCCTCTCCAATCCTCTCATCCTCGCCCACACAGCTCCTCACCTCTCCGCTTATGATCGCCTGAGTCTTGCCTCCACGAGCCGAGCATTCCGAGAACTCATCAAACACACTTCTGGTGTATTCCGCCATCTTGATCTCACCCACGTACGCGCGGCGCAGTTTGAAATCGACGGCATTGATCGCGGTGGTGAAGTCTGGCGCAATGTCCAACTTGATGAGAATCTGACCGAAGATGAGTGCGTCCAATCTACTCTACTCTACTCTACTCCACTCCACCGCCGCCGGTGACATTCTGCTCTCTGCCCCCAGTCGCGGCGAGCTAGTCGCTGTGGGGATGCCAGAGAGGGCCGATGGCGGTGCTACAGACAGCTCGACTAACGCGCCACCCTCAACAGCTTCTACTCCGGTCCGCTGAGAGGCATCTTCTCCAGCATCCGCCGACAGAATATCCTCCAAGATGTGCAGACGCTGGTCCTAGACGGCTTGTCCGTGACGGCCGAGCTCTGCCACGAAATCATTCTCGACCCGGCCTACAGCGTGCGACTCCTGTCCATCCGAGGCGTCAAGAACCTAAACGAGCGTAAGCTGTGCGCATCTCTCCAATATGCCTGCAGACCGTCGCGACCAGAGGGCATGCCCCGGTTGAAAGGTCTCTACGTTTTCGGTGCCAAGGATACTCCGCTGCCCTCGTTGGCAGCATCCGGTGTACCGTCTGGCACCGCTTCGCACGCAGCGCAGATTAGCGCAGGGTGGAATGCCAAGTCACAACAGGCGTTGACATCCTCGCTACGCAGCGAGGAAGAGGACTGGTACCATAGGAAAGGTCGCATCATTGCACGTCCGCTGGTAGAGGAATGGGCCAACACCCTGGTTGACTGCCACGGCATCATTGCATTCGATGCTATTGCTTGCACCGGACCTTACCACATGAACTCGCCTGCGTACGGCAAGGTAAGAATTCCTGCCACAGCCCGGCACTGGGCCGTGGCGACAGTCGCCTTGGGCGGCTGCGCCGGGTGCGGTGCTGCACCCGGAGGCATGTCAGTCCACAACGGGACTCCGGCGATCCAACGCCCTCTCCTAACACCTCCGCCTCTTTTGGCTTCGTCAGCCAAGGCCGCAACGGCACCGCAGCTCTGTACCGGATCGGAATCCTCCTTCGTTGCTCGATGCATCGACTGCCTGCGAGAGAGATACTGCGCAGGCTGCAATAAGTGGTGGTGCGAGGAATGCTACCAGACACCCAGCGCCGTGACCGAGCTGGCCGACACCGATGTGATAGTCGTCGACGCCGAGGGCGGTGCTTGGGTCCAGCACCAGGAGCACGAGAGCCAGCCCAAGATCAAGGTACGAAATGGCGCCTGCTTCCCGAACTGCACCATGGTCGAGGTCATTGATGCGCAGAGGGTGTTGCTGGGCTGAGTCGGACATCCTTTGCCGTCTGGCCCGGCCTGTTCCAAAGTGTATGCCACAATGCTATTCATGCCCCCCCCCCCCCCCTTCTTCGTTTCCCTTGAGCTTCTGGCATCCAGCGAGAGTATGCGTGGCTAGCGAGGACCCGACGATGCTGACAGAGACAACCTTGCATAGGCTCGTATCACGAAGAGCTGCTGGGAATGCGGTAGCAATGTAAGTGGCGATACTGGACCCAAGGTCATTGTCCAAAAGACCCGAGCTGACAGCAAGGAAATAGTGTCACGACTGCATTGATCGTACACAGAGGCTCTGTAGAGGCTGCTGCGGTGGCTACTGCTTGGTTCACAACGAGGGGTCAACCTCAACTTTCGTAAGACCGCCTCTCACCAACGGTATCTCCTGTGGCTTGGCTAACATTCGCAGTGTGACTGTCCGATCCCCGCAACCTCGTTGACGCGTTCAGATCGCTAACATTTCTCGGTAGGGTGCTCGAGCCGTGGTCGCTTCCTGCGACACCTTTAGGGAAGTGTCATCCGGGCGAAACGACAGACGCCGATCGCCGGTCAGTCACCGCAAGTCGCGGGGTTTGAGACCAACTGGAGGAGCTGAAAGTTCCTGGTGGCACTATCGGGATTGAAATATCCCAGGACGTTCCTCACCATCGTATTGTCGGGCGGTGCAGAGCGAGACTTCCATGGCCTTCTTGTCAGCTTTGGAGGACGATTTGCAGCCTGTCTCACACGGCGAACTCCTGTACTGTTTGGTTGTTGTTTTTTTGCGTGGGCAACATTGACAGAGCCGGCGAGCTCTCGTCGCGTCACCAAGCGCTTTCATTGTTTGTGAGATACCCTTAAAGCAAAGCGTTTGAGGCGTTGATTGCCAATGATTTAGCGGTATTAGACAACCTTGACCTCAATCCCAACTCTTTTACACCCACTGTTTGTGTATCGTATTCAGCCAGATTGTATTCTCTTGGCGAAATCTTTGACAAGGGACATCTACAGATGGCTGTATGGACCTGACTGATTACTATATTCTAAGCTAAGACTGTGGGAATGACCGTTTCTTCACCATTTTGCACATTTCCCTCGGACGATCGTCAGTCTCGCATGTCACCCCCTAGATTCATTCGCTTGATGGCCCAAGTAAGATCAAGTTCCGTCACCGTCAACAAATATAGCTTCAGGAAGAAAGACATCGTTCGGTAGGGAGATGCCGGAGATGCTTCCAACTCATGGCTCTGTCACCCAGCTGATCAATTTCGTCACTTCCGAGTGTAGACATTTTGTGACACAGGTATTTGGCATGGGAGTTTGCCTCGAAATGCAATCGCCGTCACGAGCCACAAATCTCGGGCAATCCGTGACTGTTTCCTGTTTAGCTTAATAAAGGTATTTATCTCACTCACCTGCTGAATAGTATCTATCATTTGTCCAAATTGACAGCCTCAAGGTAGGTTCTAACCTCGGCCGTCATCTCGACCACGAGGCTCTCAAGGAGCGGCACATGATGACTACGCCCAAGAGATATGACCCTTCCGTCCGTATGACCCAGTGAGCTGACATGGTTGCCTGGCCATGTGAATGGAAGAAGCTATACAACACTGCGGAAGCAGGGCCTTGTCGAGAAAGCCTATGGTTACGTAGGAAAAAGCTAGACCTACAACATGGCAAAGCTGGGAGTGACGGTATCACGAGCTTACTTGGACAGATACAACAATGCCTTGCCTCCCCTCTGCTCTTTCTCGGGCGCAACTTTGTCATATGCAACGATCTTGTGGACACTTCTAGTCACACGTCAAGTGGAAAGCGTTCGTTCAAGACATACCTTGGTCGAGGGCATGAACAAGTTGGTAAGATAATTCTCAGTGATGGTTGTGAGCCTTCTCTACAGATGAGACCATGATTGTTCTTTGTGTTGATATGCCAAGCCCGAGGAAATGCTTCATACGAGTGCCCTGTGTACCCAGAGTCACCTCCTCCGTCCTGACCGGTTGAACAGCGTTGCCCTGACTGTCACTGGTGTGCTCACCTACCAGCTGTTGGAGGACGTGGCAAGTCGCACCGTCCCCTAGCACAGGACGTTCAAGGTTTCTGTGCTTTCTCAGGGTCCTCCTCTTCCTCCTTCGTCTTCCATCATTCTCAGGTCAAACAACATGTAGGTCATTGTCGATCGTGCGCTGCACCGGGGAAGAATCTTGATCGTATACCCAAAATAACGGCTTTGGCCTCGAGACAGCTGGATGGAGAGATCCCAGGAAAAGGCCTTCTGCCCCTTTCCGCTCTATTCTATTGGTCTACACTTCAAGCGGAGACTGCTCCGGTGCCATGGTATCCCCCGAGGTCTCGTGGTGACTTCCCTGGGACGAGGCGTCCTTCTTGGCAACCGGTTTGAGCCTCACGAGCTACTATAAGTTCGCCTTGTCCTGGTTCGTCGGAGGGAGGACAATCGATCTAGAAACGGCATCTTCAACACTGACTTGGACGCCTTCTGGACGCCTTAACCTTATTCACCTCGTCCAACATGGTCATGTTCGCCCCGTCGCCGACCAGACTTTCCTCCCTCTTGCTACTGTGTCTTTTTGCAGCCTTCATCAACGCCACAGATGACACCGTGTACCCAGATCTTGTTCGATCGCTGAGGACAAGTCCGACAGAGCTCGATAAGCTTGTTATCCTCCCCGACGATAAAGACTGGACGTTCGACTACTTCGCTCATGCATTCCACACCAATAATCCCGGAGGCGTTGTCAACGCCAATGCCGCGACATTCCCAGCAACTGTTGGCAATGGCATGACCATGGCTTGGATCAGTCTCGGTCCCTGCGCTATGCTGCCGCCGCATTACCACGCTCGTGCTTCCAACTATGTGGTTTCGATCGAGGGGACTACCGAGACCTACATGACGCTAGAGAACGGAGCTCGAGTGGTCAAGACAACTTTGGCGCCCGGGATGATGACGCTCTTCCCGCAAGGTAGTTTGCACACGATGCAAAACACAGGTGAGCTTCCTTGCCTGCTTCCATATTTCTTTCTCATGCTCACCACTCCAGGGTGCGATAATGCTACTCTGATCTCTGCTCTGAGCTCAGAAGATGCCGGCACCCATAATGTAGCCAATGGACTCTTCGACCTTCCTCCGGGTGTAGTGGCAGCAGCATTCGGAGGAAACCCGCTATCAGCAAAGTTTGCACAACTCCGACGCGATATCCCGGCCGTCGGAACTGGTGCCGCGGTTGGCACTGCAGAATGCCTGAAGCGGTGCGAAGCTATTGGCTCCAAGTAGGTAGCCTAGAGTATGCTCACAGCCATATCGACATGGATGAAAAGCATGGTCGATGCTAATAGCTGCAAAGGCATTCTATATCGTCGGGAACGAGAATCCTTGGTTGGCCGAAACGTATCGACGGAGGCTTGCATCATAGATACCCGTGGCAGATGGCATCGTGGAGCGGTTTGTCTGATACATTCAAGTAATATTCGACTGTTTAGAGGCTGAGATGGCGGCTGCTTTTGCTTCCATAGAATTGCGATGTACACCTACAGGGCATATGCGGGTGGGAGGTGGGACGATTCCAGGGCTGTTCGATAGTGACTGACCGCTCTGGTAGGTCTTTAGAGGAGTAGTAGTCATTCAGACACCAGTGTTTCCAGAACTGAACTTGCGGGCAACCCATGCAGCGCCGTACTCTTCATACTCTTCTTTGGTTGCAGACAACTTGTGAATGTCGCAATGTTTGGCCAGTTTGGCACCGCCGTGCCAGGTACTCGTGATAGGGTCGACGGGATGAGCTACTCTCACGATACAGGCGTCGGGAACCCTCTTGACAAGCTCCTTCTCCAGTCGCTGGATAAAGCCGGGAAACAGGGCGTTGCCGCCAACGACCACGATATTAGCCAAGAGCCCGGGCCAAAGACCAATTGGCAACTCGGAAAGAGACTGCATAATGACATCCGCGAGCCCAGGTTGTCGGAGCCCAATGTCAGAAGGCTGGAAGAGCAGTTCGGGAACTGAAAAGCGTTCGTTTCGGAGCGTGAGTATGTCTTCGTCGTTGTCAGCGGCGCGCGCTGCCATCTTCCTTGCTTTTGTATGCATAGCAGGGTCGTAGTCTCGAACGACGCCCTTTGTCTTGGTGTGGAAGTCGGGCAGGACGTAGTCCTTGGCAATGCCGGCTCCCGTCACATACGGTTCCCTCTTCTCGCCCCTCGTGCCCTTCCAAGTCTTCTCGAGATCCCCATTGAAGTCGAGTGAAACATAGCTAGCCTGTTCCTTGATCTCGTTGACGATATATGTGTCGTTTCGCATGTCGTAGTATCGTAGGGAAAGTAAGCGCGTCAGGTAGTTCGTCATGAGCTTCCCACCGACGTCAAGCCTGCGAACAGCGGAATGCAGAGGCTTGCCATTGAGGAGAGGCATGACGATAGTATTGGAGTATCCAGAGTCGATGAGCAGCACAGCCTCGGCCGGAATCTGGGGCACTGAATTCGGGTCTCGAGGGGTCTGGAGAATACCTTGAATGTCGTGGTACGCATTGAATGAGGCCCCTGGGAAGGCAAAAGTTAGCCGGGTTGGTGAGACGTAAAATCGGCGAAGTCACGTACCAATGCCACGAGAATAACTGGCAAACTGATATTCCTCAAAGATGATCTGGTCACAATTGGCCTGTAAAGTGGGCAGCGAGTTGGGCTGTTCTGCCAGGAGCAGTCTGGTTTCGGAGGGGTCGCACTTTTGCGCCGCCTTGTCGTCGAAGAACTCGTGGTCCCAAATCTCCTTCTGGGCTTCCCAGTTGACAATGTACCCCTTTTCAACTGGCCTCCGGAATTGAATTTCGCCAAAGTCGCGGCACTTGTCGAGGTCAGATGCGACGTAGACCTTCCTCGCCCTATCTCTGGCGATGCAGTTTGGGATTACTCGGGGCTCATCGGTGTGTTCGTCGGAAACGAAGCCGGCTTTGATGGTAGACGCGCCATTGTCGAGTACGAGCGTCCGCGACGGAGGCACGGGGCCTGAAGACTTGGTATTGCGGCCACCAGTCATGGACACGATTTGCACTGTTGCGAGTGCGGCGCAACGATGACTGGGAAGACTGACGAAAGCGTGAACTTTTGCGCTGGGAGTTCTCGACATTGGAGCTTGGGCGTGTTTGTCGGTGGTCGGCCATTCCATCGCCGATACTGCTGACATAATACAGCGAGACCAGTGACCTGGACATGATGCGACTCTCAGTCTGCCAAGAGCTTGCAACCGTTAAAAGTATTTTGGTAAACTTCTGATGATCTAAGCTAATTACCTTATATCATAAATCTAGCTCGAGCTGGGGAGAATTTTCCTTCAATGTGCGCTTTTGGGTTATCTCCTAGGTTCCGCATTATATCCACTTTCCATGCCTTACTGGTCCTAGGAACATCTGCTCGACAGACTCGCGACATGAGTAAATCTTACAATACCGACTTAGACGCAAGAAACCCCGGGCATTAGCGAAAAAGATCAGTTGACGTTCCAACAATACAACTATCGACCTTCCGTTTGGTATCGCTCTAAAATGAGGTATTCTCGTTTTTTGAGAACCATCGTATCTGGCTTCATCTTTGGATTCAACTTTCTCCCAATACTTAGCTTAGCTGCCTTAGCAGAGCCTATCTCGCGCCAGGCGCGTCTGAGCTAGTCAACATCTCGAGATTACTAGACTACGACACTTTGGCGGTAGGTAGGCTATTGCAAGGACGAGAATGGCATCAATGAGACGAAGTTGGCGGTTGAAGCGCCATTGTGCGACGTGGGGTGCAGATGGCGTTTTGATGTCCTCACCGCCGCGAACATGGTGGGATGAGTGTCTCAGAGAATCACGCGACAGTGTCATGGCATTGGTTACAGAGATAAGGCGACAGGCGGTCGGGGCTTTTGAGATGTAGGTAGAGGGTGCCTGGCAGGAGCTCATGAGGCACCCCACGAAACGAAGCCGTTATATCCAGCGCGTGTGCCTGTCTTGGACTCTTGCGTCGAGCCAATCCGCTGGACAACGCCACAGGCGAGCCTATGAAGAACAGATTATTCGGATATCGCGTGGGTGTTGCAGTTTGTATGCTTTGCACATGCTAACCGCCTTGATTTCCTCAGTTGGAGTGTATGCAGGGCGACAAACCCAGGCTGAAGACCTGCGTGTAATCCAAACAACCTAGCACTCCTAGGTAGTTGACATGGTCGAAGGCTCCGGGGCATGAATGACGAAAGGCAGTTGTTTGGGGAGGATCCGTTGTTGAGGTGCATTGCATGGCGGTACATGGCGGTTGACACGTGGAGGAGCGTAGATGCGAGGGTACCTAGTGGGCTCGATCTTTGGTAGAGTAGACAGACTAGTGGAGAGCGGTACGAATACTTTGGGCGCAACAGGCGCTCAAGCCCGTGAGGCATCATAGCTCTGCAGGACGGGGTGTTGCGAGATGTCGTGCGCATGAAGCTCTAGGCGCAAGATTCATGGATACAGGCGGGAGATGTCCGTCGGGAGCTTTCAGAGGCACTTGCCGCACTGGGTCGGGATCGGGAAGCATTAGACGGCAAGGGGTGCCGCGGGGGTCATGGTGGATTGGATGAGACAGACGGGCGATGAGTTAGTTGTTCAAGTGCCGGGCGGAGGACAGAATAGGGGGTAAAGAAGTTGTATCGTCACCAATACCATCGATGGTGTTGATGGACGTCAAATGGAAGGGACATTATCGACATTATCGAATGACACCCAACCTCAGTGACAGTCAGTAAGCGGCAGTGACTGGTTGCGGAAAGACCGGAAGCAGGGTTTTCAGCTCTCACCTCATCAATCTCTCATCAACCCCTCATGATGGACAGGCTTGCTTAGCTAATACGAGTGAGGAGGGGTGGATGTCCTCCAAGGCGCTTGGAGCTAATGGGTCAGGGCAAGCTTTTTTGAGGTCTTATCTGCGTGAGAAGTAAGGGAATGTCATGTCGATGAGAGGCATGAAGGTGAGTGAAATGATTGATACCCTCTAGTACTGCGCGTGTCCTAGAATAAGAGTGAGAATGAGATGTACTGCTAACAGTAGCAGACCTCAGGCGCATATCCGTAGGTTGGATGTTGAATGTCGGGGAAAGGAGGGGTCCCGCCGATGGTGTAACCTCGTAAGGTAGGTGGGCAGGCACGCAGGCCGCAGACGGGCTCCACCTTCCACGCCAGCCTCTTGCCCCTCCATGGTTTCGAAGTCTCCTTCCTCCATTGGCGTCGAGGAAGTACATAGGTATGCATGGGAAGGTGCCGTGGAGCCTTTGTTGCGCAGGAAAGACCCAAGGCATAGTGTATAGCCGGACTAAGGTACTCCGTACTTTCCAGGTCCATGAGTTATGGATATGGACTGCGTACCTACAGTATAATGACTCTAGCGGAAAGAACCCACCTCACAACATCCGTAGTCTCCTTCCCGTATTACACTCTACCCAAGGTAAGAAGAGTCCACTTCCATTCCTCTCCTGCCTTCCATGCAGGTTGGGAGGTGGGAGTCGGGTGCCTTCCAAGCCCCAAGAGTGTAGATCTGAGGCCAAGAACCAAGCCGGGCCGGTGCAGCCAGCGATTTCGGTCCAGACTTCATCCACCTCACCCACGGTGACCCAGCAAACCGCCCCCAAAGGCGAGGTGAGGTAAGGTACCCAACGGAGAGGTAGGTGCCTTGGGAAAGGTACAATCCCAAATACCCAAATAACCAGCCACACGAGGGACCTCCCCTGCTTCTCGTAACTTAACCGCCCGACGCCTCTATCCATTGGAAACATTGAACCATGGAAGGTAAGGTAAGGTAAGGTAGGTAACCTCGCGCCGCACACCCGCCTACTGTAATACTTCGTACCTTACGGTCTTTACCGGCCTCAAAGACTCTCTCTCCACTGGGATCCGGATTTCCTCTGGGACCCTGTCTGCCTTGATTCTCGGCCTCTTTCACGTACATTACCTCACTTGCACAATTTTGCTGTCCACTTTCTCCAGTTCTCCCTCTTTTTCTTTCCGTTCTGACAGCTCGAGGACGGATACAACGTCAGACGTCACATCTCCCTTGGCGACACCAGTGACAGCTACCTACTCCGTACCTTACCACGCTTAAGGTACCTACGTGCCTACATACCTACCTAGGTACCTTCCCTTAGCCAACCGTCAAAGTAGGTACCTATTCTAGCACATTGAAGTACCTTAGAATGAGCTCTTTTCTTCTTCATCTGTCATTCAACTCGAGGTGTTTTACCTTGATATTAACCAAACATTGTCAGCAGCAACTCTACAGTACCGGTAGAGAGGTCCCTTGACACCCATTGTCTCCCGTCGCAACCAAGGCAGCAGACTACTACGTACCTTACCCAACTATCTTAAGGTACCTTACCTGGATCGTTGGGAACCTTGCTCTCCACTGCACCCGACAACCGTAACCGCGCCCCCCGGTCCTCCGCGCCCGACACCTTTCGCACCTTCCCTAAGGCATTTGTTGCTCGTCCCTCCTCCAACGACCACCTCACACTCTCATCTCCTTTGCATCTCCCCATCTGCCATCTTGGCTCTACATTCACTCATTCTTTTATCCTTCCATCTACCTGCCTGAACCAAGGTAGACTCGCTCTCCGTCCTCTTGGGAACATCGTCTCTCCACACGCCTGGAAACCTTCACATCCATCTTGGCCCGCCCACCATCCAGTGCCCAGCGCCCAGCCACGCACGTACGACATCCACGTCGTCACAAGCTTCCCCAACCCGACACGCCCGTCCGGTCCCAGGTCTCCAACCCAGCACTACCTAACCACCCAAAAACAACATCCGCTGACTGCGACCCCTGGACCGTCACCCTGCACTGCACTGCCAACACCATCCGTCCATCATCACCATCCCCGATATCACCGCCCGCCATCTCAACCCATCGCGCCCATTCGCATACATCCTACGGTGTACTACCTCTTATCCGCCTCCGACGATCAATAACATCACCTGCCTTCCCTCACCCTCCTCGACAATGCTTGCAGCTCTCTGCCACTTCGTCTGAAGGATGCGTTGTTGATTACACTCGGTTCATCCCCAACCATATTGCGGCGGTACTTCACCCAGCACCAGCACCGACAACACTGCGACCATACGCCGACTACGACGCCAACACTCTCTACCGGATCAACCTTGGCCGGACTACCTGTCATTGCATAGTGCACTGCTGTGATTGACTTTGGTCCGCTGCTTTTGTCCTTGCAATCATTGTTCTGATTGAACCGGGCCTCCGACTACCTGCCGTTGCGCTGTCCACTTCGAGAAAGCATACACTCGACGAAACCCCAAGCAATACCGCCAGGCCATACCATCGATAGCCAACATGGGTAACAGTAGCACCAAAGAATCTCGTCCGATCGACCCGGCGACCGACTATAGGCAAAGCCAGGCCGCCTACCTCAACCACTCCACCTCCAGAGAAGCCGCAAACGATCATGCCAGCTCACGGAGGCAAAGCCGCTTTAGTCGAGCCGACCTAAATCTCCTTGGCCTCGGAGCCGCCGGATCTTCCAGTGCTGCGGGCAGAGAAGATGCACCTTACGAGCGTAGAGAGACAAGACAGGAGCGGGAAGCCCGGCGACTTGAAAGGGAACGCGTCGCCAGAGAAAAGGAGCGTGAGCGGAGTCTGAAGGAGGAGCATATTGACGGCGGGTACCTTGTAACTCTTGGTACATACACTGGACCCGAAGACTTCAGCAAGCCCATTGTGCGGCAATTGCAGGTAAGTGGCTTTCCAAATGTTTCGATGCTTGGTTGCAAAGGTTGACAGTTGTGGCCCTCCAGATTGAGAGACGACTTGCACCATTCTGGAGGGGTCTTAACGACTACTCCGACAACTGGACCGAATACCAGCTCATCTGCGCCGGCCGCGGCCTTGATATCCCGGCTGCCGATGAGCAACCTCCGCCCGAGTTCATTCCCCAGTCCAACACGCCCGCCTCTCCTACCGAATCTTCTCAGAACCTTGCCAACCTCACTGTTCCAATGGGTCCGAGGTCTCTGTCAGTAGGATCGGATCGTAGTAGCTCAATGCCAGGCTCTGGGATATCGTCACCCAACGCAGCCCAGCAGCGGAGTAGCTCGCCTTTCAAGCCTCGGGCGAAAGCCCTCGCAGCAGCCCTGAGCGGGGGGTCCCGCAGCAACTCATCAAACGACGTTGCGCCCCGTGAGATTAAGTTGCCCAACGATCCCTTGGTCAACGGACAGCCGTTAGAGGTTTTCCTGTACAAAGATGCTACCGAGTGTCCCATCTGTTTCCTAACCTATCCTCCTTACCTGAATCGCACCCGTTGCTGCGATCAGCCCATCTGTAGCGAATGTTTCGTGCAGATCAAGCGAGCCGACCCACACCATCCGGAGCATCACGGCGAACCGACCGAGCAGCCTGCGAACCCGACCAACCCGGAAGAAGCCCCAGAAATGCTGATATCCGAGCCCGCGCAGTGCCCTTACTGCCAGCAGACCGAATTCGGCGTAACCTACGATGCTCCCCCTTTCCGACGAGGTCTATCATATGCCATTGGCTACCCGTCACAAAGCACCGCAATGTCATCCCAGAGCTCTTTGAACTCAACCTTGTCGCCTACCTCCCCGACTTCCGGCAGGCGGCGCGCTCAAAGCTTGTCCGCCAATGCCCCGAATGTTGTTACTACTGATCGGGTCCGCCCGGATTGGTCAACCAAACTCGCAGCGCAGCGAGCCCACCAAGCACGCAGGGCTGCAGCAGCAACTGCTCTGCACACAGCGGCCTTCCTCATGGGAAACAACGAGCAGCAGCGCGGCTTTGCCTTCACAAGGCCCGGCCGTTTTAGTCGGAGAAACACTGGCAGTCGCACCCCCTCTGGACCTTCCAACCAACAGCCAGAGGAGAGCCCGCACCGCAACCCAGAAGGCGAAGCTGCTCCAGCTGGACCTGAGCCTGGACCACGAAGCTCCTCCGGGCGCGGAGCGCTGAACAATAGGAGAAGTCGGATGGAGGAGCTCGAAGATATGATGTTTATGGAAGCCGTCCGTCTTTCTCTCGCCGCCGAGGAAGAGCGAAAACGTAAACAAGAAAAGGCGGAGCGAAAGGAGGCCAAGAAGAGGGACAAGGAAGAGCGCAAGGCCCTCAAGAAGCAGGACCGCCAGAGTGTCTATGGGCCTGGCCAGAGCTCTGCTAGCGGAAGCAGCCTCTCCCTTGGCCTTGGACGACGCAGAGGGAATAGTACAACCAGCAACTTGCGTGTAGAGGCCACACTCCAGGGGGCGCAGACGACCTCGGCAGGGCCCAGCGCCGAGACTTCTCCAGTAGCTTCAGCAACACCGATGGGCAACACCCTATCTCCCACCTCGGCACCTGGCTCGGCACCAAGTTCGAAAGGCAAAGCTGTTGAACGTCCGGCTGTCGAGACGCAGTCATCCGAGAGCAGCTTCCAAAGCACATCTTCTACACCCTCATTGCCGATCCCGACGACCAGCCGCGGGCCCTCCCACTTGAGACAGATGAGCAATGCATCTTCCATCTCATCGTCTCTAGCTGATAGTGCAGCTGGAAGCTATAGCAATCAGGCCTATCTCGATCCTCGAGCCAGTGAGCTGAGCGTTGGCAACAGAAGCGAAGAAGGCGATCGGGACAACACGGAGCCAATGTTCAACTTCCGAAGCCTGGCGGAAATGGTGGGCGTTGACATTGAAAATGGCGAGGCCAATCAGGACCAGGATAACGCCTCAGGCGAGGTCCGGACTGCCACTACGAGCAAGAAGGCCGAAGCGGAAGATGAACCCGAGGCTGAGCACATGGAAGATGTCCACAGTGAGGAGCCTGTGCAGACCAACGCCGGTACATTGAAGCCACCGCCAACGATTCCCGAAGAGCCTGTCGATGGCGCCAGCAAAGGAGACGTGTCCCCTGGCCCCGGCAGTGGGGCACTAACGCCAGAGGTCATGATCACACCTGAGACTCCGGCTCCCATCTCGGATGAAGATGCTGAGTCGAAGAGGCTAGGTCACGGAAACATTGTTGAGAGTTCGACTGGAGTTACGCAGTGATCAGAGTGCGGAACGACGAGGATGATGACGGGATGATGGAGGGATATGATTATGCCAAATTTGATGGCAACGGCTGAGCGTGAATACATGGGGGGCAGAATTTTGCATACACTCTGGGGATTGGGAACTCCCAAGACACTCAAGGCGTTCAGCGTGAACTTTTTGGGGGAGGTGGCCATTAGACGTGATTCTTTCTTTTTTTTTTTCTGCTGTTTGCCATGTGAATGGCTAGCGCTCACTGTATTCTACCCAACCTACCTTACACAGGTATATGGAAAAAAGTGACCGAGATGTCAATAGTCCAAAGTGGCTTGACAATACCATCTACTCATTACCATCTACTCATGGGAGACAATCCCAATTGTTCTTTATTATGTTTGGATATTTGGCCTCACCTACCGACTTTGCTCTGGGTTCTCTGCCAGGCTTACAAGTGCGGCTCGGCGGCAGCGACGGCAGGAAGGGCAGCATCGATAGCGGCGACGGAAGGTTGGTTGACGAAATCCTCGCCAGGGCTGACCCAGCTGTAATTCCGCCATTCGCCCAAGGCAGGCCACATGTTTTCCGTGACCAACCGCTGAATCTTGTCAAGCCGACTGGCCGGGACGTCGGCAGGATTTGACTTGTCGCTCTCGGCGGCGAGCTCGCGCATCATGCTCTGCCAGGCAAGGAACGTCTCTTCCAGTTCAGACACGGATGTTACGCCCATGACGCTGACACCGACCTTGGCAGGGCCGTTGTACGTGGGCGGCAGCAGCTCACTGCCAAAGGCACCTCCTACGCGCGCCCAGTTCGCCATGGCCCAGTACAGAGCGAGCTCTTCCATTTTCTCTCCCGCTCCCTCGGCGATTGCTACAAGACTGTTGCATAGCTTGCGCAACGGGCTTGGGGCCGGGTGCCAGCTCGCCATGGGGCCGTCGTCGACGCCGCGGGTGGTGAGCAGACCCATGCTCAGCATGCTCGCGTTGGTCACGACACCGACGCCGGCATCTTTCAGTCGTGTAAGGATCGCGTCGCTGCCGAGGGTATCATTCTGGATGCAAAAGTGCGAAAAGGACTGGACGGCGTCGATGGGTTCGCCCGTTTCGCGGAGGATCTTTTCGGCTAGCTCGCAGAGCACCGGGACAGGGTAGCCGCAGATACCGACATAACGAACGAGGCCCTCGTCGCGGAGATGGCGTAGCTCGCGTACGGCGGCGACGACCTGATCGGGGGAAACGAATTCTGCGTCGTGGGTATAGACTAGGTCTAGGTAAGTGGTATTCAGACGCTCGAGGCTGCGGAGGACGGAAGCGCGGATCCAGGCTGGGGAGTAGTCGAACTCGGTCGGGGCGATGCGGCCGGCCTTTGTGACGAGGAAGTAGGAGTCGCGGGGCGGGGAGAGGGTGCGCAGGGCGGCGCCGAGGATGGTCTCGGAGGGGCCGTAGTAGGGGGAGGTGTCGAAGGCGTTTACGCCGAGGGAGAGGGCGCGGGAGACGATGTCGACGGAGGGCATGCGCGAGGGGTCCGAGACGTATTGGTAGTTGAAGGTTGCGGTGCCGAGGACCAGAGGTGGGAGGACGGCGGAGAGCGGCCGGGTTTTGGTTGTGCGCGGGGCCGCCATTTCGGGTGTATTTTCTGTGCTCTACAAGGTAGATAGAATCCGAGATTAAGCTTCGAATCAGATAGAGAAGTGATGAACTGTAGCTTCGATTCGATACCGTACCTACTCCCTAGTAGATACCTTCTGCAGGAGCTAGGTATTTGTTGCTGGCTGTTGTGAGTGGTACACAATGGACACAGCTCAAGGTCCAGCGGCTCAAAAAGATATCGAGTCGAGTACGTCAATGATTGATAGTCAGGGTCCCCACGCGTGTCTGAATCTCCGAATGCGATTTGCCCCGCCGGAAAGGTGGGGGAGTCTTTTTCTTCTTTTTGGGGACTTTCTGGAATCGGACTGGTCTTGTTCTAGTTCCTCCGCATAGGACCGAATAGACTGACGCGGAGCGCAACTCTAAAAGTTGATGGCTAGGTTCGTGCTGTGACCAAGCTAGTGAACTCCAAATAGCGAGCATGCTAGGTGAAGAGATATAGCGTTCAGTAGAATCCGATACATCTTCACTCACTTGAATAAAGATGCGACAAGTTTCGTGACGACTGCCCATTCCGCCGACAATGCGGGGGCTCAGCGAGACGCGGGGTTCTGGAGGGGGAGCTGGGGTGTCGAGGCTTCTGGGACTACCATGTTTGCGGTGAGGGTCAAGGAAACCCAAGGCAACCTAGTGAAAAGAGTTGCTGAATCTGGAACAGTTCCGTTGTGACGGCCGAAATGTTACATGAATTGAATATGTAGAGGTGTTCTTGGAAGAAGACAAGCACTGATATGTGTTGCAGGAGTAAAGAGATGGGCGTATGAGATCTCGTCAAACAGGCCACCAGCGCCTACCGCGCCTGCTACCTCTCATAAGGTAGCTGCAGGCCAAGATGGGTCGCTCATTCTTCCGGGACATTTGGTGATGGATGGGACCCCGCCTGCTTAGGTAAGATCAAATCGAATATCACTAACGTATCTTATCTTACTTTATCTCCCACCATCTTATCGATTACCAGCAGCTGACAGAACCCAGGAGGGCAGCTTGGCTTAGCCCACGATAAACCACAACACAAAGAGCTCTCCCTCATCTCCCATTCTCAACATCTCGCAGACATTACTATGCATCAATTCTTTTCAATTGACTGAAACATTTCTTTCAACCTCATGGTTCCCTTGCCCAATGACGTGCCTATCGCAACGCTGATGTATCTCCAAGTTCTGCCCGAATCCCGTCGTCGAGTGACGAGTCTGCCCATCTTCAGGCAAACAAACGGTGGCATCGTGGGACTGCCTATACCACTGTATAGTCTGGCTAATACCGCCTCAGGTAGTATCTGCAATTCATTGCAAACCGGACTGCTCGCATTGGACAGCAATTAGCCTGAGGATCCTGCCATGTGTCCCGCTCTCCTCATGATTTATCCCTAGCAACCTCCGACTTAGCCCTTCGCAGCCTCGGCACCTTCAGGCTCCATTGAGTCCGCATCAATCCGTTGTCTCGTTCCAACCCAACAAATAATGCAATCAATAATACCCTACTAGATTGACTCAACTTGGCCGCCGAACATCCCTCGTTCGGCGCTTTGTGCGGCCGGTCAGGCGGTCGTCTGGTAGTTCCACCGTTCATTCTACGGCCTGTCCATTTCGACCTCTCAGATAGGTGTCTGCTTTGGGCCTATGCCATGAGAACTCTGCAACCTCCACTAGTCACTTGAGACTCTTTGAAAGCTCGATGTCTGCTATCCCCTCTACAAAGTATTCTCTTCAAGCAAGTGCTTGCCGTCACTTGCTTTGGTTCCTAGGTGTCATTCCATCTATCGGGAGGCACCTGTCGTCTCCCGAATGATCACCCGTGATTCTCTAGATCGTCGCTATTGACGGCGCTCGTGTTCCAATGTTCAAACTGCGCCAAACAGCCAAGTTCATTTGGACCGGCCTTTCTCTATGGCAATCATACAGAACCAATATCTCGATGGCATTCATCCGCCTTGGCAGGTATCCAGCTTTTGAATCTTCATATTGGCACCCATCCTTCCCTCCCAACTCGTACCATGTCTTGTAGTTGGTTGCGACCCGCGTGTCTTGTCTCATTTCTACCCAGTACATCCATACGAGATGACTTCCTCTTTCGTCACTGCGGAAGTCTACATGAAGGATTGCTCCGAACCACCGCTGGTCATGGCAAGTGCTGGTTTCCGCCGTCAGCAATGCTTCACTTAAAAGCTTAGACAACCACGTCTGAAGATGCGTTCCCCTCGTGAATGGATATTCCTGCAATACCAAAGCCTATTTGAAGACGCAAGAGTGGACAGCCGGCGAAGATCATGTGTTGGCTCACCACGATCCTTAGCGCCGTAGCGCTCATTAGCTCCGGTAAGTCTTGTGCGCACTCGTACCTTAGAGACTCGTGCTAACCCAGAGGACAGTAGCTATCGCCCAAGATCAGTCAACATACTGCGACAGTCTAGGTCGTTGCTTCGCTTCTTATACCAACGCAGGCGGCATCACTTACGGCATTGCTATCCCTGAAGGACCTGCAACGGGTCAGCCATATGAAGCCATTGTACAGATCACCGCACCCATCGAGGTAGGCTGGGCTGCCTTAGCCTGGGGAGGCTCCATGACATATAATCCCTTGACCATCGTATGGGCCAATGGGAATGATGTAGTTGTCTCTTCTCGAATGGCATTGTGAGGACCCAATTCGATCCGTCCAAATAGCATAATAACTGACAGTTACTAGCGGCTACTTCACTCCTCCACCTTATGAAGACGCAGAGTACACCATTCTCCCCGGCACTGTCGTCAATGATACACACTACTCCGTCACGGCATTATGCCGAGGCTGCACATACTGGGCGCCATACGGAAACGATCCAACATCCTTAGATCCCAACGGAGAAAACTACTTGGCGTTTGCTTCCTCTGGCGTGCCAGTTGATGACCCGGCAGCCAACGACACAACTTTCGGTATCCACGAGCGCGTAGGACACTGGATGCACAACTTCCAGCCGGCTCAGGCAGTCGACTTCGATTCTTGGTCAGAAGGCAATGATGATGGCGAAAGTTCTACCAGCACCGTCACCAAAACGACTCTACTGACCACCTTCTCGACATCCACTTTGCATAGTACCACAACCCTCAAGACTACTGTCACGAGGACAGGTGTTTTACCCAGCAGCGCAACCGCAACTGTCTCATCTTCGCGTTCTACTTCGACATCGTCCTCCATCGTATCTAGCGCCCCTGTGCCTCCAGTCCCCAACTCGTGCTCCGGCGTCAGTGCCTTCAGATTCGGATACCAGACTGCTAGTGGCTGGAAGGCCGTTAAGCTGGCTGGATCTCTGACAGGTCCCCGCGGATTGGTCGTTGACTCTGAAGGCAATCTACTCCTCGTGCAGTCCGGAAAAGGTGTCACGGCTCACACCTTTGGGGCCGACGGCTGTATCTCTTCCACAAAGACCCTAATCAGTAACCCTTTGCTAAACCATGGCATCGGCTTGACGCCCGATGGTAAGACGTTATACGTCAGCTCCATGACTACCGCATGGTTGTACGCCTACGACGCAAAAGCTCAAAGTGTGAGCGCGCAGACTGTCGTCGTCAAGGGAATGCATCAGGGAGGTCACCCGACACGCAACCTCATCATCCCGCCGGCAACACCGCATCTCCTCGTCATCCAGCAAGGCTCTTACAGCAATTTTGACTATGAATCGCTCAACAAGGCAGTGGCGCGTGCTGTAGTCAAAGTGTTTGACATGCGCAGTGTGCCATCCGGAGGTTACACCTACGCCTCCCAGGGATGGTTTCTCGGCTGGGGTCTGCGTAACGAAGTGGCTCTCGCAGCGGACGGAAACAATGCGTACGTCCAACACTAACATCTTGCCTTTTTCAAAGACAAATAGGCTGACAGTGATCTCAAAGCATTTGGGGAGTGGAGAACAGCGGTGACGATTTCGCTCGCACAGTCAACGGCCAAAGCTACGACATCCATAACGACAACCCAGCAGAAGAGCTGAACTTCCGTAAGTCGCCACGTCTGTCGGGCAAGTAATCTAAGACAACTGACAATCACTCCAAGTTGGTGATCCTTCCCAGGCAAACGACCAGTGGTACGGGTACCCGACCTGCTTCTCTGTCTGGGATCCCTCCGTCATCAAGGACAAGAGCTTCAAGGTCGGCCAACAATTCGTCGTCGCCCCCAACAGCACCTACAACGACGATACATGCACTCAACGCTCCGTGGCACCCAGACTTTCGATCCAAGCACATAGCGCACCCATCGGCGCCGTATTCGACAGCGCATTCCAAAACCTGTACGTCACGCTGCATGGCTCATGGAACAGGTCACCTGCTACGGGCTTCAAGGTGTCCGTGGTGCCGTTCACCAATGTTGCCAGTGGTGGATATGATCCGGTTGCTGCTGCAGACTCTAAGACTGGTTATACGGACGTTTTCTGGAGCACAAACGTCGGAAGCTGCACTGGTTCGACCTGCTTTAGACCTTCCGGCATCGTCTTTGACAAGGGGTTCTCGAGATTGTTTGTAGCCAGTGACAACACCGCGGAGGGAGAACTTTTCATGCTTGTCAAGTCTTGAGCCAGATACATGTCGTTTCTTACAGAAAGAAAGTGGTGTAGAACCATTTCGAGATAATCACTCCGATTATTGAAGTCAATTTATGACATGGCGAAGTCCTTCCTTCCGTTTTATCCATAGACAAAGTGAATTCAGGCTGTGAGCATTGTACCATCAACCATACGCAGCCGAAGAAGTGTTACAATGAGAGCAATAGACGCCAAGTTGATATGCATTGCTATTACGAATAGCCTGAAACGCCATGGTGGGCTGCTCATTTGAATGTTTGCATTGCCGCTCTAGTGAAAGCAAATCATGTGGCTGTCACGCTCCTGCCCATCTTCACAGCCAGACCTGTCCGAAAGAAGAGATGAGGTTGCGATAATGCTATCAAAATCCAAGCTGGCAAGGCTGTAATCTATTTTATTTTGCATCTGAGATCGCTTTATGCTTAGTGAACCTGAATTCCGGATGTAAGGGTCGAACTGTAGATCTTTCTCGATGCAGGTTCGAAAAACAATTGGAAATATGGAGGAGTCTCCCACTCATTTGGAGATCAAACTACTGGATGAGACTTCGATCACACTCCTGCTCTCTGTTCGCACCCGCTACCGATTTTGAAGAGTCCCGGAAAGGAGCATCATGTTGCAGGAGATGTTCAGAAAGGTCTACCAATAGGTCAGAAAATCAGTTCATAAAAGAAAGGAGTATTCAACCTACTATCGACATCACTCCGTCGTGTTTCAATGGCGCCGAATAGCGCGTCCATGTCCTCCAACTCCCGACCCTTGGTTTCGGGAAAGAAGGCATATATGGCCTAGAGCATTTGTGAGTTTTTGAGATTCTCATATGTAGTAAATCCACGGTGTCCGTACCGGAATGCAGATGATGTTTACGACCATGAATATGAAGTAGATGTTGCTACCCATATACCCGATACCGGCAGACCACACCATGGTAACGATAGAAGAACCGACAGAGGCGCCAGCGGAGGCGAAGTTTAAGCCTCGGGCTCGCACCGAGGTGGGAAAGATCTATAGCCACATCTGCATAAGCAGTTGTCTCAAAAGACGAAAGGGGTTATCATGATCAAGCGGTACCTCTGTGTTATAGACCCACGCAGTTGGCCCAAATCCCAAAGAGAAGCCAATGACATATACAAAGATAAAGACCACGCAGATGATATCGGTCGCTGGGCTTTTACGCTGAGGATCTAAAAGAGGCACAGCCCCATTGATCTAGGATAAGTGTGTTAGCATTTCCGGGTCCTGCGCACGGGTTCCTCTCGTCCCTTACCAGCAGTGAAAAAGCCATGATGATACAACCAGCGACGAGGCATTTCCTCCGTCCGAATCGATCAATGATAAACATCTCGAGAACAGTAAAGCCTATTTTAACCGTTGACTCGGTAGCGCTAATTAGCAATGCGGTATGGGAGAATATGCCATGTTGCTCCAACAGCCATGGGAGAAAGTATTTGATGGCAGTAGCACCACAACTTGAAGACATGAATTGAAGCAGAGTAGCACGCCAGAGGCGATTGAACAATGGCTTTTGTCGGAACAAAGAAAGCCAGTTACTGCCGGATTGATGATACTCGTCGACGCTCTTGATGATGGCGGAGAATTCGTGCTCGATCTCGTCATCATCAAAGCTACCCTCGCGAAGCCAGCGAAGTGTCGAACGTGCCTGGTCTTTCCTGCCATGTTCAACTAGCCAACGGGGCCTTCTCGAATTAGTATGAACAGTCTCCTTGGGATAGATCGAAGGACTAACGTTTCCGGAACCCAGGGCAACCCGATCCCAAAGATCATTGCGGGGATTATCTCCAAAAGAATGGTCAATCTCCATCCATAGAAAAGGCCTGCATCGGAGGACCAGAATCTCATGAAGTAGCCAACCCTGTTGACATTAGAGACTTCTCCGAAAATATAATCAGCTGAGGTAGTTTACCAGAAACCTAGCGCTATGCCAGCGATGAAACCGACGTGGTTCAGCGTTACAAAATGGCCGCGCTTATGCGCCGGCGATATCTCACTAGCACAGCAATCAGCCTCTACACATCCAAGAGTTTGCTTCAAAGATCTTACGCTTGGTACAGAGGCACCGAAGTAGACACGACGGCTACTCCAACGCCGCTTATGAGTCTTCCGGCAAGCATAGTGCCGCGAGCTGTACTGCCACCACTTGTGGCTTGTAGCATGGCGCCGAGGCAAACGAAAGCTGTTCCCGACAAGGCGGCATAACGGCGACCGAGCCAGTCCGTGATCGGATGAGAAATGCAGAGATAACTGATGAAGGTTCCGGTGTAGTAGATGCTGACTACAGTTCCGATCATAGCGCGTGTTGGCTGTTGCAGTGCATCGCGCCAGCCGGAACTGACTATCACTGAAGACAGTATACCAATGTTGTATCTATATAGAGTAAAACAGTCAGAATAAACTGAGCTCTTCGAACTACTTGACGGCATAGTTCCATGATGCTCCCAACAATGTCCAACGACATGTCGTGACTTCGATGACTCGCCACTTTCACTTTACTGGATGGAGTAAAGGGCGAACTTACCCCCAGACGGATGCGCCGATGCCGAAGAAGATGCAAAGAAAGTAGAGGCGCGACTCGCCAGTAGGCAATGAAGCACCAAGCCAGGCCATATTGATGAGCGTAAACGTTGGGGACGCGGCTAGAGGGGTAATTAACGGGGGGCCACGGCAGGCTGGAGGGCGCCTTGCGGCAGAGAGGAAATCTCAATTGCTTATCAAATTTTGCAAGCCCTGTATTGGAAAGTTTCCATGTGATGACAACACAATTGAAGGAGGTAAAAAGGGACTCGACGGGTCTTCCAGTCCGGAAGAGATCCCAAGGTGAGGCGCGGGGTCGCTTGGCCGAGACAGGTTGGAGCATTTCTCGATTATGTAAGATCCCTTCAAGCACCGCCCGCTAGCTTCGTTTTGCCGTGCAAAGAGACAATGCTTCGTCCTGCTTAGATACTTGGCGAATTCTCAGAAATCACGCTCATGGAAAGCCCGGATGTTGTAATGCCATTTGGCGAAGAAGGCATGCGTGCTATCAACTAACAAGTCGGGGCTGGTTGAGACTACTATTAACCAATGCCCCGCGCGGAGGCTGCCCCTCTTCAATGCTGAGATATCCGCCTCCAACCAAGGTAGAGCAGGCAGAGCGAGGAAAGGCAAAAGGTTTGAAGGCAAATCGCTTCCACGAGATTTTTGCGTCACTGATGCAACAGTAACCAAAGAACTAATCAGGCAGTTGCCGCTACTCTCGTGGATCGAGTAGGTCACATACTCTAAGTCATGATCTTGGAACCTGAAATTTTACTACATTATTAAGTCTCTCTGACTCGAGAGTATTGACGTTGTCATACCCCCAACTCCTTGAAACAGGTGTAATACCACCCAAGGGCTAATGCCTCAAAATCGTGCACCGCCAGCGATGTTACAGCCAGCTGTTGTTCCCTCAACAGCGGTCCTCATCTGAAGTCATAGCGACGCGTGGCCACTAGCAGCGTATCCCATCATTCATACATTAATTACACAACGTCGCTTTTTCTCCTCATTATCACACACTCTATCGAGGCACGTACCCCGAAAAGTCGTACATCCCAGTGTGGTCCTGCAGTCCCGAGTTCCAGTCGAGAAACTGGGGCTGCCCATCGGCGTCAATCACTGGAGCGTACATGCTCATATGGCTGGGTGATGGCCCTGATGCCGGCACCATGTTGCCATCATGGTAGCCCCAAAGTTGGGCGGCCATCTCCGGCGTCATTCCATTTGCCATTGGCATGAGTTCAGCCTGCTGGTCAAACATTGGCGGTTGCTGAAGCAATTGCTGCTGCGAAGGTGACTGCTTCTGCACTGGGGGAGAGCCTCCATGACCGAAGTCGGATGCGGGCAGCTGTTCCATCAGGGGCTGCAGCGTCCTTGGCGGAACAGAGCCTCTAAACTCCTCCGGGGTCGATGACGCCCTTCTGACTGTCCGGACACTGTCGGAGTGAGCGAGCATACCCTGCCCATCGAATACGCCTCCAGGGAAGATGGCGACAGACTGGCTATCTTCCGAACCCTCGTCAACATCTACACCTGAGTCTGGGCGAGGGACAGTGCGGGTCAAGTGACGTGGAGCCAGGAGCCGGGACGGTGATGGCTCGTTCTTTCGGTTGCTTCGGTTCGAGTAGGGCATGTTCTGCGCGTTGGCGATGCATTGCTCAATGACCTGGATGAACTGATTGCGATAGATGTTCCCGATGGTCTCCAACGCTTGTGGGGTCATGCCCTTGTTTCGCAGGCTCTCCTCAACATCTTTCAGGCTGTTCATGAATTGGTTTTGCAGCTCAAAATGCTCGATGACGGGGCAGAAGTCTAGCCGGCGTTAGCAGGGGTAGAGAGACTACTTTGGATGAAAGGACATACCGAAAGGCTGAACCCTGTAGCCATCGTCGTCGGGGAACAACAGATTCCAAATCTCTTTCCATTGCACCTCGGTGCTCATACCACTGGCTCGCTTCCTACTGAGAAGCTTCGTCATCGTAGGGCCATCGATGCCGGACTCTGGGTCATGGTCGGCAACGTCACACATTTGCTCCTTTGGTAGACGTTGGTGGTCCCTGAGCTCCTTCTTGCTGGGGAAGTCTCGGTTGCAGCGATCGCACATGAAGGACGAAGGATCGTTGCGCTTGTGTTGCTTGACGATGTGTTGCCTATCGAGCGTTAGAGAACAGTTCATGAGCTTTCCAGAGGGTGACTACTAACCTCAGCTCGGCGAATTTGGGGAAGTAAGTCATTGCACACGAGTGATGTTCCCTTACGTTGAACCTGTGCGGATTCCTCTTACGAAAGGGACAACTCAGTCGAAGGTCTCCCTCTGCCTCTCTTGGCGTTTGCCTCGCTCTCTTAAACGGCACGCTTGAGTCTCCATCATCATCCGTCAAGTCATCGCCATCATCATCACCATCTGCACGGCCGGTGTTGCCCTTCTTGCGCTTCCCGTTTTGGGACCCTCGACCTGATCCTGGTCTCCGGGCTAGGGGCAGAGAGCCGTTAGACGATGTGGATTGAGTGTGAGTCAGTTGTGTTCCGGCGGGGAATCCGTTGAATGCAAATCTTCCAATGTTCTGGATGAATCTGAAGACGAAATGGCGGAGGAAGGCCGGCGGCATGGTGACCTCTTCCAACTCCACACCGTAAGTCACTTGCAAGACATAGTCGAGGACTGCATCAGCTTCTTCATTAGAGAAGTCAATGGGTGTTGGTGTGGTCGGCTCCCATGCACGTGATAGACGATCGGAGCCGGAGTCGAAGCTCATTCTTTCATTGAGGGGCCGGGGCGGCACCCGCTCTCCGCGGGGTGACTCGGGCATTTCGTCCGGCGACGGTGGCCTATCATTGGCATAAGCATCGCATGTGGAATGGCGCCGCTCTCGCAGATCAAGATTTACCTGGGGGTGCCCGCCGTGTGAGGCATGTCATTCTGCCCGTCATCTTCCGGCTCAATAATGTCCATCCGCGGCAGTGGATCCTCCTTGTGCCCTGCGCCGATGGAATCCGGATACGCCGGAAACCTCTCGCCCATGATAGAGTCCACGAAAGTCGATCCCGAGTCGCATGATTCTCTGTAACGATGGCCGCTCGTGCCGGACCGCGACGCGAGCAATGGTGTTGGTAAGCGCTCAGGGCCATCAATGTCCGGAGTCGTGGCCCTCGTGAAGGTCGATGAGGTGGGGGACATGGGCATTGAACATGTCGTCGCTGAGTCTGGGACATGAGTCGAGCTCATAGTCGATGAGGTCGGCGACCGGTCACGAAACGTCTTCCCATAGACACCTGAGATGATCTTCAGACCCTCTGGACATTTTTGCTGTTGGTGAAGAGGTTGCGACAGGCGGAAGTGGTGTTCAAATGGTGGTGAGTGAACCACTTCCTCGATTTTGGCATGCGAGGCAAAGGTCGAATCGCGGTGACGTGGCTCCCGAGGTCGGATCGGGATCTCGACTGTGAACGACTGCTCGTCACTCATCGTGACTGCTACTCTTTATCTGGTCGGGATGTTCGCTGATTCTGAATTGCTGACGCGTCTTGAGGGAAAGCTGAGCCCAGAATGACACTTGTACCTGGTTTGCTGGGTTGGTCTTGGCATTCAGTTTTCGGTTGCCCTTGCTCAAGAATCCCTTCTCGAAACCCGTCCGTCACTTGTCGTTATTATCGCGATGAGAATAAGGTACTGAAAATGATTAACGAGAGTGATGAAAGAAGACAGAGAGGCGAATCGAATCGAGTCTTGGAATGCGACACTCGAAGAAGGGTAATTCCCCCTCGGTCATGCTGTTGCCTCCAGACTCAGCCCCCCAAACTATGCGGAGTACTTAGAATGCGAACCATCTCAGCATAACAAGGGTGGGCTCAGCTGGAGGCTGTGATTGGATCATGACGACGACCGTCGTTGGCGTAAGAAACAAGTTTCTATCATTGGACAATGCGGCCGTGACGGACGAGGATGCCTCCCCTATTTCTGGCGCGCAGCTTGCAGCAGGCCAGCATACCCCCTTTAGAAGAACTGGACTTCTGGTTTGCTCGTGGCCGGTGCCGTTCTGCTTCTCTGACAGCGGCGGGCAGGCAGAAACAATGTTTCTGCCAGTGTGGCCTGTTAGGGATGGACTCGTGATAAGTCCAGTTTTGGGTTGAGAGTCTCACGAGTCATGGTACTCCCTTAACAGCTACGAGCGAGATCAGCATGCTTCGTCTCAGGGCGCGACCCAGGCGTCCGATATATCCCAGCACTGGCACCGTCAGTGCGCCTGTCTGACTGCCAGAACTGGCAATCAGCCCTACGAGGATCGCGTCTGTCCAACATTGCGATTCCATTAATGCACGCCATCGCGACCTGGTGGATGTCGACACTCGTCTGGACCTGAGGCGTTCCAGCTTCAGTTGAGATTAGATCGACCAGGGCTCTATGGTTGCCCCGTCGCAGGCCGGCCGCCGGTCGTTCGGATTTGCCCTACCATTGGATAATGGCAACAGTTGGTCAATTGCACATGCGGAGCGCATCGTCTACTCAATGTGGGAAGCGGAGCTCACGTCGACAAGATGCTAACTTGGCCTCCTTCGAGCCTCACTGGTGTTCGAGTGTAGGATTTCCTGGAGGCAAATGAGCCTCAAAAATCCCTTATTGTGTTATGTATAAGAGTGGAATGTTCAAGTGAAGGTCATGGGGAAGCAATTGAGTCAACTTTGGTCAATGAAACTGCAAGCAATAGGAAGCCTCACCCCAGCCAACTTTCGACAAGTCTCAACCTCTCAACCACCAAAGCCAACTGCATCGTGACCAAAACAGGGCCCGCACTCTTGTTTCGAAAATTGGGCGACTGCTACCCCAGACTCGATCCGAACCGAGCGCAAATCTTAAAACTCTCGAGGAAAACAGTCTACCGAATATGTCACACTCTAAAGCCAGCTCAAGCCAGAGCCTAGCAGAGTATCCCACCGGGTATGATAGAGATCAATTTTCTGCCTTTGAGTAGCCGCACTGACGATACAATATCGACAGATCTTCCCGTGCCGCTCCCTATAGTGTCGATCGCTACATGGTCGAGTCATCTTCCTGGACACAATTGAGCCAAAGAACCGGTACTCCCCGCACGACTTACAACGACCTCATGCAATCAGACCTCGACAACCTATTACAACAAGCTAAGCAACGGTCACGAACAACCTCGAATTGAGGAATGAGTCAAGGAACTTAATTGATTGTACTATACTGTATTACTATTTGCTCACATGGTCGCCCCGGTGAGCATCTTAATCATGATGCACATAATGGCATGGAGGATCCGAGGACAACCATTTCAGCGCTGGCGCAAATGGTACATAATGAAGACATTTAGACGTTGGACGTAGTGTGGACTACGCTCTACAGATTGAGTGTCACAACGGTACGGGATCGCAACGGGAAATCTTGATACATGGCAAGACGATAGAATTGTCTTGACTGGTGAGATGGCTGGCCACCTCACCCGGGTATGTAGACTGCCATTTGCAGAATTATATACGATGAAAGCATATGTGCTGTTGACCAAAGGTCAAATATATACGATGAAGACTCAAAGGAAGTTATGGTTCACGCATCTCAACCCCATCCATGATGCAATGCGCACTCTGCTGTGCCTCGATCAAGAACAAGAGGGCACTGGCATCTGAAGTGAGACAGCATACATTCATTTACTGGAAGAGCTCGACGGTGTCGAAGATCTGTTACATGAGTTAGCACAAATAGTCATAATTCAAAAGAACGGTGTCCAGTAAGAACTTACGACGCTGGGGCTCAGGTAAGTGTCACCACTGCTGCCAGAGATGACATTGATGGTGATGGTGTTGGCTCCAGAAACGAGGGTGCCGGCAGGGATGCTGACGTCGTAGACCTCGCCGAGACCGCGGTAAGCACCACGAGTAACGCCACGGGAGTCGATCTTGGTGGGCGCAGCAGGGGCCGGGCCTGTCCAGCTGTTCACCTTGGCCTGGGGACGGCCACTGGCAAAGGCAAGGGTGGTGGCGATGCGGAGGGTAGCAGCGCCAGGGGCGGAGGCGAGGTTGAACTTGATGGTGACGGGGTTGTTGACGGCGGTGAAGATGGCCATGGGGAAGTCGCCGACGGCAGAAGTTCCGACAGTGTAGGTGAGGGGACCCCAGCTGCTCATGCGGCTGTCAGAGGGGTGCATGCGGAGCTGCTTGTCGGCGTTGCGGAAGCCGGTAGGCTGGCCGTCGTACTCGCCAATCTTCCAGAGGGTAGTGCGGGCGGCAAGGGTGCTGGCGATGTTGGCAGTGGTGGTCTTGCCGGCGGAGACGGTGACGGAGCTGGTAGCAACCTTGAACTCAGTCTGGTAGAGGACCATGGTGTAGGTGCCGGGCTTCATCAGGGGGGAGGTGAAGGCGCCGGTGGACGAGGCGTAGGTCCAGTACTGGGCGTTGGCGTTGTACCAGTGAACGACACGCTGGAAGCTGCTGCCGGTGATGCCGGAAGCAGTGCCGGAGACGGTGCCACGGCCGGAGGCAGCAACGTAACCCTTGAGGCTGAGCTCGCTGAAGAAGTCGTAGTTGAAGTCGGTGTTCTTGGGGATGCCGGAGCGGGAGAAGGACTGGACGTAAGGACCGTGCAGACCCATGCGGTAGGCCTCGGTCTGGGCGTGGTTGCTGTTCATGTAGTTGTACAGGTTGGTGGAGTCACCGGCGTTGTTGGTGTTGATGTCGCGGAAGAAGGGGCCGCCGGAGGACAGCTCGAAGCCGGTTTTGGGCTCGACGGAAACGCAGACGTGGATCTCCTCGGGGCTGGTGCCGTAGACACAGCGGACCTTGTCATCGATGAAGCGCTCGCTGGAGTAGAACTTGGATCGGGTCTGGCCGCTGACAACGAAAACATCGGAGCCCTCGACGGTGGAGCTGGAGCCGGCGGTGGTGGAAACGACGCCGAAGGGGTATTCGCTGGGGAGGGTGTCCTTGTTCAGACGCGAGATCCAGCGGAGCTCGCCAATGTCGGGCTCGGCGGTGATGTAGGTGGCCATGTAGATGTTGGCCTCGCCCTCCTTGACAATGAGGTAGTGCGTAAGAGTCGAGGTGGTGCAGGTCACCTTGATGACCTTGCCGGTGCTGGCCGTGATAGTGGTGGCCTCGACGGTGGCAGTTCCGAGACCAGAGCTGATGTGGCTGCCCTTGCTGGCATACTGGAGCTCATTGCCGCGGTACTTGATAGAGTTGATATCGCAGCTGGACTTTGAAACTTGGAAGACGAGGGTGTTGGATGAGCCGGCATCGACAACGAAGTTGCTGCCCGAGGTGGTGACGCCGAAGGCGGCCAAAGCAGAGGAGGCGAAGGAAAGGATGGTGAAGAAGAAAACCTGAAGAGTGTTGAACGCCATTTTGGCTGTAAAGGGGCTGCCCTTGCCTGGCGAACTAGAGAGAGTGAGAGGACGAAGTTGGAACGAGGTCAAACGGCAACAGAACAAGAGAGCCTCTTCGTAAGTTTCTAGAATCAGGGTGATCGACTTTGTTATAAAGTCAAGAGCATCTCGTCGGGACTTGGCACTTGGCACCCGACCAGCGCACATCTTGGGAGGCCAGGACAATTCCTCGCCATACTCAGCGCTGAAGGCCCCTTGACCTCTTTCGCGGGATTCCAACTTCCAAGGGCGGGCATCCGCCGGAGAGGTTACCTCTTGCATGGGACCGTGATAAATTGCAACAGCTTGTTGATTGGCGGAATGATTGTTTCACGGGCCGGCGACAAGGGCTTCCTCGCCATGGCTGCGCGAGATAGATCACGAAGGGTGAGGCGGAAAGGGTGTGGAACAGGGCTCGAGGTACCAGGGATTGCCCAAGTCCCGCTCCGGACGGGTGGAGGAACAGCAGGGAAAGGGCATGATTGATGGGAATTCGGGACGACTTGGCAGGAACCCGCTGCAGCCGTGTGCCGTAGGATTTACATAAGAACGTTGTCTCTGATCTTTGCTCGATTGGATGGCGGATCTGGAAATAAGCATTCGAGGTTGCAGTGGCATTTGCAACTATGAAGTAATAGCTGCTCGCCCTCGCAATAATCTCAGTCATATTTATTGTCAAGATGAGGGGATGACCAGTTGAGGAGATGAAGGGTCGACGATGAAATTGGTCCGCTGGACAAAAGGAGATATTGCCGGGGGCCGTCCGCTGCAAGATGCCCGAGTAAGCCGGGGACGAGGAAGAATGTTCAGACGAACAGCAGCCCTGTTGCCATTGACATGAGAACAAAAGACCAGACGAACCAGCAGCGGGCGAGGCGCTGCAAGTCCCGGAATCTCGGGGCATTCTACGGTCTACCCCAGATTTGCACCGGCACAACGTGCAGCTAGACTGTTGACTCGGTGCTGCAGAGACGATAGATGAAATGCGGAGACTTGACCTCGGGTTATGATTGCTGCTCAGGTTTGAGCAATTTTGAGTTTTGTAGACATGTACATAGTCGCATGAAGCTTAAAAGATTGACGAGGCGACAGACCGGCATGGAAGCTCGTATTTGAGGTGCAAAGAAGCGCAATCCATGCTTGGTTCATGAGTTTGTTGATTTTAAGATTTTTCAACGTACGGATATGGATACTCTGCACCCATCTCGCCTTCGCAAGGTTCCGACGGCGACAGTGAGCAGAATTACACAGTGAGCCATATGAAACTAGACGGGGACTCCTTCTTCCTCAGTCTCGGGTACAATGCCCTGGATCCGTAGTAAACGTTGTTTCCTATTAGTCAACGTTCAACAGAGTCGGTATCCTTCCTCCGTACGAATACTCGGTAGAGCGAAGTCCAATATCCGCTTTTTCGTCCGGGGTTCTCAGGAGAGAGCTAATCGACAAAGTGGACATCGTGGGTTGAAAATCGCCGTGTCGACGCAAGGACCTCTTGGCTCTGTTCGGAAGGTGGGCAGCAGTGGTCCCATGGAGTTCAAGATGAATCGGGCATGGAAGTCGGAGTATTTGGGGGGCTCAACGAAGTTGACAAACTCCCCGGTCCAGCCATCGTCATCTTCACAGGGTGGGCAGACAAAAGGAGGGCAGAAATGAGATGAACGGACGAGGAACACGGCTGAAAAGGGGAAAAGGGGAGTTGCTCCAAGAGTTCCAGTACGCCTGCAGGGGAGCCAAGGGCCCACTGCCGAGCCTCCGTGCTCATCTGACATCACGTGGAGACAAGGGTTGATGGGGAGATACGTACCCTTGGCGAACTAGGGTTTCCGCTAAGCTTAATTCGTCTAAATGTTTGTGGAGCTCCTATCAGATCCACCAAATCGCATATCGCATCATCTGAGCCACTTTATTCAACAGCCCTTCGCTTCTTTGGGACTAGCCTCTTCACTTAGCCGAGTACGTACCTTACCTGACTGTCTTCAGCCAAGGACTCAACGTTCCGCTCATCGGCTTTTTCCCGACAGGAAGACAACCCACAAACTCATCCACCAACCCTTTGCAATCTCACTTGCATCGCGACATTCATAAGCATCAAAGATGCCAGCCTTTACCACCTGATGATCCTGACTCAAGCCGGGCCTGCTCGGTGAGACGGTGAGACCAAGGTGCTTCGGCTGGGTCGGGGCTCCTCAGAAACTTTATCAGATATTAATCCCCGGTCTAGCGACAATTTTCGTATTCGTATGGATAGATTCGCTCCATAGTAGGGTTAGTGAGCCTTCCTTCTTTTTCTATTCGGAAATTGTACTCCGTAGGTAGTCTCGGTCACCCACTCTTCCAAACCCACACCACCTTCCCTCTCGACAAAAGCTTGTCATTACACTTAGTGCCTCGGTCCGAAATCGTGGTTGATGGCCCCTTCAAATATTGGAAAATTGTAATGTGAGGACTAAGAAATGTCTACTTGGAGCTATCTAGACTGCGTGAGCACGTTATCTTTTTTCCCCACCAAATAACACTTCCGTGGATCTTTCTTGTTGACTTGGGTGCACTGGCTTCGTCTGCCCAATAAGTGGGAACGTCTTGGGAATTGGTCAGTATCATGCGTTGCATCCTTATTATCAAAGAGTGAAGCCGCGCATCAACATTGCACAAGGTGTGAGTATTGGACAGCTTGGTAACTGTCGGAACGGGCAAGGCTGATAAGGAACAATGGGCAGGTATCGTGGGCTGGCTGGCGCCTGCCCTGGGCGAAGTGGGACAACCGGCTTAGTCATCACGGCCGGTTAAGGTGGGGCAACCACCCAGGCCGTCCCCACCTACTTCGATCGGCCCCTGCCCACAATGTAAATAGGAAGAAGAACAACAACAGCAATTATCACGGACATCGACGTGATTGTTGCCGAAGATACACCCTCATGAGGAAATGTATCACGCCTGTGATACCAAGAGTAACCTACACGTGTTATTGCGGCCTCTCCTGTCTTTGGGATCATTTTTGAGATTGTGATTAGCCTTGCGCGAAGCTACCGGCTCCGACTCAGCGTCTATCGTTCTACACATCCCGGATATTATGCCAAAGCCCATTTGGTTCGAGGTCTGACACGGCTTCAGGATGCAGAGCGTCCGCACATTCCTGTCGCCACCTCTAACGCCAAGAGGATAGCCTCACACAAGTCGTGTGGTGAAAACCAGTGTAATTGTTCCTCGGGCAAATACATCTAGCCTCCTCGCCCGGATCTCATCTGTTTTTGGCCGTTTTGACCTTTGGTTTCCGTACAACAAGCACAGTTAACTGCCCTCAACGTCCTCGGCAAAAACATCGCAGTATTTCTCGATTGGCATCTCGCCAGGTAGCAAAGATCAACTCTACTGCTCGTCCCCCACCGTAAACCGCCTATAACAAGTAGTTTCAGGAATTGATGCGTCATGCCAGTCGATCGACAGGAGTAAGACTGCGTAATGTTGTGCCAAGCGAACGCAGTGAGACCGGTCCTGAACACGATGTTGCATGTCTAGATGCTTTCGTTGACTTATTCAAACTCTTCCCCGCGGAAAGGGACGTAAATTCTGTTGAATGGTGAGCGGCGTTCAAAGTAGACAAAAGGCATCCCCGGCGCATCATTCCGTGTTCATTAATTCACAGGTCCATGGACCAACACGTCGCGAATTCCTCCAACGAGTATGCGTGACCTGACTGTCTCTACTCTCTAATACAATGATCTTGAGAGCATGCCTGAATCATATATAATGGAACTAGTCCGCAATGAAATACGACGAAATGGAAGCTAGCCATGATTGTGACAAATCCACAGAAGTGCCGACCTACCCATGTCGAAGACCCAAACACAAGCTAATCTCACTTATTGACTCTTCGGGGTCCTGGAACCTAGGGCTAGGCATAGGCCTATTGGACTATTGTGCTAGTGGCCTGTAATTGAGGGGTTGAAATGGACTTGCGGGAGCTAGCATGGCTGTGGAAGTTTGTTCCTCTCCCAGTTGGCTCGAATCCCAGGTTTTGCTGAACTTCAATGCCGCTCTGCCGGTCAGGCAATGACGTCTGGTCGAGTGATTTGAATGCCTAGTACCAACAGCATGCAGTACGAACGCCTCCGGAATGTAGAATTGGGTGATGTCTTGCAAATGGATGAGTTTGGAGGGTGGCCTAACGAAAGCGGGTCAAGGAATGCAAGATTAGGTTGCCGTGACATTACTGATAGAAAGGAGATTGTTGGATTCACAGGTGGAAAAGGAAAATACTCGAGTATCGTGGGTAGCAACGATCACCGACTGTAGTGGTGATATTGCTTGTTCTTGTTGTTCTTGAGTGGAAGTCTAACCAGGTGCCAGCGGCGGCAGGAAGTCTGGGGTATACCACCCTCGTGTGGCTGAGCCACACGGACCACCGTGGCTGGAACGGACCGCGGCAGCAACCTCCTGCTGCCTAATGTAGGCCTATTCCAACAGAGATGTTGTGCAATTCAAGGGATTTAACCACTGCCCCTGGAGTCAAGACCTATCTTGCACAAGTCGGGACGCAATTTGTCCGCCCAAGTTGAATGTTCCTCCGCCTCCCGCCTGGCTAGATAGCATTTTGCTGATCAACTGAGGGAACAGGTACCGGCAACGAACTGATCCAAAGGTCAGCTCAACCCTGATGGAGAACATGTAAACTCTGATGGGACGTGTTCGTCAGATCATTGCCTTTGTTGACATGCCACGTAGGGATCCTAGTAACGTGGAACACTGGGTAAGACAACGGTCTGGCGGCTTCCTTGACGCTCCCGGCCCTCGGAATCCGGATCGTTGGCTTAGACTATCCGGACACCTAGAATCCGGAGCTTTAGCGGCTTCAGCCATCCAATGAGAAAAGACCTAATTCCGTGGATGTAAGCTGCTATCCCGACGTGGACATTGTTTCCCCCGGATCTGGGCTGGCCCGGCGCTAGTGCCTGGCAGTCTACTAGCTCTAAACTTTTGGTCGCAGCTAGTGCCAAGGCTTGATGAGACCATCATTTCTGGTGTCATTTGACTGACATTCTTTCAGAGGCAATTGATAGGAACGGCAGCTATGCTACCGATGGATGACGATGAGGGAAGTCGGCTGTCCTTCAACTTTGCTCACTTCGCACTTATAAGCTGAGCATCGCTCTTCATTGTTACAACCTCGATTCATTCGCCAAGTTGTTTCCGATATTTCACACCAGCCAGTCAATAATCAGGCCGTATCATCCAGTCACCATGTACTGCAAAAACATCGCACTCGCTCTGGCTGTGGCCACAGGCGTCATTGCCCAGCGCCCTACCGACACTCCTATCTGCGACTACTACACAACGGCGCTGTTGAAGAACAACACTGGCGCAAACCAATACACGCTGCTCACGCTCTTGGTTAATACTGTTGTTATTGGAAACTGTAAGACACGCCGTATTGCTTCCCGAAGGCAACCACCACTGACACAGTTCAACTAGACACAATGCCGAACGTCGGTATCAAGGTCGATGGTATCCTGGCACCTGGCATGTACAACGGTAACGAGGTCAACCTACTCCCTTACTTCAACGGGGACTTGGCTTCATCAAACCGAGGTGGCAGTTCCGGCGTGTCAGTCAACTTCCTGGATGGCGGCGGTGCTGCGCCTCTGATGAAGAACATGCCCGCCAACGATGATACATCCAAGCAATAGTGAGTTCATCCCACTCAAGTCTAGTAATGAACACAACCAAAGCTAACATTACTATTCACCCAGCTTCCTCTTGACTCACCTGTACCAATTCTTCGGTGCCCTCCTTGGCTGTTCTGAATACGGCATGACAGGCTTCCCCAAGTACAGCGGCTTTGCTTCCATGTACGAGGTACACAAGTTCATGGACTTGGACGAGAACGAGCTGGGTTACTTCATCACCCAGGTTGCCATGGCTGCTGCCTCTTTTGGTGTCGCTCAGGACGACCTCAAGGCAGTCGGTATGGCTTTGAACCAACTCTTCGGCATGCGCTGCAGCCAGCCTGCCACCGCCATACCGGAGCAGGGCCCTCAGCTGCAGGCCATCTGCATCGAAGATAGCTGCCCCATCTCTACCAACTCTACCTGCGCCAGCTACCAGCCCGCCATGGCCCCGAAGAATGCAACTGCGACGGGAGGCATGAATGCCACCATGACTGCAACCATGACGGGAGCCACTATGACCTCAACAATGACTCCAAGCACGGTTCCAACGGCAGGTGCCGATGTTCAGGGCGTCAGCTTGGCTCTCATCGCCGGGCTGCTGGCCTGCCTCATTTGAGGTAAATAACCACAGGGAGGATCAAACCTCAGGAAAGGATGAATGTAGTGGGAAATGAGGAGACCAGTAGATACCAATGAGAGAATACGACAGGATTTTGTCTTCGCTTATCTAATTGATCTAATTTTGAAACTTGCACATCTCAGGCTGAAAACTACCCTCGATCAGGATATCCTGTAGGCGTTATAGTACGGCCTTGATTTGCGAATGCGACATTGACGTCGTGTGGCTATGCTTGCGTATGTCAGCCCCAGATTCTATTACCTCCATACCAGCACTTGTATTCACGCCTATGCCATATCTTAATGATCTGTCCCACTCTCACAGACATCCGAAGTTTGTCAACATAGGCAATGAGTGACTTTTCCCTGCATCAGTAGTGGTGAAGTGGAAGGGCCATATTAGTGTACCAGTAGGAATTCATGAGATGGCTGTGAATACTTTAAGGTGTTGATATGGAGGCTGCAGAGGAGCGCATCACCGAAGGTTCTCTGATCATCTTGTTAGTAAGGTAGCCGACATTATGGGTACTTATATGCCCAAAAGGCATCCTTACAGTGCATAATCTCCTCCTATTGTGTACTGTCCCAATCATGCTGCAACAAATGATGGCAGGGGCCACGCAGTCCAACGTATGACGCGAAGAGTTCCACTGATGATTGATCATGGCGAGTGCGCAACATTCCGAAGGTCGTGAATGATGTTTCGTGATTCAGTGGAAGCATGGTTGCAGGAATGCCCGCCAAAATAGAACCAGTATATGATTCTAGAGACATACCACGACACCCAGCATTCCCCAGCTTGACCTGCAGCCGTAAGACAACAGCAAAGGACTGTCACTTCAGTTTATATTTCAGTGGCCGGAGATCGCCTGCTGATAATCGCACTTCAAAGATAGAATCATTGATTCTCATTGCTACCGTTTCAAGCGCATGGAGGCCAGGGGTGCAAAAAAGCCTGTAGAACACTTCCCCTCTGAACAATCGAGACTCGGCTTTGAGTGAAGGCAAGGATAAAGTACGATTTCAGCCACGTGATGTACCTTGGACTTGTCTAGGCCTGTCCATATTTGAACACTCTCCTTTGACATGGCAAACATTACATGTACCACCCAACTTATGCCGTGTTGCTTTTCCCGAAGGAATCGACCAGGATTAGTCAACGAGTTAAGAAAAAAATCTCCTCACGCGGCATGTGGTATACCCGCTGGTTTCCAACAGCCAGCAGCAGACAGAGGCACACATGTAATCAATCTCCGCCTGTGTACAAAGCAGTCATCTTACCCTGTTTAATTGAATGCGTGTTGAAAGGTACATATTCAGGAAGCATTCCAGTCATTCGTGTGGCTGCAGTCACATCCTTGAAACAGACAGAAAGAAATGCTACCGCAGGCACCTGAGAATGACGCAAACATTGCCTAAAGCCACGGTTGTGACAAATCTATTCATCAGCATAGGCAAAATTGGGCAACCTGCATAAGGTATTAATGGATCAAATGCAATGTTCTTCACACAAAGGTCATGATACCAAAAGTCACCAACTTGAGGTTGCACCCATTTGGTAGAACGGGTTCATTCCATGTCAATGTCGCATGGCGCCAGCCACAACGATGCTGTCTGAACAAAAGAAAATCGGGTAGACAGAAGAACCGTTCATGCGGTGGTGGATGGTGATCTCGGTATGGTTGTCAACTGCTGGCCTATCTTGTAGGTGTTGGTGTTTCGCTTCGGGATGAGAGATGAAATATTAGTATAAAAGGGATGGTTCGGCATCCCAACATGGAGAATTTTGTAATACAATTCACCCTCAGAGCCAAATCAAAGTACATTCTGATCTATCATCACAAGAGCTTTAGTTTCAACTCGCAAATACGATTTCCATCATGTCCGCTAAAGGCCCAAGACAAGACAGCACCCAGGGTGGCGGTGGTGGCGACGATGGCAAAGACCCAAAACGCCCTGACAACAATACAAAGCTACCTGCTGATGCTCCTGACTTTCTGGCTGGTTTCAAAATTGCGCCGCAGCGAATGGAGGAAGAACAAGAGGCAAACGAAAAACAACCAAATGGTTGCAGGATAAAGACGACCAGCCGCTGGACTTGGGCTACACTTTTGATTCCAAGCGGCCTCCCCTAAGCAGAGATGTCGGAAGCGATGATGCAAGCGGAACCGAGAAAGGCTCTTCCCCTTCTACCAAAGACCGCAAGGACGAACCAGACAAAGCAGGCAATAAGAGAAGCCTCGGTACTTTGGCCAAGAACGGGGCGGACAAAGCAGGCGGCAAGTGATCTCCCTCTGCCTCGTCTCAGTCTCAGTGAGAAGAGCAGCACTGGGTAGAATGGTGGCGTAAACAAACCCTTTCTCAAAGGGCCAAAGTGCCAACAAGAACGTCTATTGCATCAATACATTTTGATGGCCCCTTTTGTAGACGGGTTGTCAAGTACTGAGAGTCGCGTCATGGCATAGAGAGACTAAAGTTTAGTTGTCGCTAACAAATAAAACTGGCAACTAACGCAATGCACTGAGTCTGCTGTGAATAATTGACGAGAATTGGCTCAAGCTCTGGAGTTATCTTGGTAGCATCCTCCTCATCAGTATATGCGAAAGGGACATGTGCCCATTTCAACAAGCGTGGGTAATCGTTCTACATCGGCTGGGGTAAATGACGAAATATCACTTATTAGTCACTGCCACATAATTACTTTGCACTGAGTTTCATAACCCTGACTACAGTGACAAAGTCGGCGTTCAGGACAAGTAATCTTATCCCATCTTTGTGAGTTACGTTGCTTGGTGAAAGATGGGTTGGTCTGGCTCCTTGTGTGAGACAATAAAGCAGGAAGAGAGATGACAACTCCGCATTTGATTGGCCCACCTGCCTTTTGGTTGAAGTCTAAAAAGCTACAAGTTGGTCAGTATTCTGGTGCTTCCCAGTTCCTCACAGAAAAAAATACCGTTCATGGCCACCTCGGCAAGATAATTCAAGAAAAAAATGAAGCAACGTTCCCTGGCCAAACCCACATGTTTGTGACACACACAGATGCCTATTAGTTCGATTGAACCTAAGATCCCCGCTTGTCGTCCCCGCTTTCGCCCGTGGGGCGCTTCCTAGGTTGACTTCTCACGAAGCTGAACAATAAGGACCGCTGGCGCAACGGTAGCGCGTTCGACTCCAGCTCAGGCTCATCGAAAGGTTATCCGTTCAAATCGGGTGTGGTTCAATGCCATAGGCCTTCCTGGACAATTGTGAAGCTATTCGCAACGTCCTGGCATGATATTTTTGTGTTTGGGTGGTGTTAGGACGATTTTTGTCTTGGGACGGCAAAGAGCACAAACGCGTGCGCTCTTGCCATTGGAAATTAAAGGTGGGTCTAGAATAACAGCCTGTCACACCTGGCAGCCGGCAGCCCCCCTAGTTTTCCGGGAAATCGCAAAAAATCAACCTTAGAAGCCCAACATTTTCCTAGAGGTGTTTGGGTTGCTGAGGCTCAACTAGCAACACGCCCCACTTGTCAAAACGGTATGGAATGCAGCTCAGGCGATTTATTATGCGCTCTGAAGTTGTGTAGGTTTCATACGACACAAAGTGGTGGCATTATTTGCCATGACGTGGAGGCTCCAGCGATGAGCATACCATGCCATTGTCGCTTACAAGATGGGCCCCAGAAACTCTTGCTTCCCTTTTTCAACGCGACGCATTTCTCTAATCATTAAACATCAAGATGTATAGGGTGATCAATAAATAAATAGAGTGGTCAGAATGATTGGAGCTAAGTTGTGATGATCCCAAACTCAATGGTACAAACCCTCCTTCCGCTCAGCCCTGATAAACGCCAACCCTGGCAACCCAAGAAATTACAATGTCATAACTCATCCTCATTCCTCTCCTACCCTCTGCCTAAATCAATGAGTGAGCTTCTTAGCTTCCTTCTCGTCGTCATACGCAAGCCCGGAATAATCAGGAAGCTGCCAGCCCGGCACATCATCTGATTGGAGTCGCTGGAGAATCTTGTCGATTCTCAAAGTTGACACCAACCACAAGATCGTGTAGAGAATGGAAATAACCCACGCCTTGTTGGGATAGATCCAGGACGGCTTGAACCCAATGTCTTGAACTTCCTTCATGAGCTCTAAAATCTCCTTGTTGTATGACTCGAGGGCGGCAGGAATACCGTCGGCCGCCTTTCCTGAAGACCCCGAGCAGTGTTTTGAAATCTCTCCAGCGAGCACATAGGCACCGATGAACGCGCATGTTGTGCCACGGCCGGTCAAGACACTGGGTGCGTATCCCGCATCTCCAAGAAGGGCCACGCGGTTCTTGTAGCACTTGCCCATGCGTATCTGGCCAATTTCGACACAGTAAAAGTCGTTGGAGACACCATCTTCGTTGAGCGCATCGCAAAAGCGGTCTGCTTGCCATCTTGCGTCCTTGAAGAGCTCTGACCAAACCTGCTTCTGTCGCACAAGATCGCGGCTCCTCTCCGTTTCGATAAGAAGCTTCTCCATCTCCTTGTCTGGCGGACACACGGCGAGATATGCCTGAGTCGTTTCAGGGTTGTCGTTTCTGGAAAAAAGCACCCGCTTCTTGGGACACACACAGACCGTGGCGTAGTTGTCATCCGTCTTCCACTTCGGGACAGTGTAAAAGGCCATATGCACGCCAAGAGGATAGAACGGGTCCTTCTCGCCGGGGCTAAGCATGAGTCGTCTCGTCTTGGATCCCTGACCATCGGCTCCGACAAGTAGGTCGAATGTGTCCGTGGTTCCGTCTGACAGGTGGACCGTCACCGAGTCTGCATCCTGTTCGAACGACTCAATCTTGACACCAAAAATGTACTTGACCCCAAGTGCTGTCGTCTTGTCGAAGAGGAGCCGGACCAGATCGCCGCGCATGATCTCAAATTCCGATGTGAAGCCCTGCTTGCCAACACCGGACTTGTTTGCTTCAAATGTTGCCTGCGTCTTCCCTTTGCCGTTGACGAATCTGACGCCAGCTTCATTGACAACTTTTTCGCGAACGAGACCTTCGAGTCCCATGCGACGCACAACAGTAACTCCTTGGCCTCGAAGGTCGATTTGTTGGCCCTGAACGCGAAGAGAAGGGGATCGCTCGAGGATGGTTACATCGTGGCCGAGCTTCGCCAACCAAAACGCAAGGGCCGGCCCCCCAATGCCTCCACCTGAGATGAGAACTTTGAGGGAAGACATGTGATTGGGAATGATGCGTTGAACAATAAGTTGGCGTATTGGTAAGAGCAATTGGAAACTATGTTGCTTGGTAAAGCGTTATTCCATTAGCCAGGCCTGCTGGGTGATGAAGGGTATCTATAGCGTAGCAAATGAATTGAAACGTTGTGATCGATACGCGTCGCGATGTACACGGCCTTGCCATCTCGATGGGCGCGACAATTCGGCGATGGGTGTGGCTCGCAAGCCGACATCCATTTCGGGCTTTACGAGAGCGCTGTGGCATTTGTGACGTCAAGACTAAGAGCCGATTCCCGTGTGGCGGTGGTCGCACCAGCCAGCCTTTGGCTTCCATTGGTTGCTCCGAGTCAAGCGAACCGCTTATGAGCATGAGGAGAATTAGCTATGAAACACTTCGGACTATTCAAGAAATCACCGGTTCGGTCCTCTTAAGCCCTTCGGCCTTCGGACAGCTGAAAGGCTCACTAACCGCAACGGTCCTACCGTACTGCTGCGTATTCTCTGATGCTAGTGATCAAGGGCGGGCTATAGTTGTCTCATTCGGCCTAATACAGTATTGTACGACCGCTCCCACGCTCCGTACCTGTGAACATGACAAGACATAATACCCTGTCGGTCTTGGGCAGGCCGACAAGATCTGTAGAAGCAGGGGGGCTTGCTGAAGTTTGTCATTGGCCCACAAAATAGTCATTAGATGGTGATGAACAACCAAAGCCGACGATGACCTTCTCGTGGGTCACACCAACAACATGAAAGTATTGCGTTACAAGATTTTTGCATAATCAAAGTAAAGAAAAAGCTTGTGAAGTCTTGGTAGGAGATTGGCCCATGAAGGCAAACTTGATTTTGTGCTTTCAATTCATGCCATAGGCGTAATCTACGACACAGGCCATAAGTCTCGTCTCAGTGGGAAGATGATGTGCCTGGATTCCCGAAATTCTAAACAGACGGCACCGATTCTTGTTGCAGCTCTTTAGAAGGTCCCGCAGCGCAACAATAGAGCGTTTGAGTCTCGCTGAAAATACTCAAAAACTTCATCGAAAGATGTCCTGGCTACGCCGTCTGGGGGATACTACTCAGTCTTAGCAGGGGGCGTTGGCAGTACTACCGCACTATTAAGACCACAACAACCATCACTACTACCATGTTTATGATGAGGCATGAAGAAAATGTTGGGCAGCGATTATCAGGTAGGGGGTCAATGGGATGTATTGATGAGTATGAAGAACGAGTGGCTATGGGAATATCCCGACTATCTATATAGTGAGTGGAAGACTCTTTATACTGGCATATCCTTGGCAAACTTAGTCATGCTTGTGTAAGACCATATTGTTTCATAGGCATAGTGTGACAATCGTTGTAACGAGTGTACTGGGATGGGCCTGACAGAAAATAAGCAGACAAGGCCGGAAGGTTGCAGTGACGCTTACACTTTATTCATGACCTATGAGTACATTCTGCGACCATATGAGTTGTCTGTTGTGTCAACCTGTTACCTCTCTCACCTATGGACGCACAATTCTTACGGCCACGGCTAGATCGTCAATTACCTAAGATCTTGTGATAAACAGTAGGTCAATTAGTTTCTAGGGATAAGAAGAGGTTCAGCAAGTTGTAGAGCTGGCTGGCAATGGTACACAGTCAACATAGCCGGGATGCAGAGCCAGGTGCTTGACGCCACGCTTCTTCGAAGCAGGCGAGGGTCAGCCTTTTCCCCTAACGAACATTTGTTTGGCTTTCTTTTGGTAGTTTTGTTGTCGTGGAGATTCCGAAGAAAGTGAGAAGTATCAGTGTAGTGAATGCTTGTAGATAATAGCCGGTGAAGAGTCCAAAGTCAGCGCTTGGCTTGACTTATTGTTAATAATAGTTAATGATATACTCGCTGTCAGTATAGTAAAGTTGTCTGAACTCATGTTGCTTCCGAAACGTAACCCAGTATCTATGCTAGGTATTCCGTTCAACCATGAAATATCCTCATAACTCTAAAGAACGCAGTTTCTTCGCCCAAGGAATGGGTAGATGGAAGTATATGGACAAAACCTCAGAGCGCAGGATGATCACTGATCAGTTACTGAAGGAGACAGGCTCACGCCCTCGAAACATTCCAATATCGAATAACCATCTCATGATATGTTTCCTCTATTGAGCATCGAGAAAAGCCGAAAACAACGTAGGTGATGCCGGTGTAATTTGAGGAAGAGAGATGTGGAAGGCGGAAAGCCAAGGCGAGAGTAATGAGATGCTGTGGTAAGGAATGTGGAACTTTGATAACGACAGCTTAGACTCTTCTGACTTCAGATACGGATCAGAAATAACGCCACGACCGATGTTTCCAGTCATCTTCCAATAGCAATTCCGCATGCCCAGCGAGACGGATCGAAGCGGGAAGCTTCTCAGCTCGACTTTCCACATAAGGTAAGCATGCATGCATGTGACACTGGCTCGGCAAGTGATGTCTTTTGTCACAAATCACGGCACACGACAATGGTGGAGTGGATTCAAGGTGCTTTTATTAACTATCAAGTGAACGGTCAAAGGGATAAGCGCATATACTGAGCGAATGTAAGGCCCGCGTGAACATTGAGGGCAAGTTATAACCATAGCATGAGCTCCATGGCCAGCTTAGCAGCGATTTCGTATGGCGTTTCGGCGGCAGACTCGACGTAGTTGACGGCTGAGTCGGTGAATTGAACCTCTTCAGGGACAATGATGTCCTTGCTGCGATCAGCGCGGTCATCGGCATCCCCTTCAACATCAAGAAGGGCTGCGAAGGTTTGCTCAGCATCAGCATCGTCAAGTTCGAATTCCCGGTCAAAGTCAGCGGTATCCAAGTCCACGACATTGTCGTTGAGGTTATTATCAGCGTGAGACTCGACAAGACCTCTTTTGAACATAGTTGCTTGACCTAGAAGTTCCACCTTTTGTATGACACGTCCAGCTTGTGTCTGCTGCTTTTGATAGAGCGATATTATCTCTGTGCGCAGGACGAGGAACGCCTTGCGACGAAGCACACGATCGCGGTTCTTCTTTTCTTCTCTGGTCAACAGAGCATATCGGGAATTGGTGCGTATGTATTGCCGGAAGAGGGCATTCAACTCTGGTCCATACGTCTCGAGGATTCTCCTAGCAGGAAGTTTGTCTAGCGGGACCCCAGACGTGTTCTCAAGTTGCGAGAACTCCTTAGCCTTGCTGCTCCTGGCCTCTTCACCAAGGGCGATGTCGGACGCATCGGTCAAGGGAGTACGGTCGATGAAGAAGCGCTCGAGGATCAGCGAATCTGGTTCATGCGACATGAGCATTTGAGCGTGATCATCCCCAAGAGCTTTGACATATGTCGCTGCGGTGAGGCAACGGATATTGTAGAACGTCAGCTGTCCTGGCCATCCCATCCGCTCTCCGTGAAGTTCAATCCACTTGGTCAGAGAAGCGGCCGGCATGGGACTATGGTCGTCATTGAACCCCGAGCCATCCGCACTCCCCACAAGAAGAACAGGCTTATGGAGGAATTCGGCCTTGATAGGGATTCGGTCCAGCTCAGAATCGAAAAGCTCGTCGATTGTCGAAAGCCCGTTAAACACTCCCCGTCGAAGGCCAATTACTAGCAGAAGGTGCGGAGCTGAGAGTGCCAAATTGGCCTGCTGCTGGGGGGAGCTGATGCGGAAGTTCATTATCTGCTTCTGATCTTCACTTTCGGTGTCTTTGTCCCCGTTGTCCTTGAGGTTGCGGATGGTCACACGAAAAGTCCACATCCCCTTCTGTTGCCCGCGGGAGAGATGGCAATCTTCCCAGGCCAAGAAGGGCAATTCATCGATGGCCTTGCCAGTCTTGACCATTTCGTCAGCTGAGGGGCCTAAGGAGTCTGGGGGTAGAGCGCAAGCCCTTCCAAGGCAGATGGCGAAATGATGTTGTTCTGAAAGCTCGATGCTCACTGTCTCTCGGATGTCCATGTCGATGAGCTGACGGATGTCATCTAGACCGATGTGGATCTGGTCGCTTGGTCCAGAGTTGAGCCGGACGGGCTTCTTCTCGATTGCCAGTGTGTGTAGCACCTCCGTCATTTGGTTGAAAACATGGCGTACCGAAGGCGGCCCGATGTCACGCCCGCCATACTTCGGGGTGACCCAAAATTGAAAGGCCTCACGGTACTGAATGAGTGTCGAGTAAGAAACCAGACTGTGCGTATTGTAGCTGGGAATCTTGGATTCGGCAACAAAGGAGAGATAATGGCGAAAGAGTCGCCATAGGGCATCGAAGCTGTCAGGCTGCTCGTCTTCCAATGGCGATGGGAAGCAGAGCTCATCTAATTCCTTCTGGCCGATACCATCTGGCACTTTTTTGAACACGCGAACAAACGCGCGGTAGTCCTCAAGGATTCGGTCTTGTCGCTTCTGGGTTAAGACGCTCGCTTGACTGAAGCCTATTGAAGAAATGCCGGCTTCTCTCGCGTCCTGCATCAGCCGGTCGAACTCGTTCACACCGTCTGTATCTGAGACTGTGGTGCGCAGGCGCTTGATCCAGGCTGCCTGGCTTTCGCCTCTCTCTCAGCGTCGTCCTGGGGCGGCATCCATGTTTGGTTGATGTGATCCGAAGAACTGTTAGACGAGAAGAATTGGATAAGATCGTATTTTACTCACCGGGGATGACCCCAGCCCGAATGCTGCTTCCGCGAGAAGTTGTTTTGAGAGATGGAAGAGAGGGGAGGAGGTCAAGGCGAAACGAAGGGAAAAATTGTGATGGAAGATGGGGAGACTGGTAACCGAGGAGCTAACAGGCAAAGACGGCAGGTAAGAAGGACTCAAATAGTCAATATGAGCACCTTCCGTGGCAGAAGCGATATGTATTACCTCCGTTTGTTGTGTATTCATATTGCACCTACGACGTGGTATACACTTTCGAATCGTTGTGTTCTTGAAGATTTCTCACGCTTCGTGGATGCTTTTTGGCAACGGAGCTACACTAACTCATTTCAAGAGAAAACCCCATCCACCTACTGGAGATATCCTCTCGCCTTGAATGCCCGTTCAAGGATGGCACGAATGACAATCTCTTTCCTAAAGTTATACTCCATCACAGTCTCACCCAGCGAGTTACTCACGCCCGCGGCCTCCATCTTGGTCTTCGCATACAGATCCCGGTCATCGTCATGTTCAATCAACCAATCCTTCATGATGAGATGCCTTGCCAACTCCGCGGTGCCGACCTTGAAGACATGCAAGTTGCAGGAGTACGGCTTGTGCATGGCGAAGAAGCGATGTTCGTTCCACTCAGGCTCGCGTATCAGGAACTGGAACCCCGCCTTCTCAAGTGCTGGCGCGTAGGCGGCCTCATCCGTCGGATTCTCAACGGCGAGGTCAACGTCGATGACGTCCTTGGCGGGGAGATTGGGCACCGATGTTGAGCCGACATGGCTTATGCTGACGGCTACAGGGCCGATAGCGTTTTCTATGAGAGACTTGATCTCTTGGAACTGCTGTGGCCACTCGGGGTTTGGGGGCTCGACGGAGAGCGGAGGCTCGGATGTTCGCTTTGCGATGCGTTGGATGATTGAGGGATCAAATTCATAGTGTTTGACAATTTCTTCAATTGGGCAAGACATTGTAATGTCTGATTGAATTATTGGTGACAGATGTAAGATAGCGCGCTGGATTAAAATGGCGCATGTATGCTGTAGAATCTGATTTCTAGATTGAATCTATCTGGGGATGTGTCCCAAGTGCTGATATGAAGTACTTTAATATAGTCTAAATCGTCGCCAACCAATGTGTGTTTCAGGGACGGCGTGAGTCATTCGGCGATGGCGTGGCTTGCATCGGATGTACCTGCAGCATCTGACCCCAAGTCCTTTCAACTTACATGATGTTACCTGCCATGAGGGCCGAAGTATCTAAGGATCCTCCAGGTCGACAAACCGGTACGCCCATAAAGCGCACCAGATAAAGGTGATGCCGCACAAAAAGAAGCTGACGAGGTAGAACACGGCAGCCTGGTTCGGTCAGTGATGTTCATGATCAAGAGCGGACAGAGAGAGCAAACCTTGCTTGCCCCAACCCATCCCTGGCCGTCATACAACGGCGCGCAAACATAAACCGTCAACCCGCCGAGGAAGCAAATGGCCGAGTAGGCCATCAACATCATTGGCGCCTGCCACGTGAATATCATGTTCCACCGAACCTCTACAAACGGCATTTCTTTTGGGATCCATCCTCCCTTCTTCTTGATCTTGATGGCACGGATCTGCGGGATGGGCGGCACCTCCTCGAGGGGTGAGTGCATGGGCTCGACGGCCCTGCTGCGACGGATGTAGAGGATCATGGCGAGGTCCTTATCGACGTTGCGCGGTGTTGGAGATCGGTGAAGCGTCTGAAAGATGAACTGCTCCGAAGCAGCGAGGAGGATAGCGAAGAGCGAGAAGGAAATGCTCGCGTGCCAAAAGGCTGGGCTAAGCCAGTGCAGTGAGTCGGGAGGCGGCCAGGAAAAGCAGCCGATGACGGCGGCTGAGATCAAGGTGCTCTGCAAGGGGTGAGTATAGAATCGAGCAAAGTGAAGGTATCGGAGACGTACAGCAACCTGGACGAGTTGAAACTCACTCAACTTTCTATCCCGCCATCGCCTCAATTGTGCCGATATCTCCTCATCGGATTCACGATCTTCGACGGCCCTAGCGATGGCTAATATTGGCAGTAAGGTGTTTTGCTGATAAAATCGGTTGTATGGAAGGGTCAAAATATCGGTGGCAATGTGTGCAATCTTGCTGCTCAGAGTCACAGCAATAATCTAGACGGCGTCAGTCCGAAAGAATCACCTTGCACGAAACAGGAGTGAAGTGAACCGTACTGCAATTCTGAGACCACGGTCGCTCTTGGGCACGCCTGGCGCATTGCCCGGTCCCCTTTCCGAATCCATCTCTGTGTACGTATCTGGGTTATGATATTCATCTCTGCTATAGGGACCGAGCGACTTTATAAAGGTGGTATCTACGGTGTGCAGTAACCAGGCAGCTGGCTGGCAGGCCATGTGCGATATTTACACAAAGCAACGGATGACTGGCCGTCTTCTCGTGACCGCGCTGTTCCCCCACACCAACAGGTGATGTTTCCCCTCAAAGACTCCAAGTCACCATGTCTTAGGTTAGCACCCTCGCGACCAGCGACCGACGGTCAGCTTGGCGTCAACTGGCCAATCGTAGTCTTGTCGCAGCTATAAAGTAAGGCGAAGTGAACATGTTTCATGCTCGTTGACCAGGCCATCGTAGGATGCAACGGAGGTTTGCACCCGCGTGGATGTGGCGGATGGAGAGCGAGGCCGCGCTAGCTCCCGTATGTATCTGAATACGACCCATGTTTGGGTGTGTGCAGGCTGATTCGAGGCGGCTCAGCCCTTCTTGATTTCAGCCTGGAACTTGCCAACCCACTGAGAAAACTCGTCGCTTTCGCCAGTCCAGGGTGTCTTCAAAAGCTCCGAAAGCCCAACAATCTCATCGAAGCACAGGTTCATTACTCGATCTATTTCGTCAGGTGAGAGTTCGTAGAATGCGCCGGCAAGCTCGTCGAACATGTGCGGAAGTTTCTTGAGGACCCGCATCGACTCGTCAAGGCGCTTGGGGATATCAGAAGTCTCGGCCGGAAGGGAGGGTAGTGTCTTGAGCCGTCGCTTGATGATGGCTTGGTAGAGTAGCGTTGTCAGCCGGACGCGCTTCAGACAAGACTCAAGACGCTCGCGGATCTTGTCGGGGTCGTCGCGAGGAATCGTCCCCTGGTTCGACATCATGTCGTCGATCATCTCCTGCGTTGAGGGCATCATGGAGCCCAGGGCCGAGTCGTGGTCCACCTCGTTCACGGCATCATCGTCGTCGTCGTCGTCGTCTTCGTCGTCTTCCGGCTCCTCATCGCCCCACTCCTTCAGCTCCTCCATGACATCCTTTAGTGTCGCCCTGAACTCTTCAACCTTTTTGATGAAGCAGCCACCGATACCGCCGGTGGAGAATTGCACCAAATCGTCGCAGGCCGACCAAATGACACCGGTGGCGGCCATGCTGCCCTTGCCAGCTGTACCCGTGGAGCCTGACTTTTGCGCTGTTGACAGAATCTTGCCATCCCTGGGTATCTTTTCAACCAGGCCCCGAAGCTCCTTTAATACCGTGTAGCATTTCCAAGCCAAGTCCTTCCGCACAGTGGTGGTGTATCGGTCTGCATCACAAGCCTGGCCCGCAGTGGCGATGCCGGGAATCGGGCCGCTAACGAGTTCTCGGAGGACTTTGATGATGGCCGAGGGTGTGAAGGGTTCGTTGATAATGAGGACGGAGATCTTGGTCGAGTGCGCCTTGATCAGCGAGGCTGAATCACGGGCGAGGGCGAAGGCATCGACGGAGGAGGTATCAGACCGCTGGGGGGTGTCTTTGCCACTGTTGATGTTCTGGAGGACAGCCTCCAACTGCCGCATCAAGGCGACAGCTGTGTCTGACAGAGCATTCAGAGCTGCTGGCGTGGTGGAGGAGCTTGGAGAAGCCATGTCGGTGGGTGTGCTCGAATCGAAAACACGTTGCAGGATTGTGTAGTGGTCGAGACCAACTTTCGAGAATCGTTTGCTTCGATCTTCAAGACGGACCCGGACTGCTGCGAAAATTCGAGGTGCCCAAAAATGCAGCAAAGTCGTTGTGCCCCGCGATGGAGGGGTATGTAGATACGTACCTTTCTTTGGCGGATAGATACGTACCGCTCTTTCCCGGTTGTCAGTGCCCAGTGCTCCTCCCTCAAAGCTGTGACCTTCCGCCGGTCCATCTGACAGCAACCTCCAATCAAAGTCCACTGTGATGAAAGTTGGTGGGACAGATGCTAAGATAAGATAAAAGACTCTTGCACGTGACCGCCCCTGCAGCTGCCCGTCGCCAGCTCCGACACCCCTGTCAGCCAAAACCCACCTAAAGCGTTTTGGGTGAGCTGGAAGTTCCACGACGTAGCCCCGTACCTTCCTCTCCGTAAGGTACAATACCTCACCTTTCCAACCCTCCAGTCTGTCACTTTGGACTGAATCTGGATAGCTTCAAGACTACAACAGATCCCAAAACAACAATCGAGGCATACGGGTTGATGACCGTTTCGATATCCTGAACACCATCAAGATGCGTCAAAGCTACGGCGTGGTGCTTTTGGGCACCTTCGTGTCTGCTGCCGCCCCCGTCGCTGCAGCTAGCTTGCCCAGAGGTGTTAGTCCTGAATGTGAGTATCAGTCGGCAGCAGGCCATCCAAGTCTTACAAAATCGGAGCATTTGAACCGCTTCAACTACACACGAGAACAAAGGCATTGCATCTCTTTGTCTGGATTCTCCGCCTCTGTTGCCTGATCAATTGGCCCAAAGCTTTGTCTTGACACGATCTGTCACTAACATGATTCCTTGCAGTCGCCAAGTTCTTCGAGCTCAAGCCCTCCTTCAAATGCATAGGCCACCCCGAGATCAGAATCCGCTTCAGCCAGGTCAACGACAACAGCTGCGACTGTCCTGACGGTTCCGATGAGCCTGGCACCGCTGCCTGCGCGCACCTCGACCCCCTCTCCCCTCAGCAGCCCTTCGCCGGCTCCTTGACTGGCACGACCAATACCTCCAATGCCCTCCCCGGCTTCTGGTGCGCCAATGAAGGTCATATTGGCGCCTATGTGCCGTTCATGTTCGTCAACGACGGCCACTGTGACTACGATATCTGCTGCGATGGAAGCGAGGAGTACAGCAAGGTAGGAGGCCTCAAGTGCGCCAACAAGTGTGCCGAGATCGGAAAGGAGTACCGTCGCGTTGAGTCCGCGCGCAAGGATGCCATCGATAAGGCTGCTAAGAGACGCAAGACGATGGCCAAGGAATCTAGAGAGCTCCGCCGCCGCGTCGAGGCCAAGGTGACCAGCCTGAAGGACGAGGTCACGGGTCTCGAGACCCGCAAGGAGGAGCTGGAGCAGAAGCTGCACGAGATTGAGCGTTCTGAGAAGGGCAAGATTGTCAAGGGCGAGGGATCCGGCGGAAAGCTCGGCACCCTGCTCAACCTGGCCAAGACCCGTGTCACTGAGCTCCGCGAGACCCTTGAGGATGTCGTTGCCCACCGCGATGAGCTTCAGAGCAAGGTCAAGGAGCTCGAGGGCATTCTCAGCCGCTTCAAGGAGGAGCACAACCCTAACTTCAACGATGAGGGTGTCAAGCGAGCCGTCAAGGGCTGGGAGGACTACGCTGCCAACCTTGCCAACGATCCCCTGCCCGATGGCCTCGAGGCCGACATCAAGGAGGTCCTTGTTGAGGACGACGAGTCGTCAGGCATCAACTGGAAGGAGTTTGAGGAGGACGACGTCTCTGACACTGATATCCGTAAGCGGAGCCCCTGACCATCATTCATGGTAAAGAAACATGGCTAATCCTGCCCAGTCTACAACTTCGAGGCCTACCTCCCCGAGGGCATCCGCGAGTTCATCCACGGCAAGCTCTTGTCTTTCAGAGTCTGGATGATTGAGAACGGCCTGATTGCTGATAACAACAACGGCGGCGCCGAGTCTCGCCTGGTCAAGGCTGCCCGCGAGGCATTCAACTCCGCCAACAATGATCTGTCGGACAAGAAGCGCCAGCTGGAGACTGAGCAGAAGGATCTGGAGAAGGACTACGGCACCGATGACATTTTCCGGATCTTGAGGGACAAGTGCGTCAGCACCGAGATTGGCGAGTACGAGTACGAACTCTGCTGGATGGACAAGACCAACCAGAAGTCGAAGAAGGGTGGCGGTCACACTAACATGGGTAACTTTGTCCGCATCGACAAGGAGAGGGCTGATGATGAGGAGCGTCTCGATGGCAAGAGCCTCGGCAAGGGCCTGCGCATGGTTATGCGGTACGAGAACGGTCAGGGTTGCTGGAATGGCCCTCAGAGACGTACCGACGTCTGGCTGGCCTGCAGTGAGACGGAGGAGCTGTGGAAGGTCACGGAGTCGGAGAAGTGCGTCTACAAGATGGAGGTGGGCACTCCTGCCGCCTGCGACGAGCTTCTTGAGCCTCCCGCGCCCAAGGGCAAGGATGAGCTGTAAAGACAGCGGCAGCACGCAACGGGTGTCTATGAAGAATTCAGCACTGGGTCTGCTTAGCTTGGCGTCAGGTTCGTCTGCCTTAGACCGAGTAGAAAGGATGCATTAGGAAAGGCCAACACATTTTTCGGTACTTGCAACTGGTGGCCTCAGATTCGCGTAGAGTGTGCAACTAAGGTAGGAATGGGAACCGGGCAGGGGGTATCTTCATTTTTTTCATTCAAAGTACAGCTTGACATTTGCCGGCTGGGACAACATCAACCTCTTGACGAAGCCATCTTCCTCCGCCTGCTGAGCTCCTCTTGCTCAGCCAAGACCTTGGCCGTTAATGATGCAGCCATTGGGTTGTTGATATTGCTCGTCTTGCTCTCCTTCTTTGCAGCCTTGGCATCAACCGTAGCCCTCTTCTTCTCGGGCTTGTCGCCGTTACCATTTTCCTTGGCATCGTCCTCTGCTTTGCGCTTCTTCTTGCCGCCAGCTTTCTTGTCTTTCTTCAAGCCGTGTGTAAGCCCTGCAGCGGTCAAATCATCCATTCTTTGCACCATTTTCTTGAGATCGCGCTCCTCTGTTGGCAGAATGGGTATCACGTTCTCGCTCTTGAACTCCTCACTGCACTCGGGACATGCTGACTCTTGAATCTCCTTGATAGCCACCTCGGCAAATACATGCCCGCATGGTACCAGATAGACGGACTTGACTTGAGGGCCGAGCTCCTTGAGAGAAATAGGGCAGACCCAGATATCCTTCTTGGTGCCTGGTGACGTATGCTTGTGAAACTTGAGTTTGACAATATCGCGCAACGACTTGATGCCGACGGAGGCAAAGGTGAGTTCTTGGGATTCGGGATTGGATGGTGGCGACTCGGCGCTGTCGTCGGATGGCATGAGGCCTTGGAGGATGGATTCGTAATTGTAGAGGCGGCCGCGCCAGTCCGACACAATGTTCTCTTTATCGAGGGGCTGATTTGACAACGGATCGTTGCTCCAAGCGTGACCGAGGGACTCGAGGGCATTTGCCTTTAGCTCGCTGACGGTGAGGGCGCGGGCGGATTCCTTGACCAGCTCGCGGCGTTTGGGAATGGATCCTCCATCGTTACCCATGGCGAAGAACGAGCGAGGTGGGATGATGGAATTACAAGGCTGCGAAAGTCAAAGTATCGAATACCGTAGTTATCGCGATCCTAAAAAAAATTGGTTCCGCTGCCTAATGTCTTGCGGTCGGCTTCTTCCTGTAGATGTTGCGCGAGTCGTGATGTTGAATCTCGAGGTGGTGTCTTGATCCAAGAAGTCGCGACAGAAAACGCCTGGAAGCGCACTTCACTCGCTGGACCGATAAGATAAGGCTACAGGTATTGAATTAGGAATGGGGGAGCTACAGGGGTAGCAACCGAGGGAAGGTCAGCCGAGAGTCGCCAGCAACCCACCATGGCCATCACCAATTGGGCCATGGCAGGCTGCTGCCGCTGAAGCTTCGGGGCATTTGTTTAGGAATGGGTGTGTTACGGTGGGGCTGAGACTCGCTGAACAGTGCGGAATATAGCGGGGCGAAGCCCAATTAGGGCAGCTGAAGTAAGCAGTGAAGTACAGTGTGGGAACTGTGCATCAAGGTACCTTCCGTTCTTGCGCCGTTGCTCCCCCCATGGTTGACCCTCCATTCCCGTGTCGCACTTTCCGTCACTGCAGACTGACTGCCCTGGCCTGGTCACTTCATCTTTTGAACCTCCAGTCGTCACTTCCATCCCAAAAGACCTCCTTCATCACACGCTTTATTTGTGCAACCAAAGCACTTTCTTTCCCTTTCTCCTTCACCTCCACCACTTCGCATCGCGACAAACGGTGGGCTTTGATGCAGCTGTCACATTGGCAATCCCCTCTTTGTGCACCATTCCATTGCGCGACTCCTCAGTTGACAATCACCTACTACGAACAAGTACCAAACAACGAGCGCCGAGCACTACGACCTGCCCAAAACCCTCGACCCGATCCGATTCCTCCTATACCTAGTCGATGGTTCTCCCATTCTGATACTCGAACGCTCGGGTCCGCCAGCCAGTGAGCCATGGCGACCCAACAGCAGATCGCCCTCGAGCGACTTGACAATCTTGTCAGGGACTTGAGGTCTCGGTATTTTCCCTCCCCCTGCCACCTCGAAGGCCGAGTCAAGGTCAACATCGATTTCCGTTTGCGCAGCTACTAACCAGCTTCAAGGTCTTCAGACGACGTTAGGAAGCGTGCAGCGCTGCAGCTTAGAGAGCTGGTGCTAGTCTGTCATCGAGGTAAGCCATCCATCGCCCTCTCGGGCACCATGCCATTTGCGCGACAGCAAGCTGACAGCCCACCTTTGCAGACCTCCCCCTCGACCAATTCAACACCATCTACGGTCAGGTCAACAACAAGATCACCCAGCTCATTTCCCATGGAAATGACTCCTCCGAACGTCTGGGCGGCGTCTACGCCCTCGAT